GTGTCCTTCTCTTTTGAGTAAGCATTGTCGTATAAGAAGTATAGCGTGATTTGTGTTTGCAACATCACCCTGTCCAACGGCTGAGCTGCGCACTGTTTATTTTGCTCTGCAGACTAACCGGGAAACTACCGGGTCGATTTCTGTAAAAGCATGTCTCTTTCCAGCACCATGCGATACCCATACTGACTAAACACGAGTAAAATAATTCATTGGAACTTGCGCAGCAGATAAAGTATTTACAAAATAATTAAATCAAGTCGACTTTGTTATACAATTTAGGTATTCCATGATAACTAGTACTGTTTTGCGTTCTCCATTTTATAATGACCGTTTACACTGTTATTACTATTTTGAGTTACTTTATTAGTCTTACATTAACCGCATCGAACATCCCTTTCTAAAACACCAGGTTCTCTCATCTCCAGACACAACCAGATTATTTCCAACTGACCCGGCTTGTTTAAAAAATGTGTGATATGTTTTCAGTTGTATAATAAACACAACTTGACATACGGATGGACTACATTTGGCAAGACGCTTATCACAGAGTAGGCTTGCCTTCTTCTCCTTTAATTCAAAGATCTCAAGTCTTATGTCCTTATACTAAGTGCTTTTGACTATATTTTCGATGGATTTTGTATTTACGACGACTAATGGCGATTTCTCGAGTCTAATCTTAATCCTATTTGACCCGTTTAGGGCCATTTATTTATACAATGTTAGGACCCTAGCTTTAGGTGTCAAGGTGAGTAAAATTCATTTTTTAACTATCATATTAAATATCGGCATGTTTTTTTTCGGAAGGCTTTTAACCGCCTTATATCATAGAGCTAAACAACACGAAGGGTTTTGTTCCGTTATGTGATTAAACGCGCATTTCTCACGACATCATAGACATAAAATATCACCTTTACAAAACAATCTGAAAAGGTCACCAAAACTGAAAGCCAACTGACATCAGACCGCCTTTTTTCTAAATAATTACTTTTTTTCACGGTAGTCTGTTCCATTATTTTTTGCACGAAATACTTTTCAAAAAATTGAGGGGAAGTGAATTGATTCGTATAAAAGTTTTATACTCTCCGAAGCCAGAAATTAACCGTCGACAGCGGAATTTTCAATCTCGAATTATTCTGTTATTGCAGATCAAAAGCAAAATATCACTATATATACACCCTTTTTCCTTTTTCAGGTTTCTCAAGTTTTTTTCTTACAAAAATTCCCTCAATAGCACAAAACAGAATTTTTGTTGGCTGATTTTTTTGCCCATTAGATATTACACTTGCAGTAAAAAAATATGTCCGGAGAGGATGAACGGCCAGTTTTAAAGCGAAAAAAGAGACTTGAGTGTTGCATCGAAGAAATCAAGAAAGAGAGCCATATAACTTGACCCAAACTGACATATTTTCTTTCCTTTTCGTTAAGATTGCATTAATTAAATTTTGTCAATACATTTTTTCTCATATCGATTTTGAACTCATGTTTTTATATCAGACAACAGGATGGAATTTTAATCATCTTGTCATAATTAGGAAATTGTATTCGAATAATGGAGCACGGCAGACCTTGATAAGAATAGAAGCCCTAACTTGTGAAAAAAGATAAGAAAACTCAAATATCTCTCTTAGAAAGCAAGATATAATTAACCACTGTTAAAAGAACTCTTTTAGTAGTAAAAATTCATTGATTACTCTTCTAATCATAAAAATCTTTTTTCTGACTGTTTTCGCTTTTAATCCATTCTCCGTAAGTGTACTTTTCTACTGTGTGTGACATCAGCCTCTGGCATTCGCTAAACCAATCAAATTGCTCTCGCTTACTTTGGTTGCTTACGTTCAACCTCTCAGCCATTGTGGTCAACGAAGCAGATAAGCTGAAATGTCTGTTCCCTCCCAACTCTTGAGCTAAAAATGACGTGAAATCTAGCGTATCGAGTAATCGGCACATTGTCAAGGACACAATGCATATGAATTCATATTATCACGGAGATATGATCACGGATAAAATTATTCAAAAGACGTCAATTATGAAACTAGTCAGAATTAAATGAAAGAAAGAAGTAGAGAGTCAGAATGAGTCTGAATTGATCTACCGTCAAAGTTTATAAGTTAACAATGCTACCCAGCTGAATAATTATACGAAAATAATTTGTAATTCGGTCACGACAAAGTCGAATTATTGAATTTTGGAAGACTTGTGTCCACTTGTATTTCACTCGTACTTCTGTTCAGAAGATTACACAGTGGAACCTCGGTATAACTGAGCCTCTATACAACAAATTTGTCGGTATAACGAACCATTTTCTTTGCCACAGTAATAGCAATACTTTATTAAAAAGAACCTTGAAATATCGAAGCCTCCTTACAGAGAACAAAATTCGCCAGTCCCTTGGTTCTTCCATATATCGAGACTCCACTGTAACACCTAAATTACGTGCTGTAACCCCCGGCATTTTTGTACAATCATCTGTTCCGAGGTAATACACCCCAATAGGGAAAAATCAGCTGTGGCCGGGAGCAAATGGTATTCAAAGCAAGTACGTGCAAATTAAGAGGACTTTTTGCGTGGATTCTAGTAACAGAGGGCACAAACTAGGAACAGCTTTAGACATATTGATGGATGAGTAGTTCACGGGGAATGAACTCAACAAAGTTTTATACGGGGAGGCTCCGCTCCGATGTCCAACCCCTTACCGTTTTATATACAATTTTTGACCGAAAAGGTACCCTCCTCCTATTGGCCATTATAGGGATTACCCCCCGGATTAGGTCTACTCTCTTCTACGGTTGACGTTATAAGCTGTTACAATCAGTACTGTGATATTAATCCAAAGTTTTTAATTGCTAAACCGTTGATTTAGCCGTTTTATTTCGGTCCTCGCTATCAAAAGTGTTTCGTCAACCACCCCAGTATGATCAAGTAACAAATTCGCGTTGAGTTGAGCTTGTCACTTCATCCCATCCTTTCATACCTTCCTTAGTTGACCTGCCATGCATGAGTTTTGTCAGGTTTTCTCCTGCCACCCTAGTTTTTATCTGTTGTTATTTCAGTGACTGTCACCGGAGTGAATAACAAGTTGCTAGATCTCAATCTTCAAACAAACTTCGGCTCTCAAAATCTTTATCTTCCTATACAAATTTTTGCCACGATTATGTTGGTTGTTGTTGGTTTATAAAAAGCCTTTCTTTCGCTTAGTTAATAAAGTGTTCTTGCTTAAAAACTCTTCACCGACAATAACAATTTATGAGCGCAGAAGTGTTATCTAGTAATACTCTTCCAAGCGTTATCATTTTCTGTTTAGCATACGAAACAAAACAAGTTGTTTAGGCTAATAGGCAGTGATTTTTCTAGAAAAAGATAGGCCACGCCTTCGCCAAATTGATGGAGCCGAGCTGTTTTGGCCCAGTTATTATCTTCAGACATCAATTCAAACACGGCTTCAAGCTTGCCCTCTTGTTTTCATATGACCAAACTTTTCGATCAAAAATAGAGTGCTCTTATCTGTTTACTCTGGGGATGATGTCTGGTCTTTCTTTTCAGAGGAAATTTTTGCGGCTGTTCCTTAAAAGCTTTAGAAATAAGATCTCTTTAGCACTATTTTCCTGATACACTAATTGTACTGTCTGAATACTATTTGAGTTTGTTCAACGGCACAAATCCGTGATCTAATCTGCTAAGCATAAAATCGTCAAGTATATAAGAAGAGAATTAAAAGACGTTATTTCATGTGAATCGTTGTTTGTTATTTCGTTTCCTTATATGTGTTTTTTTGGCCGCGACTGGACCACTGTTGTTTAGTGAGTAACTTTCAAGAGTCTCGCCCTCAAACAAAGAGCCCCCTCCTTTGTATACTGACCCCTCACTAGGATCCCGACCGATGAACAACAAAGGCACAGCACCTTCTCGCAGTCCACCGCTTTGTCCGGCGAGTAAATATTTGAAAGTTTCCCTTCAAAGCCGCAATGTTTTTTATCCTATCTCTCATACAGGCATTATGTTGACCACAATTAAAATCAGCCACAATACTTTTGAGACTGAGTATGATCATGCGAAAAAACGATTGTTAGCATATCGTCTTAAGCCGAACCAAGACCTGCAAGTACTCCCGCCATTTAATTTAATTCGCAGTGATTGATCTTTCTTTCTTAATTCCGTATTTACATTTGTTTTGATATCTTTCTTTTTGCTAAGTCGCTGTGGTTTTTAAGAGTCTCGATAGTTTTTTTGTGTTATGTCACAGCCGGAGAGAAATGACTCCAGCGGGCGCTTGCGTGAACTAGCCAAGAGGTCCTCCAGAACTGGAAGCCTTGTCTGGATTCGTAATTTCGAAATATTTACCGTATCTCGTAAAATACGGGCCGTTGAACACAACAAAGCACAATCGGGAGTGAAAAGAAGTTAATTTTCTTTTTATATTTTAAAAAATGAATGAGCAGCTGCCCACAGGTCTTTCGTGGCAAGATGAGCTTATGATAATAGCCTTTATTATGTTTGTTTGGGGTTAAATGCAAATTGTCCTCATCTAGACTAAGTGATCTGTGATTGTCACAAAGCTGACAACTCACTTGGGTGTAAGAAAACAGGGATTAAGAGTTAACTGTGGTGCTCTGTAGCACTGCTATAGAAGAAACAGGTTTATATATACTGGGCCTTTACCGTTACCATATACATCCTGTTAGACAAACTGACTTAGCTTCAAGGTACGTCTGCATATGTAAGTACAACGATAACGTAAAAAACACTTTTCAATGGTCTACCTTGAAACATCAATTTGCCGTTCATTTAATCTTCCAGACTGTTTAGTTATTATCATAAATTAAGTTAAGTTTGAAAAAGGTGCCCATTGTCATTTACAACGGTTTTATTTTTGGTTTCTGCAGGTACCGAGAAGCTAGTCTAGCCACGGTGTTTGCATAATCTCGACCTCACTTTCATAATTATTTCTACGGTATAACCAAACAGACCTGGTTCGAATCCCTTGGACTAGAGGAGGAAACAAAATGGACAATTATTTCCAAAGTGTTGTTTTCTTCGCTCTCTTCGTTTGCTTCATTTTACAAGCTGTAAATATGGCCTCAGCGGGTGAATCTTTAAAAATCAAAGGCGACGCAATCATCGGCGGTCTCGTAGCGGTACACGAGAAAGGAAGAGGGGACGCGTGCGTCTCGCCGAACCTTCAAGGTATCTTGACTGTCGAAGCTATTCTGTTTGCCTTAAAAGAAATAAATAGCAAAAAACATTTCAAACTGAAATCGACCTTGGGATGCGAGATATGGGACACATGCCCACGGCCTGAGATGGCCGCAATGGATTTAGTAGTGAACACGAATAGACCGGAGGACCAACTCCTTGTGGCAGCCGTGGGCGATCTCCCACAGCAGCGACCGGAATACCACCGGGCCTTGCTGCTTCTGTTCAGCAGTTTAACGCCACACATGAGCTGCATCTCTTCAACGTTCCAAGCTGAGAATAAGCTGGACCTAATAACCGAAACCAAGTTTATTTTTCACCCCACCACAAGAGACAAGACCAATTTACAAGCGATTGTTGATTTGGCTGCGCATTATAACTGGACTTACGTTGGCATTGTTTACGATGACAGCGCTGAAGGAAAATATAGAGCGGACATTTTACAGCAAGAGGCTAACAAAAAGATGGTATGCACCGCATGGAAATACTCGCTAGCAGCCAACTCGAGCGCTGCACAAATCCAGCAATTCATTACGTCTTTAAAGGCGGAGAAAAATTTTTCAGTCATTGTAATGCTAACGTCGAAGAGTATATTCAAGGACATTATTGACGAGGCGTTCATGCAGAAAGTAAGCGATCTTACGTGGGTGGTTAGCGATGCGTCCTGGGATAACGAGGCAACCTTTGCAAATGAAAATACCGCTGCTCAAGGGATGTTAAAGGTTGGCACCTCAGCATCGATCGTCGGGTTTAAAGCTTTTTTACAAGACCTTCTCACTACTCCGGAACGAAACAAATGGATCATGCAGATTGTGGCCACACCAAGTCCACTGTCTGCTTCTCCTGGTGATACATCTACCGTAATGACAACAAGCACACCAACCCAGGCACAGGCCCCTAGCTCTGTTCAATCGAACGCTTCTTCCAATACTAACGCGACCACGAACGTCCCTAACACAACTCTTTCCTCCTCAACAGCCCCTCCTTCCACACCTAATGCTCCCACTACGTCCCAGTGCAGCAATCCGCCCTGTAATGTCAACAAGACTAAGTTGGAGGAGATTGTAAACAAGTTGAAGTCTATGGCAGACATTGCAACTTGCACCATCGACTCAATTTTTGCAGTGGCGCATGCGCTAGCTGCCAGGGAAAAGTGCAAGAGCAATTGTCCGGAAAAACACGATTTTTACAAATATATTCAGCATGTGAATTTTGAAAGCCTCAGTGGTCACCAGATCAGTTTCAATAGCCAGAGGAACTTGAATCAAACAAAGTGCAAGATCTCGATTCTTCAAAAAACTTCAAATAGTTCTGCGGTTACGGATGCCGAGAAGTCTAAACTTCAGCCATTTGACGTGGGAACCTGGGAGAAATCTGGAACAGACTCTCCCAAACTGAATCCTCCAAGACCCTCAAAGAACATCAAATGGAACACGAACGGGAACGAGGCACCGACGTCTGTTTGCCACGAGCCCTGCAAACCTGGATCATATAAAGCATTTAAAGAAACCCGAGGAGAACGCGAGTGTTGCTGGCACTGTTTAAATTGCGAGGAAAATTCTGTGAGCCGGAAGGAAGACTCAACAACTTGCACAGCCTGTCCAACTGGTTACACTGCCAATAATGCAAAGGACGACTGTGTTAAACAATTTGAAGACTATGCGTACTGGAGCGATGCTGGCAGTCTTGTGATGCTGTTCTTGATGGTAGCCAGTATCTGTTTCAGTATTTACGTTGCGGTGGTGCTATTCAAGAACAGAGAAACACCGGTCATGCGCCGAGCTAAGAATGCCCTTTTGATCTTGTTGCCGCTGGTAATTTTGCTCTTCCTAATTCCTATCCCTCTTCTTAGCAAGCCCACCGAAACCTCATGCGAGGGATACCGCGGCTTCTTCATTCTGGCACTTGGCATTCCTTTGGCTGCCTTGATATCTAAATGCGTTTATGTTGACAATAAGTTCTATGACTCTGACGGTCAAGTTAAAGAAAGTTGGGGTAACTGCATATGTACCCCGCGCATAGCCGTTGCTATAGGAACAGTCATTCTCCACGTGGCAGTAATAATTGTCCTAGCGGTGCTACTACCGAACGAGATCGTGCGATTCCCAACGGACGACCCTTTTACTGTCTATATTGAGTGCTCCTTACACAGTGGCTGGGGCTTCTTATTTGTCATATTCTACATCATGGTGATGGCGACACTGTACTCTGTCCTATCCCTGAGTGAGGAGATTTCCCCGGAGAATGACATGGAAGTGCGGTGGACGTCTTTATGTATTTTTAACTGGTACGCAATCTGTTTCGTTTACATCGTCGTCGGCCATGGTGTGGTCGGGAAGGGGAAGATCTGGGGCTTAGCTTTCGTGGATTTGCTGTTCGCTGTTAATATTCTGGTATGTATCTACCTCCCCAAATGGTACGTCATCGTGTTTCAGCCAGAGAAAAATCAATCGGACGTTTCACCCTGGACCATGTATGTGAAGACGCAGGAAAAAGCTGCGGTGCGCCTCTCAGAAGAGGAGTCACCTGTCATACCAAAGCGAGGTAACCTGGCCAGTACAGCCAAGGAGACTGATGGGAAGGTCAAGGACAGCGGAGACCCGAATGAAAATGAGTTACAAGAACTTATAAGTGACACAGACGTGTGACAGCCAAAGATTGGACGCGACACTAGGTTTTAATTCCCTATCGCATTGCATTAGATTTGCAAATGTTATTAGCAAAAAGCATAACCGTATTTCAATTTTGTCAATAAGCGATGGTTTTGGTACTCATCAATTCTTAGACGTGTGCCATGAACAGTGAAAATTAATTATAGAAATATTGTAATCTATAATTTTAATAGCAAAATTGCACTATACAGCCGTAGGCAAGCGAGAAGTTATCCTTAGGAATCCACCATACCTAAAAAGATGGCGGCTAGTACATTTACCCACAGTTCTTAGCGCATGAAAACCATAAAATTGCTCGTAAAAACGCACAGAAAAGTTTTATAAACTTCAAACCTAGGATAGGCAATGTTGCTATAACAGGGATGAATTTGCCCCCCCCAAAAAAAATGTATATGACTTTATGTGTAATTGGTCGTGTTAGATTCGAAAGGAATTGTGGTAAAATGTACAGCCGCCATCTTTTTCCGTAGGGCGGATTATAGCCGAGGAATATGAGAGGTTTCGCCCCACGTGATGGAATCCCGATTCCAAAATCTGGGAAAATTTTGCATGTGGAATCCAAAATCCTGGGCTTTGGAATTCGAATGCAGCGCAAGGAATCCGGAATGCCACTAACATTTGGAATCCAGAATCCAAGTTCCACTGACAAAGAATCTAGAATCCGGAATCCACGGCGTGGACTCCAGAATCCAATGATAGCTTGGATTCCATAAACTGGGCGAGAGTTCTCTTTTTATATTTTCCTCTTCTAAGTTAAAATATCACTCCTTCCCTCCAAAAATTAACGTATTAGTAGTTTTAATGGTGTCCCAATGCAAGAGGGCCGGGGAACAATAAAAACTACTTGTTGATATGGGACAGACATTACTAACAATCACTTCTTTCCGATTTGTCAGTCAGTCAGCAAATTGTGTACTATAATCTTTTTTAAGAAAAAAAAGTTGCTTTGATTTTATATTCATTTTAATAGCCGAAGATATTTGCTGTTTATTTTCGGCAGATATTACGACGAGGTTGTAGTAAATATTATACTATAAAAAAGGGAAATATTGCTATTTGCAATCACGCGCGGCCGCGCGCTGTAATGGGACATTTGCATTTGAAGTTAGTTTTCGCATCAAGCGAAAACTCTGTAGGACCTTTTGTTTTAATTATAAAAAAGTTATAATTAACAGCAATTGTTATTCCAAGTTTTTAGTTTGTTTTAGTTATGATTAATTGGTAACAGAACTTCGAGTCGTACAATTGTGTCCGTCAGTCATACTCGTGATCGGACTCTGACTATAAGAGGTCTTCCGATTTTGTTTAATGACGGGTACAATCAGTTTACGGTCAAGTCGCCCGAAACCAGAGCTTATGTCGCCCGAAATTTTCTCTTGTTCAGCAACGTCCTAACATCTTAATCGCGCTCGTTTCGTTTCATCAAACCTTTAAGAACAAGATATGTTACTCATTTGAAGTGCTTGCTTCGTTTTATGAAGGCTCAAAGAAAAGAGATCTGTTACGCGTTCACCTCGCTTGTTTCGTCTCTTCATCCCATAAAGAACGGGATGTGATACACACAATTACCCCGCTTGTTTTGTCTCATTATCGCTCATATATTTCAGAACAAGATATAATACATACACTCTATGAAAATTTCGGGCGACTTGACTAAAAATTTCGCGCGACATGACTCTGGTTTCGGGCGTTTCGTCTCTTCATCCCATAAAGAACGGGATGTGATACACACAATTACCCCGCTTGTTTTGTCTCATTATCGCTCATATATTACAGAACGAGATATAATACATACACTCTATTGAAATTTCGGGCGACTTGACTACAAATTTTGGGGCGACATGACCCTGGTTTTGGGCGATATAGCTTCGGGCGAGATGACTGCCGGGTGACTTGACCGGTTACCGTATAATCACAGATCGACCGAATTGATTTATTCACTCAATTCTATTACCATTATTTGTCATTTTATAAGAATGTCTATAGTACGTATAGGACCCAACTGGGCTAAATCAAAGTTACTATTTCGGTGCGACTACATTCTTTTCGCAATGCGATCGTAGAACCTTCTTAAAACGTAATCACCTCTACCAAAGCCAGCCAAAGCTACGGATGTCGGAATAAAACGAAGGAGTAGACAAGACTTACCAATCAACAATCAAGCAATTTTTACGGAGACTAATTTTTTGAATACATGAATCTCAACAAAAATCATTTAGCCAATCGTTTACTTCGAGACCGATGATTGGTTCAAACAACTTTAGTGTGACTTTCTAAAATCTGATTGTGAGTTTTTTTCTCTTTGTTTTTAAGTTGTCTCGGTGTTTGTAGTCGCAGTATAAAATATACACTCTCCAGACTTCCCTGGAGCAATTAAAAATAGTTTTGCTCCCTAACAACAGAGAGCCCGGTATTATTTGTTTGGCCTTCGGGATCCAAGAGAATTTGTTATAAGTACATGTATAAACCAAAAAGATCGTCTTAAAGAGGGCGAATTATTAAGGTTCAATTTGACCATGACGGTACAACCGTTTCAGTCACTGAATTGATTTTCTTTTTGTACGATGCGAGAAAACACTACCCGCATCTTCTCAGCAGAACCAGCCCTCCATAACCATAGTGACACCAAAATCTTCCCCAGGGCTGGTTTTCCCTTGAAAAATAGGTTTTATGGTTCCTCGTGAGACACGTGAGCGGGCCGATGTCCGGGTCTCAAGTTCTCGCTTCGTCCTGTTTTCCAAAGGAAACGCCCTGAGCACGAAATTGACGTGTGCGCACCTGTTTTAGCTATCAGTTAGTCAAATGTTTGGTCAGATATATAATTTATGAGTTATGCACTGCGATTGTATTAGTAGTACAATACCTTAGGTTGCAATTTATCATAATTTTTCTTTAAAAAGTCGAAAGTATTAAATTGTTTTATTGGTTTAGTTTCGCTTTGTTTTGGTTAAAGGTGGGCCTAAATTTTTTTTCTCAACTGGCTATCATTCAGAAAGAAAACAATACCGGTGTAGTCAGCCAAGTGCCTTCGTGTTCTCGGCTCGGTCAATCCGGGACTGTGCCTGAGAGAGACTCGCCGAGAACGCCCACACTCTACCCTCGACTCAAGTTTCTAACAAAAATAGTTAAAAGACGGAGAGGCAGACACACACAAACAAAAAGTCGTACATTAAAAACCTGAAAGTGGCATTACTCTACCATTTTTGTCTACTCTGCAATGAGTTCGGATCGAACTGTTCTCTGTCTGGTCAGCACCGTGAGCTGATTGCAGACGATCCCCGGGGTGGGGCATTTGCCATCCTATTTTCATCCCCTCCTCGGGGTATTTAGTTGTTTCAGTGTCCCTGCCCCCTGGAATTTGCTAGTGCATTATTTATATGGGCATGTAGCAGCGAATGTCGTTTTTCTAAAGCTGAATTTTTTTTCCTGTTTCGTGCGCTTCTCATTCCGAACGCTCCTATAGTCTTTTATACGAAGGACATGCATTGTGTTTCTAACCTCATAGATAGTACTTTCACGTCAAGGTAATTGTTTTGGTTGAGTTATAGCTTGCCATTTAGGGCTCCCGGCTGGTTGGGCGCCGGATTACTGGGGAGAAAGTTGATGGCTGAGTCGTTTACACTCGTGTGCAGCTTCGCACCCCTTTTTCGCGCTCTGTGATCGGCTGAACAGGCCTATTCGCATTGTTTCTGTTGTAATTCTGTTTTTCTGCTGTCCAGTTTAGGTCTTAACATGAATTTTCTTAGAATAACTAGTTTTTCTGCGTAGCAGACGTTAAAGGCCCAAAGCATATAAGTGACCCTTTACTAAAACACAAATGAGGGAGAGAATCCCTAGTAAACAAGCCACGATACTTTCGTTTTCTAAACTACCCAATGGTATTTTCGTCACCAGAGCCTCGGGCCTTATGCCTTTTGTATATAAACCTAAATCAACTTTTCGGGACTTTCGAGTAACCGGCAATATTTTAAAATCAATCTTGACCTAGAGCTCTTCTGTAGAGGGGAGACATCAAGAGATACTCGCCTATTCCCAAACCCGTAAGCACTGGGGTCGAGAATGTTTAAAATGAGATTATTTCCTTTACGCGTGCGCAGTTCGAGGCGCGAATGGTCGTCCAGGAAATTTTGCACGTTTAGGAAGACAGTCAGCGTGTATGACTTAAAAAGTCACTCTCGTCATTGTATAAAGGTAAGCCTTGCTCGTTTATCATATTAAAAAGACAGAACACTAACTTTACCAGTTTACTTGTACTAGAATATTTCTTTTCATCCACTTTTGGCGTCTCACGTTTACCCTCATATTCACCGCTGTCGGCAGAATGAACTCACGCTCAGCTGAAGTTTTTAACCTTAATGCTTTGTTTGGAGTTAAAGATTTTATTTCCTAGCGGATAAACGTGGTTATGCTACGCTATTGAGGGCCTTTAGATTTCTCTCAAAGCAAAATAGAACACGCCAAAAAAAAGCGCGAAGCGAGCATCGAGGCTATTTTTGCACTTATACAAAAAAGTTGAGCAATCCTCCCCCAAGTCAAGCAAACAGATTGAAAATAACCTGCCTAAAATCTTAGCTGTCCTCGCGTTAATACTTTTGAAGATTTTTTTCATTATAGACACGTATCCACTGTAACATTCCTTTAAAAAAATACCGCACCACTTGAAAACAAGGTTCTATTTGCGGCGATGAGTGTGGTGCCTTCTTTGTGAAATGAAAGTGAATGACTTCAGTATTTCAAACGAAGGTTGTTGCTTGTGTTACAGGTGTTATGTCATAACCGAATCACATTGAAGTTTGACACAAACAAACGACATATCAAAATGCTGTAGCTACTTATGGCATATCACTTGACTCATCGCTTTAATGCTGACTCCTAAACAGCTGGTAACGACACAAATTATAGTTTTTTATAGTTTTCAAAAGTCTGAAAATAAGGTGTTTAAATACAGAAAGTGTCCTACTGATTTTAGCTGCTGGTTAAAATGGAGCACAGAGAGAGAAAATTCTTTTCAGTAAAACCCTAAAAAAGGATCTTGGCACGTTGGTACCGGGTTGGGGGGAGTCAGGGAGGGAAAGAACCAGCACTACAACAATATTGTTGCACCGCAACAACTACAACAAAAGTACCAACCTCGTTTCCAGGGTTCTCTCCCACCCGTGCCTGCGGAGCGAGAGAGGGGTAGAAGAGAGAACCTGGGAACGAGGTTGCAAAAGTACGAGATAGCAGGCTCCACACAGTTTGAAAACCTGGATTAAAGTAACATTAAAAAGAGGGGAACACTGCACTAAGCTTGATTCTGAAGCAGGGGTGGATCTAGGGGGAGGGTGCAGGTCCCACCCCAAACTTCCCACTTTCAATTAACACTTAGAGTCAAGGGAAAATCTTCTATCGTTTGATAATTCATTATGGTTCATTAGTCAAAATTTTCCACATTAGTACATGTTGGTGGTGCTCCTGATTGGCTCCGCCCCTGGAAGTAGTGTGCAAGGTTTCCTTTCCTCAGTAATTAGACAAGGGCATTATGGAACATTATGGTTCATTAGGTGTCCAAGGTACATATGCAGGCAAGCTTTCCTTGTAATGACTGGGCATTATGCTCTAGGTGTCCAAGGCATATACAAGCTGTGTTTAACTTGAAAGTGGGCATCTATGTTATGGTTAATTGACAGCTGTCCATAAAAGGGTATCCGCTGACCATTATCACATGACTGTGTCGTGGTCTCAAGTGTGCAACTCATTGAGGTGACATTTTTTTAAAGTTACCCGCTGACCAGTTGTTGGTTTTAGTTGATCGTTGACTCAATTACTTCCGCTATTTTATACTAATAGCGCTGAAAAGGCCATAAAATAAATAACTTTAATAACCTCACCCGTTCGGTCATAATACAGGGAAATCTTAGACATAGGCCTTGATATATTGACCTCTGTCTGAGATTTCCCTCTAATGACCTCACTCTTATGCACAAAACCACAAGAACATAAAACATCCTCTCCCAGACCTGGCAACTACCAATGAATGACAACTCAGAGTTATGCAAATAATACATATTGCTGTCTTATATTTTCCCAGCCATCTCATACAGCCTCACTTACATGTACTAATTTTTGGAAGAGCAGTTGTCCCCTATGGTTACAAACTCAACAGAGTTTTTTAAAAAACTTATGTATTATTCATATTCCTCCCACTCAAATACTCTCTGGTCACTAAACAAATATAAATGGGAGTGATTTTATTCAAGTCAAACAAATAAGTTAACATGCCACTCTTCTGCACATTTAAGGCACAAGAATCACTCACAAAAATTAATTTCTTTTTCCCCAAAAATGATCATAACACTGGCTGTGGCATGAACAGTTAATGCTTATATCAGTGGGAGTAACAACACAAAAAAAAAACACAGCAATTGCTGGCCACTTAACTCGGGCATATTCAGCATCTTTTCAGCAACTCACTCATGAAGGATTTGTTTGTTTTACTTTTTTTGCTTTTTTTACTTTTTAAAATTTTTTTCGGAGTGTTGAGGGAAAATAATTATTTTCAAATTTTTAATATAATTTCCTCAGGAAAAAATTCTTGGTTTTAATCTTTGCAGAATACTTTGTAGAAAGAGAAGTTTAATCCTTCAAGTAGAAATTCATTGCTTTGATCTACACTAGTTTATTAGTGCTGAAATAGTGCTTAAGTTTGAATTTGACAAATAAATTTTATAAAATAGTAAATCTAATTTCAAATTATGGATAGCAAATAAATCTGAGTGAAAGTGCACAGGTTAACTATGGACTCTTGAAATAATCTTGTCCCAAGAAAAAATAACTAACCTTATTATAAAGTAATGCACAGGCTCAATATAATTACCATCTTGTTGATTACATAAACAGTTTGTAACAAGTTACTCATTAAAAATATGTTTAGACTGGTACCCATTGCTGCAAATAACAGCCAGTCATCAAGCAATGTCTGACTACAATTTTGTGCAAACTCCTACATGCAGTTGGGCATAATGATTGGACTTTCTGATAGTGCAGGCTCATTTCCCAAACAGCAGCTGGTAATCAAGCCTAGGACAGATCAAATACTGGAGACCATCACTTTGAAACCACAGACTTGCCTTGTAGATCAAGAAATTCAACAAGTTATGCTCATGGATTTTTCTGGCTTGTCCAACTAAATAAGAAACTATTTGCAGCCATGAGTACATGAAAAGGTTTCCTTACACTGCTTTTTATTTTTTAGAAATTTAATATTAGTTTGAATTGCTGTTTTCAAAAATATTGCCAAAATGTGAAATAAATGCATTTCCACTCCTGTTAATTAGTATTCCCATAAAGCAGCTTTTCCAATTTCTTTCGCTGTGGCTGCAAACGATCCATTCTGGTGACCCTGGATGTAGCAACCATTGGCAGCCTTAATCGCTATTCTGTTGTACTGAGGAAGTTCAATATTATACTCGCTGGCACCACTTTCATCAGCTGACAGGGTGATGTTAAACTTCTCATCATTACACCAGAATTTTCCTGAATCAGTGCTGATCTTATACATTCCTTTGTCGCATTTCATATGGAAGACATCATATTTTGACTGATTGCTCTCAATTTTATCTTTGACTCCAACACGGACAAAACCAAAATCACCACGGAGAACCAGCATTGGCCTATTGACAAGCTCTGGAATGTGATATCCTCTCTCCTCGTCAATCTCATCACCACCTTCAATAAGATGACCATTGTCTTTGCCTGTAATGTACTTGCCAGTGTGGGATTTGAATACAATCTGTTTGCCATGCCATTCAAGCTCAAACCAGGAGTTAGGTCCAGGCTTGTCGGCTGATGCTGTCATGCCCTTGTCACCCAAAACCCAGTACTTTCCAGTTGAGCCACGAACTGCTACTTTCTTGCTTGATTTGTCAAATTCCAACTGGAAGATCTCTGTGTCTTCAAGTTCACCACGGCGATCAAGAATTACATCCATGCCTAAAAAGAAGGAATGGTATGGGTTAACTAACAAGATCAAATCTAAAACATACAAGTTTTAACCACTGGATTAAGACAGTGATTCGTTCTGACAAGAGAAAGGCCTTCTGGCATCATATCTCTGAATACCATAGTTCACACTGAAAACTGAAAATGAACTCTATCAACCCTGTCCATTACATGGGTTCATAAACCAAAAAATCACAATCCCCCGCCCCCCCCCCAAACAACAAAACAGTAACCAGCAGACTTAAATATTCTAAATACATGTAGGGCAACTTTAGAATTTCCAGCTCTCTTGTTTTCGAATGAACCTGTAGCTGTTGTAACTATAACCGATTTTAAACTTTGCTGAAATTGTGACTTTTCACAATTGGACCAAAACAGCAAAACCAGAAACAAAAACAGGTTGATTGAAACCAGAAAAAAAAATGTTACCTCTTGAAAAAATTGAAAACCAAACTATGTAAAAGAAAAAAGATTGAAACCAATACTGATCGATCATCCCCTGAATAAACTTCAGTAACTTAAAAAAAAGGGCTTGAACAGCAAACGCATATACCCTCAGAGCCACTTTGTAATGTTAAAAGTTGGTCAGATAATTTTCTATATATTTTTTTCTTCTTTACATGACAGTTATAGTGAAAGAGCTTTGGCAACAAGGAAATTAAACAAGCAAATTGATCAAAGTAAGCAAATGGTCAAATGAATATCTTACAGAATAAATTCAAAAAAAAATTGTCATATTTATCTTGATATTGTTCAAAGGGACAAAAACTATTCTTAATTGAATAAACTACATTGTAAGGGAAGGTGATTTGGTCTTCTAATCATTTTTGTCTTGAAATATATTATTCTAAAAATTCATATTACCCTAGACCAGTATCCTATGCCCTTAGGCAGCCACAGAAGTGCATGAACATATTATTTATGTAGTCAGCTGTTATTTTTTTTTGTATTATCAGCCTAACTAATGGTTGGCTCGCAACTCACAGATGAATTTTTATTTTTGGCATTCATTCACTTTCATTCTAAACAAACTTGAAACCTTCATTTTAAAATATGCAGCAATTACAATATTGTCTATATGGATGAAGTTTTATTTATCTCAATAATTTATTGAAACTTGTCAGAGTTATACAAAAGAAATATAATCATATTTTGCATGCCCATATCCTTGACTAATTATAAAAACAATAAGCTTATCAGCTACATATATTACCTTTTAAGGTAAAAGGAATGGAAAGAAAATCACAGCCAAGAATGCATAAACAAAAAGATTATTTTTTCATCATAGACAAAATTGGCATTGTTATCTTTACACTCTTGAATGCTTCTATAACAAAGAGCCTTACTCCTTCAAATAATGACATATCCGAGCTCTTGCATTTTGGAGGAAAGCAGACTGTTCAAAATGCACTTTCTCTGTACAGGTTCCAGTAGAATTGTTTCCACGATAAGTAATGAGAAATTAAAAATCAGCCAATTTAGGCGAGTTATCTGTCAAAGAGACTCAGAGCGTAAATTTTCTATTGGTTTTCTATTTTCAGAAACGAACAAGGACAGCAAAAATGACAATAAGAATGACAATAAGCATTATTTAACTCGACACACTGCCTTTGTTGCGTGACATCATGGCTGGATTAGATAGGCAAAATTGTAGCACTATGATCACAAGGGGATATGGATTAGTATGTGTCTGCATACTGGCACGTTCTGTACACTCGAGATTCGAGGCGAAAAAGATCTATCGATCAACACTGCAACAGCGATCACGATTCGAATAAATTCCTTAGATTCAAGATAAATGCACGACACAGAAGTATTCAACAATTTTTCTTCGTTGACCCCAGCAGCTGAAAAAATCGTTCAAAGAACGAAGTTATGAACACTTTTCACGCATATTTTTACGCGTGAGTAATTTTAATCGGCGATTTGCTGAATTTACAGAACTGTTGGTCATATAATAAGATCGCTTTTTTTTTGTTCTATTGTTATTATAGAGTCACTGGCATAATAATTATTGTTATGTACACAGTTGCTTTCAACTTCTCGCCGCGTGGAATCAACCAGGACGTCTAATCTCTTTGAAATTCATCATAAACATGACTTTTGTTTTGTTTTTTTTTTTTCGCCCAAATAATTGCCGTCGCAGAAGTGATTGCTGTAACTGCAACATTTTAGACTCGCTACATTCTACCCACACGTGGTCAAGTTTATCGAGTGCAAAGCCATTTTTGTTAACAATTCAAATCACCGTCAACAACAAACAAGATAAAGAACGGACACACAAAAGCATCTTCAAACCTGCAGATTGGCTTGTAAACACAGAAAAATTTGCATTTTTATGAATGAAATCGGAACGAGCTTGTTAATGTCAATGATTCATAGACAGGGGTAAGGCTTCGTATATATAGAATAAATACAACGGAACTAACCCAGTGGGAAACAAAACACAAACTAACACAACAGAATATTGTACAGTCGTACCTTGGTGAATTGACAGTCGCCTGCCTGGTTTCGGTCCAATGAATGAAACTTGCGGTGGGCTATCTTGGACGTCAAACAGTTCGTCTTTTCCGACGGTGGTGTTTTTGCCGGCATGAATCTTTCCTGTTCCCACGGGAGCGAGGTAAGTACCCTTGTCGGTTCTGAAAGCCACCTCCCCCTCATGGAATTCAATGGTGAACAAACTCTTCTTACTGGCATCCTCTACAAGCGAGCCATCGTTCGTCAGATACTTTTTGTTGCTCGCTGCGATCGCGTATTTCCCCTCTTTTTCGTCGAACTCCAGAGTGATCGTGGCGTCCGCTCCCCAAGGTATAATCTCGGTGGCTTCGAGCGTGTCCGTCTTGGTGTTGAGATGAGCGAAGCGCGTTCTTCGCGAGCTCATCAGGTTGATGTGTGGGTGCATCGCAAGCTGAATACACCATAACTCTGAAGCGCCGGGTTTCGCCACACATTTAAGCTGATCACCAGTTCCACCGAAGTATGCCCCATATACGCTTTTTATGGCCCACTTTCCGCTGGGCTGTGTCTCGACAGTGAATTTCGCTTCCTCGACTCGCTCTTCGTCCTCGCATTTCATGTTGCCTCTCCGATCTGCCGACAGATATCTGTTGAGGTGGCTTCGAAAATAACAAATATTGCTACCTTCTTCCTGCTCCAGTGTCCACATTTGTTTCTTCTTCAGCGCAGTCCCGTCCACGTTTAACTTGAACCCGAAGGTCTCAAGCGTGAGATATCTTTTCGAGGCTTCGTTGAATAGCCCAAAATTCCATCTGAACGATTTGGTAGCCATGTCGTTTGCGCGCGTCTGACTAATTCCGAGTATAAAATCGGTAAAACGTCGCTAAAAACTTTTTTTTTCAACGCTTGAGAAATTCAGTGAGCGAGATCAATGACGCCCAGGCGTGCAATTGGCAAGGCGTGCGATTACTGGAGAGTGTAGCTATTTGAATTGCCTAGCATCCGCGCCTTCAGGAAACGAACAAGAGGACCGCCTTCTATCATCTTGATTGGAAAAAAGCCATGTCGTGGCCCGTCATTCATCATTAACAGCTGTCAACATGTGGTCGGTATAAAATTCTTCTCTGTCATTAGACTTCGAGACAATCCTGTGGTATATTGTTTTTATCCAAAATTACTGGTTATCAATCCTTTAAGCCTTTGTTTAAGCGCTCAAAACCTGGAAATGCTTTTATTTCCGCGTGGAGGCAACGCCCGCTTCGCGTTTTCTTTCATTTTTCGCATGAGCACAATGATGTCTCGTGAGCCAGACGAGTTTGACTAATAGTCGCGGGTCGCGGGTCGCGGGTCCAATGTCGCGGTCGCGGGTCTAATGTCGCGGTCGCGGGTCCAAGGTCGCGGTCGCGGGTCCAAAGTCGCGGTCGCGGGTCCAATGTCGCGGTCGCGGGTCCAAAGTCGCGGTCGCGGGTCCAATGTCGCGGCAGGGGAAAATGATTTGAAAACGACTGATATGAAAACAATATGAAGGGAAAAAATCTTTTTTGTGCACGATACTCTACGGTAGCCAATTTACAGGTTACGGATGTTAGAGTCAACAATATAATGTCTCAAGAAAAGACCGCAAGTTTATTTTGTTTTCTTTCTGTCGGGCCCAGTTAAGTGTAAATTCTGCTTTGAATATACTTATGTATAACAGTATCTGATAAAAAATGTTACCATGAGTAACCATTGTTTTCTTCTTGTCTATGAATTGCTCACAAATCCTTAGGGGTGCATTCACTGAAAAATGTGCGATACACTTCATAGACTATAAATTATAAACGTTACAACAACTTAAAACCTTTTTTAAAAAAGGCTAACTCGGGCTCGAAAAGCTACGAGTCTGTCGGTAGAAGAAACGAGAACTGTTTCAATTTTAACAAATGTTTTCGGCAAAAATAAAGAAAACGCTTGTTGAAAAACTTCCTGGTCGCTGTTACGAAAAATTGTATTGCGTGACTAGTGTGACTTTCTAGAAGCTTCGCGAGAGTTCATAATTTGTTTATTTTAGGATCTTGTGTAAGAGTTTCTAAAAGCGGTATATTTTGTAATCTTTCTATAATTAGACTATTTGGAAAGTTCTAGAATCTTATTGTAAACGTATATAAGGTAGGCGAGCCCGAGTTAAGTTTTAACTAGTTTTCACAAGAGAAGAGAGTTTGAAGATGGTCGTGTTTAGTAAAGTGTGACGAAGGCAGTTTTTATTCAAGTTGGCGGAGGCCGCGTAAGTTTAAAGAGTTACGTCTGTTGTGGAGTTTTACTCAGTGGAAACTACGTTCTTCTTTGGAATAAATCTTCTTGTTGCTGTTCCGACAACGCTGCGTTCAGTTTAGTTTGCAAGCTACCCGTCCTCTAAAAGATTACCCGCGTAAAAGTCGCAAACTCCCAAAATAAACTCTTTGCACAAGTAACTGGAAAGAGGAGGAGAGACGTTGGGCTTGAAGTGCCAGTAAAGTACATTCAAGCGGGTATTCAAGGCATGACTTTAATAAAAAACAAGTACTAATCCACAGCAAGAGGGGATAAAGCTCCAGCTTTATCCTCTCTTGTCCACAGAAAGGAGTTTGTTCCCAATAACGATTGAAATCCGGAATCCAAGTTCTACTAAGAGAGAATAGATCATAGTCTCTTGGTTCCACTGACAAAGACTTGAATCCAGTACCTGGAATCTGGAATTACTTACCTAATTTATTGTCTTTTCTTAACTCTGGTAGAGTTGATAACTTACCGTTTTCAGTGTCTGGTTTACTTTCTTTTTCAGCTTCATGATATCGGGCGTTATTATTTCCTTACCTACTTACTCACTTAGTTATTTACGATGCATGTTTTCAAGATTTGACTGAGACGCACATTGAATGGCTTCCTATTGTCAGGTTGTCCTGGTTGCCATTTAGGTGAAGAGAACAAGAAGTTATATTGAACTCTCTGGGTTGCCGTCTCAGTTGTAAAAATAAAAGCATTAAGCGAAAATCTTGCTTCGAGGAACAGACTCCTTTCTGTGGATTATTAGTTGTTTCCATATTAAATTCATGCCTTGAATACCGCTTGAATGAAGTTTCATGCGCCTATTTACATTTTCTTTCAGTTTTGTCGAAAACATTTGTTAAATATAAGAGTTCTCGTTTCTTCTACCGACAGACTCGTAGCTTTTTGAGCCCGAGTTCGCTTTTTTTAAAAAAAAGGCTTTAAGTTGTTGTAACGTTTATAATCTGTAGTCTATGAAGTGCATCGCATATTTTTCAATAATTGAACCCTTAAGCATTTGTGAGCAATTCATCGACAACAAGAAAGCAATGGTAACTTATGGTAACTTTTTATCAGATACTGTTATGCATAAGTATATTCAAAGCTGAATTTACACATAACTGGGCCCGACAGAAAGAAAAAAAAAAATAAACTTGCGCTGAACACAAAAGTCGGCCAGCTTTTTCTTTTAGGTCTTTCCTTGAGACATTATTTTGTTGACTCTAACATCCGTAACCTGTAAATTGGCTACCGTAGAGTATTGTGCATAAAAAAAAAAGATTTTTTCCTTTATATTGTGTTCATATCAGTCGTTTTCACTCAGCTGTTACCTCGAACCCCAAATCATTTTCCCCTGCCGCGACATTGGACCCGCGACCGCGACTTTGGACCCGCGACCGCGACTTTGGACCCGCGACCGCGACATTGGACCCGCGACCGCGACTTTGGACTCGCGACCGCGACTTTGGACCCGCGACCCGCGACCCGCGACTATTAGTCAAACTCGAGCCAGACGGTTTGTAAAGTCATTTCAAGTGTCGACAGATGGCGCTGCTGACTACTGGTTCGATCCAATCAGTAAGGGCACGTCTCCAATTTTATCCAAGCGAAGTCACGAAATCATCATACTATTCATGTTCAAGGGAGTTCATAGGGACCTTAATAAAACTTTTCTTTGCGCCGGCAAGAAGTCAAAATCAATATTTAGTTTACAATCGCTAAGCGTCTGTCTCACGACGTGTATTCTTATTACACACGATCTGAATAACTTGTTGTGCGATTAATTTTAATTTTGATTTTCATTTTAAAAGTGATAAAAATGATCGTGCTTTCTTTTATGAACCCAACGTCCTTACTCCTTCTCGTTCCACGCGCGAAAAACTGCTGCAAATTTTTTTATCACACCCGCAAGTATATTTAGACAATTTTTTTTACAAAAATCTTTGAAATGCAAATCCAGAAATTTTCAAATGAAAGCCGCTAATGGGTGCCCAACAGACTCCATATTAAAAGCCTCAAAGACCCTTAAACACCGTACTGCAAAAAATCCTCTATTAATAAATAAATCCTTTTGTTCTACGCTTATTAGCATGAGTTTTAGCATTGATTGTGTCGTCGGCCACGTCTTTCCTTTAACATACATGTAGGTGTGCTACTCTCTTTGTTGTAGCCAATCATATTCCGCAGCGTGCGCAATTCAATCACATCACTTGTCCAAACAAGTAACTGCAGTTTTTATTAGACTTTCGCCCAGGCGACAATGAATTGAATTTGTGACCGTACAGTTGGACTCCACGGCAACCGCACACACTCATAGGGTACAACTGTCCTGCTCGCTTTTCAGTTCAATGACATATTTTTTCTTTAGCAAACAAGGATATATTTTTGACATAGTTCTCAGATTTTTACCACATTAACGTGCGGCCATTTCCCCGTCCGGCTAGCTGTTTCGCTGATCCTCGCCGGAAAAATAAAATTCGAGTCCTTGTTCAGCCATCGATTAACCGCTTTGTCTCAGTTTTTATTCAAGAACAATCATTTCCGCACTGGAAACATGAACGTTTTTCTCTGACTGGCTTTCAGATCTGCCCGAATGATGCGCTTAGTGGGGTTTAGGTAGCGTGTACGCTCTTTCAGCTGGCTCCTTTCTTCTTTCCTTTTTATTATTATTTTTTTCACTTTCTTTTATTTTTCCTCTTATTGGTCTTTCATCTTCGTGGTTTTGGAACACCTACGTTAAAATTAAAAGATTTAAGAGAATTTAGCTGGAAGTGTGAGCAAGAAGTTATTTAGACAAGCAAAACCACGGAAGAAAACCGATGTGCAGTGATTCCTGAGGTCGTTGAGGACCATGATCTTTAATTAATTTGTCACACACAAAAAACGATGGGGTTATTGCCGTTGTCGCAAGACCAAGTGATAAGTCCCCAGAGGACGTTTAGAATTAAGTGGTCTATATAAAAGCCCACTGATACCCACAGGATGGAATGAAGAAACAGGCCATTTCCAAGTTCCAAAAACCACCACTGTCAAAATGTGGCCGAGAGCAACACATTGTTCCAAAAAGGAGTTTATTTGCATGAAAATCAGGGCATGAAAATAAAAAATTTATCGAGGGATTTGCACTTACCCTCGTTTTAAAACAGAGGCTACTCCGCTAAAACTAGCAGCACCTTTAGTGCGGGTAAAAGAACTTATGACAAAAGAGCTTGCTCCAATCAATCTTAAAACCATAGATTTGGCTAAAAAATAATAAAAATGACGAAGCTAGTTAAATCGACCAAAGACGCTGTCCAAAGTCAGGGAATTTCGTTCATGGTAATTGATCTTTGGAAAGATTAAAAAGGATCACCCTTTGCACCTAAAATCTCCCAATTATTGAATATATTTCTTTGCTTTCACATCTTAAATAAGTTAAATTGATTCTTAGCATATACCTTTAACCTGTGTCTAACCTAGAAACCAAAACGCTGGGGGCTAACCAGAAAGCGTCTTTAAATTTTTTTAAGTTCAGTAGTTCTCAGGCTCTAATAACAAATTTTGCAATTATCTGGTAAGCTTATTTTTGTACTAAACATTTTATTGCTTATTGTAAATTAGTAAATTAACCACAAAGAGCAAATAACGTCCATTTATCTGATCCAGTGGGGCCAGTGGGGCTGACCATCAATATTTTCCATACCGGAAGGCTCCACCCGAGAAGACGGTCATTTAGGTGTTGAGGAGGGCCCTTGGGGACCATTTTTTTGGGGGCCCTTCAAGACATTAGTCTGAACTCCTCGTTGCCAGGGTCTCTCGTGCGAGAGAGGACGAGAGAGAGGTTGTGTCGGTTGTGTCTCCAACAGACTAACACCAAAGAAAAAAAGTGCAAAAATTCAGCGTCTGCCGTAAAAGAGAGGACCCAATGAACCAATCACAGCGGGTCATGCGATACAAATGATTGTGCTGCGAAGACTAAGAGTAAGCACGTGACGCTTCGCGATCTTACACCTCAAGTGATTACATCGTGAGACGAACTAACGACAATCCTCTTTACCATTTAACTTTAGACCACGATGAAAAACCATAATGTGACCCAACGAGACAATTCCAGCAGAGTTTTTCATTGCCTATTACAAATCTCCTCGACGACATTTCAGTTGTAAATTTTTCCTGATTTACTCGTCAGCTGCCATTTCAAACATTTCTATGAAACGCACAAGCACTGTCAAATTTCCTTTAGTAGAGGGAGGACAATCTTATTCCAGCTCGCATCCCATCGTGTCCTTTGAAAACTTGCAAGATTTTCTTTGTAACTTGAGAGTAAAGGTTTGCTCAAAGGAAACCCTTTAAAAAGTTTCTGTCAAAGAAAATGAGGACCAATTAAGCGACTGAAAAGAATCATACTGTTAAGAGCAATTATTAATATCTGGCCTATACTGAAGAGCATATAGGTAGGTTTTGCTATAATGTCAAAAGAACAATCAGAATAAAAGCTTAGATAACCACAAAAGTTGGATACATAACCTTATTTCAGTAACTGACAAACAAAACAAACAAAACTAACCAAGAGAAAACCCTCGACAAAGGGGACACCCAGACACCTATATAATTACTAACTTTAACGAAACTCGGCATAAATACATCAACTGACCAACAGATAAAATTTGTCAAGTTATGCTAAGGCAGGCTCTTAGTGTAGTAGAGGAGTTCCAGGGGGAAGGTACTTGGGGTAATTTTTGCTGGATATGTGCCGCTTGCCCCTCAGAGCCCCTACCCCATTATAGTCTATTCTGTGATCAATTATAGACCCCATCTTAGTCACTTTTGGGCAAATGCGTAATTTTCGAGATCCCAACTTAGTCACTTTCCATTTTTATGAATTGACCCATTTTTCAGATTGAATGAAAAACACTTTACTTTTGTTGTGCAGTAAAAACACTCTGGTACGTTTGCTAACCGTAAATATGAAGAACTTGTGAATGACGGGACCAGTCAGCAAAACTCCGTCAACACGGCTGGACAGACTAACACCTAAAACTCTGTAAAACTGACAAGTTTAAAAGTGGTTTGTTTTGAACTGAAGAAGAAATAGCTCCGCAAAGTCGCGGAAGTTTACAGCCCTTTGTTTGGTAGGGGGGTCAATCTCTTGTCGTCACCTAGCCTGCGTGGCAAGCGTTTCTGTGCGGTTTAGGAACAAAAGTCAAACGCCGCGCGTAAAATGGCGCAAGTAAAAGAGCGGGGAGGTTGGTTCTCGTTTCATTTCTCCCGCGGTCAAAACCGAAAGTCCCTTTCCATGAGCTCTTTTTGCCCCGAAACCAAACGGAAACGCTTGCTACGCAGGCTAGCCCTCACCATACAAACGTCTGTAAAATTTCCCGACTTTGTGGAAGCAATATCTTCGCTCGCTTTGGACGTATTACCATTATACTTGGTAAATGTTCAGCAGTGTCCATGGATATTCGCTTACTGGTCTTTATCAAAACTTGTAAAAACCGTGCAACGGTCTATTGGAAGTTCAGTTATACTACTGTAGGCAAAAAGACTGTAACAGATGGTGCCAGATTCATGAAACATACCTTCAGTTGTTGAGCGAGCTCTAAGCTGTCATGGAATATCAGTCCGTTTTCTTCATGTTTCACTAACTCATGTAAGCTGAAAGAAAAAGAGAAGACAACAGATATGTACAAGATCAGAGCCGTAGCTAGCGAGGGGGGTACAAGAGGGGCAGCTGCCCCCCCCCCTCCCCCCCCCTCCTGGACCTGTTGAGCCAGACAACTCAAGCCTGTGGATGGATTTGTTTCCTTTAGACTCAGTCATTTTGATTATAGTGACTTGCAATTGTTTGTCATTTTCGTGATGATTCGAGGTCGATTTTTAGGAGACATCTCTCATGACAAGTGCTGAAAATAGCGTTTCGGAGCCACCAAATTTAAAACTTTTCTGTGGGAGGATACCCCAAGACCCCCTTACAAGGCTTTTGCCTTCGGCACTCGCGATAATGCCGCCCACCCCCCGATTATAAAAACCTAGCTAAGGCCCTGAAGATCGAACGCTAAGGAGATGCAAAAGACAGAAACGAGGTTTCACCCTGGATGACTTCGTCAAAAATCCTTGCCTTAATTCCCATATACCATCATAGGTTCGTTAACTAATGACATTACGAAAAACGAAATGTTAGTCCGCACTCTTACCAGTCAAAATGTATAGCACACACTGGTAGGCCACATCCAAACATGTCCACCACCTGATAAGAACAATATGTATGTATGCACTCTTAGTTACGACTCCGACGTACCATCCGCTCCAAGGCGGTGGTTCCTTAAATATTCCACAAGAGTGTGCTGCTTATTCTCCACGTCTCTGAACTTGTTCCAGACAAGAAATATTTTTTTTAATTTTTTTTTTATTTTTTATTTTTTATTATTATTTTTTTTTTATTGCAAGTAATACACACACAGAAAAGAAACAAAAATTACACAGAATAAATAAATTAATAAATAGAAAAAAAAAAAGTAACAAATAAAGTAACAAAAAAAAACAAATAGCGAATTTACACACTTACATGGCAATATACTTACAAATATTAAAATACGTTACAGCAATGGTAATTCCATATATTACTGTACTTAGTATAATCTATAATTAATTTTTTACATTTTTTTTTTCTTTCTTTGTGGTGAAAGTAATATAAATACTCATAGTAGGTGCACTAATTTATGTTTTTGGAGTTAGGAGACAAGACCCAGCGAGGAAAAGAAAGGTTTCCATTTTTTTGTATTGTGCGGTGTCTTATTTTCTAATTGGTATACATGTCTCAGATAAAACAAGAAATTGTTGTGAATTGGGAAACATTCTTTTGATCTGCATATCCAGATAAAGTTCTTAGCTATAAGACAACAGAAATTTATATGGAGCTTAAAGGAAGAGCTGTCTGGCGTTAGGCCCAAAGCGGTAGTCATGTCTAAGTAACTGCCTGGTTGGAGGATCTGGCACGACTGAAGCCATATCGAGAAATTATCCCAAAAATTTTTGGTTTTTTGGCATTTCCAAAATAGATGCACCAAATCCTCTTTCTCGTCATGGCAAAAAGTACATTTTCCGTCCTCTTTAACTCCTATTTTTTGCAGATAGCTGTTAGTTGGTAAACGTCTGTGTAAAAATCTGAAATTAAAATCAATTAGTTTTGAGCTCGTTGTACAAGTGTTTGCTGCTTGCTCCAGACAAGAAATAGCCAGCGAGCAAGCAAGAGGACGCGCGAGCGAGGCCGAGCGGCCCCTCGTACTCACATCTCCTTTCAGCTGCTCCTTATGGCTGGGCTGCCCATTTTCTTTAGCCGCTATGGTTATTTGGGGCAGCTGTACTCCTCTATATTTTTGTTAATTCATTTTGTTAATCAATATAGTATACTGCTGGGCACGAATAAAACTGTAGTTGTTGTTTCGCGTGCGGCTCTCGCGTGACTTCTCGTGACTCCTGCGAATGGAAAGCTTGCTCGCAGGGTAGACAAGAAAAAGGTGAATCCTCCGAATTTGGGATCCTGTTCTCAGTAAGCTACACACGACGGCACATCTCCGTATATGCCATACATAGGAGGTCAACCCTGGTTTGAATTGGGAGTTTAGGCGCGCAAGGGCGCCATTCAGGTGCTAGCGCCCGAATTCCCCCTTCACTTCCCACTTAAATGAATGCCACGCAGGCAACGGGTTGATGGCCATGAGTACATTATAATGGTTGAAAAATTTAATTCATCACAGACTTAAACTGCTTGAGGTGGAGTTTCTTCAGGTATGGGGCAATCTAACTCTTCAAGTGCACGGATCAGGAAGCATACAACGAAGGTTATGAAGCTCTCAGTAGACTGACCTTCATTGGTAAATCAAGTCCTGAGGAAGATTTATGAAGACACACACCAAGATCAGCTGAACCTGAAAGTAAATACACCTAATTTATTATTATTGTAATTATTATCATTATTATTATTATTATCATTATTACTATTATTATTTATTTCTATTTTTATGTGATATTTTGCTGACACCTTCGCTTCAAACAAATTAGAATTTGTTGGTTTCATGAAAATGACTCCTAGTTAGTTAACTTGGACACAACCTCAAGAAACAGCTACCCTTTGATTCAAGCCTGAGTAGCAAGCGTTACTGTGCAAAATGAAAGTAAAAGTTAAAGCAAGAGCTAAACAAAGCAAACCACTTCCTTTTCGCATTTCTCACCTCAACTTTTGCATTTAGCTTGCACGGCCCAAGAAACTGCATGTACATCTTCAATCAATCAATCAATTTATTAACGTCCATACGTGGGATGGGGTGGCACCGATCATCCGAGCCACAGGTTCATGTATAAAACGGATGAACTACAATAACTTATTTTTGAACTTTCTATTTGAACTTCCTTGGTTTGCTTCCGTTAAAGACTGTTATTTAACTCCACTGCTTTTCAGTTATCCTCAGAAAACAGCAGTCCAAGCACATGAGCCTTCTTGACTTCCAGTTGCTGTACAAGATGTTTGGGACATTGAAGTGCCAAAAAAGTAAGAATGGCTCAAAAATCTGATAAACGTCTATAGATATCTTCCAACACCATCGGAAATAATCTTCAGGCATCTTTGGATATTTTCGGTTTACCATCTGACATCCTTAACAATGAAAACCTCATGTCCTGTGACTTGCAACAACTTTAAAGGTAACCTTTCATAAAATTAATATAAATGGCCTACCAAGCAGTCTTGGATAATCCTCTGGCTCCAGCCATGGAGTACATATTCTCACATGTTTAAAATCCTTTTCATTAATAATTATGTTTTGGTAATATTTCTTTAAAGGTCCTTTGCCTGAGAAAGGAAACAACAATACATGTATAAGCAGATTTGTATTTTATTAAATGTTTTAACATAAAAAAAATTGTCTAAACGGTTTGACATAAGCTTAAAACTCACCAGTTATTGCACAAACTAACGAGGGAAGGTTTTCCTTATTTTCAGTGATAAACTTCTCATAGGCTGTTGAAATTTAACAAAACAAGAGATTATGAATAGAAATTAGCGACAAGTCCCAGTATTAAGTAACAGGTTCATATTCCATCTCACAAGTTCTACCAGAAGAAACAGGAAAATTTAAGGAAGAATTCTCACCTTCAAGAGCATCCAAAAGAATGGAAAAGTCTTCATCCTCTGTAAAATTAAAAACAAAGGCATGTGATAAAATGAAAAAAAAAACATTTGTTTTGTGTGATGTCTTACTATGAAGTAATGGTATAAGGTGGTGTGTCATATGTTACAGGTTAAAATTTTGTAATCTATGTTGATTTTTTATTTCCTTTGTCTACTAGCCCTAATTATTAATGAATTAGGGCTAGGAGACAAAGACAAGATTGATCTGCTATGGCCATACTGGTATCTACATGTATTCCTGTTTCAAAAGGAAGAAAGTAGCTGCTACCTGTCCAGCTAGTACTGCTGACCAATAGAGCAGATCGGTGCTGTCTGTTGAGAACTCTCCCATCTTTGAGCTGGAGTGTAAATGCTGTCATGGAAGCAACATTTTCCTTGTATTCTGACGGGCTTCAAATGGGATAAAAATAATGTTAACTTAACACTTACAATACTAAAACATAATGTGAAAGCGTCCTTATTCAGATAAATGGGAAGGTCACTCGAAAAGTTCTTACTACATTAAAAGGCCACATAAAAGTTATTACCTTTCCAATGCACTGAAAACTTCATACTCTTTTGATAGTTTTTCAAAAAGCTACAAAAATAGAAATGTTGAATTGATGATATTACCTTCCAAGAATAATGTAACCTGATTACCCAAAATAATAATAATTATTGCATTGTTTTACCTCTTGATTTAAATCGTGTATGTTATTAGTGTATATCACCGGTGTTTCTAAGGTTTCTTCCCCAAATTTTAGATGGCTTACAAGCGTGTTCCTAAAATCAATATATCAATATTCCAACCACTCTTTTTGTACCCATTTTCATTTTCTGCACTAAGAGCAACATACCGTCAACAGAACTATGGGAAATACTAAATTTACCATGCAATAAAAACAAAAGCAAAAGAATGAAAGGCACACAATGTTGTACAATATTTATTTTATTAACAGAGAAACAAGAATAAGTCACCTCATGCTGTGAAGTAAGATCCACTGCTTGAAAACGTAATGGAGGTCTGTCATAAAGTGTGACTGCCCTGGAAACAAGTATGGTACACAGCTGTACATGCATTGTAAGTATTTTTTTTTTAATTTGAAGAGATAAAAAGAGGTTGTCAATCTACTGAAAGACATCAATAAAAAAACTGAGAGTGTGCAAAAGAAAAACAGTCACTAGATACTGTTATGAACATAAATTACATTCTATCAAGATGCTACAAAACTGTTTAGCTTATTATTGCAAAGTACAACTTTGACAATGCAAAACCTTTACCTTTACCCTCAATAGAATTAACCACTCTAACATAAATGCAAGATATTATTGTTATCTGGTTTTCTCCGAAAAATATGCATGCTCTCATTGGCTCATTCATCTAACAAAAATGAATGAAACTATTTTCTGCTAAAAGTCGCTAAAACTGCCAATTAAAATACCAAAATCTACGAAAGCAGAGGTTGAGAGTCAGTAATGGATCAAATCCTTGAAGAAAGGGGGTCCACTCAAAAATATTTTTTCTCAAGTCTCAGTTTTTCTTTAATTTAAGGGGGCCACGCACCATAGCCTGTGATTGTTGAGATCTGTTGACTGTAATTTTCATATTTATGGTACGCTTGGATCTTGTGCTTGTTGTGCCATCAAATTACTAATGACTGCAGATCCCCTTAATTCTCAATGTTTGGCTGTTTTTTGGAGACAAAATGAACTATTTCTCATGAAACCAATAATTAAATGTACTGTCTGTTAATCATTGTTTACAAACCTAATTCCCCTGTGATCCCACAAATCCTTCTGCATTGCTTGAGTGACACATAAATTATGTGAGGACATGCTTCCAAAGAAGAACTCATACCTACAAGATATTGAAAAATACTCTCCCTTGACATCTTAGCTTTAACCCTTTAAGCCCCAATATCCACATACAAATTCTCCAAACTGATCTCTATACATTTCTTTTAAGAATTAGTTCAGAGAATTTGATAAAAGATCAAAGTATTTTCTCTTAGGTGATCATTTTATTAATTCTCATAACCCAATCTCATGATAATGTATGGATATCGTTAGGAGAAAATTGCTGTTGGTAGCTATTGTGACTTAAAGGGTTAAAGGAGCCGTGTCACAAAATTTATCAAAATTCAAACAGCCAGAGCTGCAACCATAAGAATAATGGCCTGAGACAATAAAAGAAGGTAACATACAGTGTATACAAAAGAGGGCACGGATGGAAAAACTTGAAGAAGATTAAAACAGATTGCAGTTGTCATTTTTGAAAACTTGTTAGCCTAACAGTTTTTCCAGTTCCATTTCTGTGTTTTTTAATGCTTGACTTATGATGCTTTGTGAGAGATATTTCTTAGAAACCACCAAAGCTGTGATTCCTCACTAATGTTAATTTCCTTATCGTATAAAGACACGTTATTGGCAAAATTAACCAAATGAACTAGGAAAATGTAACAGTACAGCCCCTTTAATTATCGTCAGGAAGAACTTAATCTCTGACTTGACATTGTACATTGTTTGGGTCATAAGGCCCCAGAAAAGAAACCTACCATCTGGCAATCTTCACCAAAGGATGTCCATCTTTTTTCACTCCGAGGGCCAAAATTGTAAAGCCATAATTGTGCCAATCAATAATGAACTTGCTACCACATAACATGCTTACAAAACAGACGGCAGCAAGTGATGGAATAGCTGGAGGATTCTATTAATGAAACAATCAGCAGTTATTGGATGAGGCTGAGTATGAGATAAAGAATTACCATAAATCCTCTATTAAGCCCCCCCCCCCCCATTTTGAGAGAAAGTTATTCAGCCCCCCCCTCTTTTAAGGCCCCCCTTCCCCCCCCCTTATTCTTAAATGGTAGACTTAAACACTTCATGTGAACTGATCCGCAATCTGGTATGATTTATTCGCATGCTGGATTCGGATTTGTTTTCATCTCTCCTGGCCGCATGACATCCAACTTCACGAGCCTGAGCTTTTCCACTTTACTTTTAGCTTTAGTGGAGAATTGATACCATCATCTTCGCTAAATTAAATAAAGCCACCCCCTTCAAACTTACTCGAAATAAATAAGCCCCCAGGGGACTTAATAGGGGATTTATGGTATGCTCATTGTATTTACAACTGTAACGTAAAAATCAAAATTTTGACATATTCCCCATAGAGGTAATACATACCAAATTTTATGGTGTGATTTTGAAATTAAAAAACGATAGATTAATTTTCAACTGAAAATCTATAATTTACTTAAGATGCAACAGATGGCTGGCTGAGTTGTCAGCATTCCTAGCTTCTTTCTGGTCTTTATTAATAAAGGTCAAAATCATCAGGCATTACTGAGTGAATATGCTGTAATGTACACAGTATTGTACATGCAATTGCAAGGCAAAGCAAATCTACTCCTTCCTGCCCTCTAGCAAATTCTGACCATTCCTTCTTGTTTTTGCTTGGAAACTCCACTTCCAAGCAAAGGTGTTTTCTCACAATAGATTTGCAAAAGCCATTTTCATATTTGTTACCATGTGTCTGCTAAATATGCTATGAGGCCCAATTTAAAACATATTGACTGACGACCAATCAGAGATTTGCATTACTGGAGTAACTAACTCATTTAAAATGAGTTGTGAAGAAGTTATTACATACAGTCTCCCCATTTTTTCTAACCTCTCTCCCCAATGGTTTACACCTGGATGCCTGCCCCTACAGCGTTGTTGAAACCCAGATCAGCCAGATGGCAGCTTGTAATAGTAAACGCTTGATCCAAATGATCTTAAGTGAAAATAGGGGACTTAAAACAGGCCAGAGTCTGAGCACTTATTTATTTGGTCTTTCCTAGACCTTTTATTACCTGTACCATAAAATAACTGCTTGAATACCTGGACTAAAAAATGTGTGCAATGAGACCCACAGCATATGAGGATGAAAAAGAGCTGGATAAACTGCAATACTGCCTTTACTGCAAAAAATACCAATTTAGGCAAACCTGTAATGAAGATTGAGAAAATCAATAAAAGTTCTTTCCTGTTAGCATTGTATTGCAGCTTGTGACAAAAGTAATTCAAAATAAAGCTTTGCTTTGCAAACATTTGCACGAGATTAATAGTTTGTTTCCTTCTACGCAGTTTCAACTGTTAGCATAATACTACTATTTACATTTGTGCATTAGAATTATTACTTCATGTAACACCTGGCCACATTACACAGAAGGAAGAGCCTGGTGGGCGGGGGATTGTACTCGACCAGTGGAGGGTTTGAAACCCTGACCCTGTTTAGGACAAAAAAAAAACTAAAAAACATATCCTGAATAGGATAACTAGCCTTACCTTTATTACATGTAACCTGTTTAGGACAAAGGTCAATTGCACACCATCTTGTTTTAAAGCCATTCATTGGCAATTACAATGGAGAAAATTCACATTATAGTCATTGCTATTGTAATACTTGGAGTACAAACAAATTTCATCAAGCAAATCAGCTCAGTCATACAGGCAATACCCTGTTTATAATTAGGACATACTCAAATGAAATTATATAACCTGTTTAGGACAGACTCACCGAAAATCATTATACACTGTACACTGTTTAGAACAGAGAGGACAAAAACCATACCATGTCCAGCAGCACATCCCCGTACAGGCCATATAATAGAGGACTTCCCCTGGGAGGTACAGAAAAAACATGGCCCAGTGGCTAAAGCATACTGAAAGCCTCACCTCTAAATATTTCTGGAAAGTCTGATAAAATCTGTATGGAGACCTTTCCACTCTCTGTGAGTTCCTTGATGGGGCTGGACCCTACAAAATAATTAGATTAAACAACAACTTAAAAAAAAGTTCATAAAACTATTCATAATTATTAAAAACTGAATCATTGGATAATGCAGTTATTCTAGAGCTCTGATTGGCTTAGCCATCAAGGTATACTATGAGCCATTATACCATGCTCTCCAAATGTGATGATTGTACGCGTCTGCTCAAAATTAAAAACAAGCTGGAAATCAGTGGTTTTTAAAAATAAAGTCTTGAAGAATTCTCAATATTTTGTGGGTGTTTTTAATTAAACAATAATATTATTCCACTCGTGCTTGTTGGGTATAAGATGATGATCGCCAACTCAGCACTACGCGCCTCGTTGGCTATCTACCATCTCATATCCAAGGTGCACTCATGGAATAATTAATAATTGTTAATTATTCACCAGCCTTGGCCCCTGTGACCCCTCTCACCAACAAGGGGACTGAAAACAACCATAATGAGATGGGGATAGGATGTGCCAGGATGTGCTGCCAGCTTTGAGATCGTACTTGCCCTCCCGCCCCAACTTCCTCTCCCTTAGCTTTACATACCACCCCATCCTTAATGATGTTTTTTTTACTTTTGCTGTGGATCAACAAGGGTCTGAGCCCAGGGGTGGTGGGGGGGGGCACTTGGGTATTTTTTGGGTGGGTATGTGCCGCCCAGGACTCCAAATTGGCACCCCGTTCCAAAAAAAAATTCCCCTAAAACTGATACCCCGTTCTAGAAATGGGCCAATTTTTTATACTCCGTTCTAGAAAAATTGTAAATTGAAATAGCCCTGTTTTTTTAAAAAGATGTTTCTTTATTTGTTCGACTTATACATCAAATAAATGCTTCTTCATAATAAGCAACAATTTTTAAGCAGAAGATAAAGCTGTGATCCCCAATTTTTTATACCCCGTTCTAGAAAACGCCTCTGAAATGGATACCCTGTTCTAAATCAGGAGCTTCAAAATCACGACCCCGTTGGGTGGCACATACCCGTATAGGTAATGTATGGGAGTACCCCCCCGCCAGGGGTCTGAGGAGCAGTCCATCCAATATCCACTTTAGCCACTCCCACCACACCTTCCAGGTTGATGCGAGAGGTCATTTCTTACAGGGTGGCCGCTAACAAATATGCTACTCCTTTGATCTCATTAATTTTTCTGAGGGGTACTTGATATTTAATTTCAAAAATAATTAATTAATTAATACTTCATTACTGCCAAGAAAATGTTTATGAGAGGGAAAAAAGGAAAAAATAAGAAATTTTGAGTAATTTTGAGTAGTGACATGTAAGACCATTATTTTGTCCATCATATCTTGACTGTGGTGGTAGAAATTTAAATACCTTGTTAACATGCAACGGGAATGGACCCCCCCGCACCCCCATGCCGGGGCCCCAAAACTCCTGATGTAACAGAAGAGGCCAATATATCACATACCTCCGAATCCCACTAGGTCTACATCAAATCCCGCCTTTGCACACGAAAGAGCATGGTACTGCATGCGGGGACTTCTTCCAACATCTCCAAGGACTAGGACACAAATCCTTGGTTTGGATTTGTCCTTTCGCCCTCTCAGCCAATAGACGGCAGTGACCAATACGACGAAAAAAGCAATCAAAACCGATGCCAAATACATCTAAACTGCGTTATTCAAACGTTTGATCTCGACTGTATGGACGGAAAATACACATAGCCTGATCAGAGATTCTTTCTGCTCTTTTGAGCTAAAAGTTAATTGCCTCTAAAAGGGTCGACCATTCATGCTCGCACGTGTTGAGTTTTCGGGATTCGCGGCGATCTGCTGAAATCAAAATACACGTCCCCAAGAAAATCTTGTCAGCGGACGCTACTGTGAATGTACTATGGAACTATGGGATATCTATAACCCATAATACTTTCCTGCAGTCCCAAAAAATCAAATATCGTTTTCAGCCGAATTGAAGAGGGATTTTTAGAGGTTTTGACGATCAAGAACCGTGAAAAAGATGACTTCTTTTGGCGACACAAAGCTGCGGAACCTGGGAGACTATTTTGCAGGTAATATATCCAGAGGAGCTGATCCTATGTGGCAGGGATGGAAGAGAATATGGAACAGCTACCGGGCCAAATACGTAACATGCAAGAATGCTAGAATGACGCCGTTTCTACACATTGTTTTCCTGTCCATGGCTTTGAATTACGCCATTGACTATCCTCACTTGAAAGGTAAGTTAGTTTGTTTTCAGGTTTATCGAAGGAAGACTTCAATATATCAGAATGAGGCCCAGTGCTGTCAACTCTCTCCCGGTCTCCAGATTAGAGTCTGATATCTCCCGGATAAGCGCCAAAGTTGCTATTTCTTGTAGACTCCACTTTCCGACAATAAAATTTCAATTATTTTGTGTAGTTTGAGCTACTGATAACATCGAACATTTCCTCATAAATTCTAAATATGAACTGTTTATGTGCTATATCAACTAGCATTTTGAACACAAATGACGTCATCTGTCTCGCAATATGATGTCATCTATCTCTTCTTTCCTGTCAATTCTCAATATATGATGACATGGCAGGTTGACAGCCCTGAGAATCGATGCTAGTTTAGGCAGTTAATGTAATAGGCACAAGTAGAGGGACATGATAAGGGGTTTTTTTTCCAATGGTACAGAGCCACTGTAACTTCTGGATCCCTCACCCTGCAACTAATCTTTTCTCAGAATTTGCTGGAGGTGGCTGGCTCGGTTTAAACTTTCTCTTTTAACAGGGAGTTTAAGATGCGACTTTGGCAACAATGTAAGAACATCAAAAAAGTAATATAGGTTTGATAAGCAACAAAACAACTTTGCACATGCACATGCACAGTGTGCAAAGAAATTAGTGTCCGATAGCCCAGAGCTAGTGGACATTGCTACTGGGCTAGTAAATTCTGTTCTTAATGTATCGGTCAAATCGAAGCTTCAACATGCCCCCCCCCCGAGCAACCCCCTGGGCATTTGACTTTTTTGAAAATTATTGTCCAAATTCCCCCCTACCCAGGCCAAAATGCCGTTCAAATGTCCCACACTAGGGTCCATTCAGGTGATCAAATGCCCCCACCCTGGGGACATTTCACAGGCACAAAAATGACAGAAGGATGGTGGAAACGCCTTAAGTTGTCAAACAAAATTTTTATAAATATAACAAAACTGAGAAACACTGTTAGCGTATTTACTACGAACAAAAGTCTCGTGGAAAGCGGCGGAAATCGCTGCTACAAGGTCACTGAATGCTCAGCTTTTCTTCATCATGCAACATCCCGCAAAGCGTTCTATTAAAAAAGATCCCACCTATTAAGATTACTACATCATGACTATTTCACTGACATGCATCATTGCTCACCTTATTAATTAACATACTTGCAATAGGTCAAAGTAGTTGACCTGAGCTTTTTATTTTATTTTATCGCCGGTATAGGTATTGTATTTCATTGTAAACACAACAATAAAATACATTCATACATTCAAAGCCTGCATCCAATTAAAAATTTTGAAATTCAAATACGGCACAAAGCTTGTTTAAGCCCTCTCCTCGTAACCAATTGGCCAAAAAAGGCACAATCTTTTCCATGAAAATACTCTAACACCCCGTTCCCCATGATAGCTCGCCACGCCAAAGATTTTACATCAAATCGAGTTTGCAGTTCAAATTCCCCACCCCTAAAGCATGGGGATCAAATTCCCCCCCCACTGGAAGACTCTGATAATCAAATTCCCTCCTCCCCGGGCCGGCAAAGGTGTCAAATGCCCGGGGTATGCCCGGGGGGGGGGCATGTTGAAGCTTCGATTTGACCGATACATAACTTGCCGAATGGGCCAGGGAAGTTTTTTGGGAAATTCAAATTACAGAAAAACTGACAAATCCTGTTGATCAAAACAAATGTTGGCAAAATTCACTTTCTCTTCCTGAAATTGGATAAAGTTCTTAGGAATTCAACTCCAGGCCCCAGTTTGAACATTGGATGGCGCTATTCACTAGGGCCTGGTTCCTGAAAAGGCCGATTAGCACTAATCAAGGATTAAAATTTCGTTCCACTTTTTGTATTTACCATTCTGTGCATTTCTTAGAGTAAAATTTTGTGTTATTATTTCTTTTTCTCGACGTAAAGGCACAACAGTATTTCATAAGCTCAGTTACATGTTCTTAGACAAAAAAGCCTTGCTTAAAATTTGGCTTAATCCTGGGTTAAACTTAACCATCTTTCAAGGAACCAGGCCCAGATAAATCACTACTCGGCAGAAACAGTAGCCTTATCCCCCTTTTGAACAAGTGGGGCTAGGAGAGTTTCCTACATTTGACAAAGTAGGTGATTTCACATAATTGCGATGAAGATTGAAAGAACACAAAACACTTTTTCGATGATATTTTCACTACGGTAACCATTGTGGTATATTTAACCCCCCAATGTTAGTTCTAGGGTGGAGGGCTGGGTGGAGTGTGTCACTCTTTCGAAGTTGGCAGAAAGAGCCATCCCCTGTTGGGAGATTTTCACACCATGATTGACACCAGGATGCAGTTGCTATAAAGGTGGATAAATTTTATTTAACAGATAAATCTCCATCCAGTGAATGGTGCAATTGGTTTTCCTAATACTTATCCATGGGATAGTGAATTATTGGGTGGATAGCACTATTCAGTGTTTAAATGGCTGAGGCTAAGCAGATAAACATTTACTCTTATGTTAAGGTGGCTGTAATCAACTTCAACTTCAACTTCAACTTTATTTCATAAGACTATTGGTTACAATAGACTGGCCCGCTAAATAGCAATTGCTAATCTAGGCGGACCAGTTAAAAGAAAAATAAATTGAAAGGAAAAGGAAGGAAAACTACAATTTTAAGTTACAATAAATAATATTCTATCACAGTTTTATTTTAATTACATTAAATCTGAACAAGCAAACAAAACAAATACTTTAATACAGAAATCACTAAACTATTAATCGAACTTTTTCAACTATTAAGGGCGTCTCAATATAGTCATCTTCTCTTTTTAAGATATCCGACAGCAATCTGTGAAGTACTTTCCTAAATTTCTTTTTAGGAAGATGACCTCCTTTTTTCTGGGAATGATCAATTTCATTTGCTGTGGATTAACTGAAATTGTTAAATTGCCCTGGTTTATGCCCCTCCCCTTCGCCTGATGCTTGCATAATGCCTTTTGTGGCATAGGTGCATCGACCTTAAATAATTCTACCTAAAATACAATATACAAACTCAAGTCCTTTCTGTCAGTGAGGGAAACTTTGTACAGCACTTGCATGTTGTTTTGCACCTTCCTGAAACTTAAAAATTGTTTGTGTGTGTAAAATTCTATTTTATTTGTTTTTTCAAAGCACATTCTCTGTGGAGGAAGTATCACTGAAAACTGTGTAAAGTTCTTGGTCTCAGTTCAATTCTATGCTGGTTTGCAAGATGACAAGTGCAGTGGACTTATTTTTTTTGTGTGTAATTAAGGATTTGTGACAATAAAAACTTGATTTAAACAGCTTTGGAATAATATATGTCTAATTAGTCTGCTTTGTAGAAGTTCCTTATTCAAGTAAATATGTGTTAAATCTCAGCATGATGAATACTGTACTGCAGTCTACCTGACTTACAAACTTGCTGTGCAGGCTTCAGGCATTGCATCATTAGAACCAAAAAAAAAGCTTACAACAGACATTTTACAATGATATCGTGTGCTTTGGACCCAAAGCTTTAAGTGATTTACCTTGATGGTAATAAGTGTGCATCTTGAATTTGAGGAGATTAGCTAAGAGTAAAGTGAAAATTCAAGCCAGGATCTACCAGTTACCATAACCCTGTTCAGCTCCCACTTTTCTTGGGATTAACACTTAGGGACCGCTCATGATTTATCGGATGGAGGGGTGGGGATGGGTGATAAAATGGGAGGACTCAAAATTTTAGCCCTAGCAAAGAGGGTGGTCCTGAGGCAGATTATTTGTTATTAAGGGTGGCCTTGAAATTTTAAAGAGGCAAATTCTTAAAAAAAAAGCAACAAGATATTTTAGTGTACTAATAAGAGCTGCAGGGTACCCCAGATTTTATGGCTTGCAGCCTTTGGGATCCCTATGATTCTTCTTAGAGTGCAGTCTTGCACAGTTTTGTGGTGCAGTCACAGTATGATTTGTAACTAGAATTTCCTTATTTGATTTCCCCAATTATACAAAAAATTACTTTAACCCTTTAAACCCTAATATCAAAATTCAAATTCTCATTTGTTATCCCTAAAAAGAAGTTAGAATTTGTTAAAGTAAATTAGATTCAACCCTCGATTCTCATGACCTCTGTGTCTTATAAAGCAGTGATATTACGAGGAGAAATTTGATGCTGATCACTCTTAGGGCTTAAAGGGTTAACAAGGTGTTAACCATCTGTTTTTGTATCATGATTTAAGCAACTGAGATTGCTACTCCTCCTAGGAGGGAAGATCACCACTAATCATTTCCTCTACCAGGTGGAAAGACACCGTGAGGGAAGTTTCTTTTCTTTTTAAAACAAATAAGATATTTTAAAAACACCATGGCAGTGACATGGCCTCAGGCCAATGACATTTGGATCTGAAGTCCAATCTGCCATTAAACCGCTACATCACTGCATCCTCACAAAAAAACGGTATTCGTACATACAGTAAAACTGTGTAGTGTGTGGGGGGGGGGATTTAAATGCTCCCCTAATAGAATAGGGGAACCTGGAAAATCCAGTTTTGCTAAGAGGCTTCATGGGAAAAGATTTGTCAATTTCTCACCCATTCTCCCCTCCCCCTGGTGATAAACAATGAATGATCCCTTACAGAAGAGAGAACTCGATAGTCAATAGCCTGCGTAGCTGGCGGTACTGTGTCGGCGCGATTGAAGTTTTGACGGCGGAGCCGTGATCCAAAAAAGTTAGTGGGGACGAGGCGAGTTGTTGTTGTCCTTAATATGCACACGAAGTTTCGAGAAAAATAGTCTGCTTCATCTTTCCTACTTAGTATAGTAGCCACTATACTTATACTATATTTCTTATATACTATACTATATTGATTGTTATATACTATACGATATTTATTTTTTCTTCTCGGGCTTACGGCCTTGTTTATCGCGGCTCACGCCTTCGCCGCTCGCCACTCGCGTGCTTGGGTTTCGCGTGCAGTAACTTTGCAAAGAAAAATAAGAGACTGCTCGCAGTCTAAGAAGAGTGAGAACCTAAGTGCGAAGTTGAAGCCTGCGTAGCGAGAGGATAAGACTGCAACTCACTTGGTGACAAACGGCGGGTGGATGGCTTTCCACAACCATCGAAAATAAGAAAGCCAGAAATTTAGTTTCCATGGTTTCTGAATGCCACTGACTTTGACTTTGCCATTTTTGTGTACTCTCATTCCACCAGCTACGTAACCTTCAACTACGTTCCCAGGGTCTCTCCCAGTCCCTCTCACAGTTTGACATCCACGGGAGCTTTTGTACTCTTTGCTAACAATCGCGAGCAATCCATCCACCCAGCTACGCCTTCTAACAAGTTTGCCCAGGAGTCCAGCTGAGTTGACTGCTCACAAATTACAGTTACAGCTGCGCGCTCGCCTTGATTGGACATCAACAGGAACTGTCTCGATTTTGATTGCAGGTGCGCTGTGAATTCTCCGAGATATATAACAACAAAGCATGTCATCATCGTTATCAATTCCCTGTACAGTGTCAACATAACGGACCAGTCTATCTAAGGCATCCTCCATCTTGTCGAAAACCTCGAGATCTTCTACGTGTGTTTTTCTGCTTGAGTTTGAAGTTAATGCTGGTGTGAAACCGTTGTTTGGGGATACAAAAAGGGGAGCAGCTTCTCTATTCAGTGTTCGTATGCCAAAGGCGTCCTTAAAACGTGCCATGATGTATTCTAGCAATTCAAAGTCATTCTTCATCTGGTCGTTCTGTTGTTTCACCACATTGAACGAGTCGATAATAATGACAATTAAAATGTTGAGCAACAAGAAGTTCGTTATAACCATGTACAAGAGAAATATCATGACTCCTAGAAGCTTGTGTGCACTCATCATTTCATTAATATTGAACTTGCCGAGAAGCACACTCAACAGCTTTTGCATGGAGCCCAACAGCGTGTTGAATGAGTCATTATCGGTAGAGAACAAAAAGTGGTAGAGTTGCGCAAACGCTATAAAGGCAACTAAGAAGACAATTGAATACTGCAGGAGTTCCCCACCAGCGCGTCTCAATGTACAGGATAGGAGAAAGATCCGTCGGTTGAATCGAAACAACTTAATAAATTTCATGCATGTGGCAAAGACCGTCACTCCGACCACGCCCTCGAACATGAGCTGCCAGGCTGAGATGTACTGAAAACTAATAAATTTGGTAGGGTTTTCGTGATAAAGGTTTAGAGTCCATTTCCTTAATCCAAGACAAATGAAGTAATAAGCTATTGCGATCCAGCACAGAATAAGAACAGTCAAGTCCAGAAGGTTCCAGACCTCTGCAAAGTACAATCGTCGAGTTTTGTAAATCTTCTTCGTTTCACGGTATGTGAAGTAAAGAACAAAAACGAAGAAGAAAAGCTCACAGGCGAGGATGAACAACTGAAAATCACCAACATAGCGGTAGAGCCGATACGAGAGAACCTCCGCACTGGGAAATACGCCGCCCGTTGGAAGTCTCTCCATTAGAAATGTAGCTGCAGAGAAGAGATTGCTGTTCGGATTGAACAAAGTGAACTCTGCGAAAACGCTACGAGTGTAGTGGTCAAGCCACAGTCTTGATTTTGCTTCTTTCATTTGCCGCACCGCTTTGTAGTAAATGTGGGACAACTCTATCACATATCCACCTCCGGAGTATGTTTCTATTCCCATTGAGTAAGGGTAGCCGTTAAGGTCACTCGAGGTACTGTAACGCCAGGGGTCTGGTGATGACGTCTGTTTAAGAAGCTCAGTGGTATTGATCAATGACTCCCAGCCCGCGGTGTAAGCTTGGTCGTCTTCTGACGTTATATGGTAGTTGTCAGCGCATCGTGAAAACATGTCTCTTACTTGGGATATCACAGAGCAAGAACCTGAAACAAACAGAATGAATTGTACTTAACTGTCAAAGAACAAATGAGGTCTGAGACATAGGGAGAGTAAAGTTCATGCCCGCCGGGATACACAAGTGTTGAAAAATATTTTGGGAGTGAACGCAGAGAAAGAGTAAAATATTTTGACAGACCGCTCCCCCAGGGCGCTTTTCCAAATTTTCAAGGTTAACTAGACACGGAAGTGACAGACCGCTTCTTACCAAATTTTCACGGTAGGATTAGGAGGAATTAAAAAAGTCACAAAAATTTTCTCGCTCCACCTTTCACTAAGCACTCTCCAGAGCCAAGGTCATGTTAGATCATGTTACGTATTCATAGTGTGTCCTCCTTACCCTTCTTTACTCTGTGTTGTCGAAATCGAGCCACGCCCACTACCAGACCGCTCTCACCCTCTATGAACTTGGGAGCTTTTCCTGTGTAGTTGTAGGAGGGCAGATTGTAAAGGGTGGGTAACAGAATCTTCTCAGTCCAGTTCCATACGTCTCTCTGGCGGCTTAACTGCGTAAGAAGAGGAATTGAGTAAAGTATGAATGACATGGCGTTTAGCCTGTATTTGAAGTTTGTTTTAGCTTGTAATGAAGAGGTACAATGAGAGACCACACGGTTTCTTTTAGAGGCTCTGAATGGGAATATGATCGGGAAATAAGACTCAAAAGGCAATAACCGGAGAACTTCACCCAAAGATAATTCACCCCATGTAAGGGTTCCCGGCATCCGGGAAAATTTTGCTTGTGGAATCCGGAATCCTAGGCGTTGCAATCCGGGATACTGCTCAAGAAATCCTTAATCCCACTAACGATTGGAATCTAGAATCCAATCGAATCCAAGTACCACTGGAAAAGACTGGAATCCAGTACGTGGAATCCAGACTCCCAAGACTGTCTTGGATTTCAAGAAAGCACCTTTTCCTCGGTGTAAAAGCACTGTTTCAAATCTCAATGTGTATTTGGGATTTCTTGTGATCCTCAAAATAAGGTTCTTGTGAGTTTCAATAAAGAAGGTGTAAAGTACCGCTTTATTTTACAATATCTTCTTTTTGGCTTTATCTAGAGCTCTGTTTTGGGTTTTTTTTTTTTTCATCTGCCATCGACTCTCTCTCAATGGGGTTGTAAAGAGTACCCTTTGTCCAATTATATGTGGGGGGCTACCTGAGAAAATGTCCTTCCCTTGAATTCACCAGGCTTTTCAATGTAGCTTTGATCCAGTACAACCTTGGCAACTGCATCATTTTGATGAAAGGCGTCCTGATCACGGAAGCCATAAGCGATGAGAAGAACGAGTAAAGTGAATACAAGATAGGTCCCTAAATCAAGCAAGATAACGTGCATTGCGCGCTCTTTTGCAGCCCTGTCCCGGGCCCTCCGGAGAGTATCCTCTGATGGCACTTTTGCGGGAGGTACAACTGTATGCTCCTCTTCCAGTTTTTCCTGCAGCCATTGGTCATCCGATCTGTGAAATGATGACGTTGAAAACATGACTATGTTTGGCTTCTTGAAAATATATGCGAAAAAGATCGCAAGGGCGACCACCTTGAGTGGTTGACTCACAAAAATGTCTTGAGTGACTGAAAAGAACATGGATAACAGCCACTGTGCAGATTTTGTTAGTCCAAACTGGATACCGTACAGAAGAGTAACAGACGCAGCCGCCAGCGATGTTATGGTCACCAACGCCCAACCAACGTATACAAACCACCAAGGTAGTCTCCGTCCATTTGAAAACTGTTTATCCTGCATGGTATCAGGGGCCTCTACTGGTGAACATTTCCCCGAGACGTTTTCCCGTAAAAGTAAGGATGTAACATCATTGGTTGAATCATTCATGGTGCTGGCTCCTAAAGAGACGAAAGGGGGCTGAAAATGAATTGAGCGCATGGCGGACGTCTGGTTGAATTTCTGTTTTCCTGAAAGTGATTCTATAGATTCACTGGGAGACACAATATTCAATTTTCGGTAAACACCAGCTGGGCAGTAGTGACCATGTATAGAACTTTGCCCAGATTCAAATTTAACCATACTTATCTCGGTGGCGGTGGACGATTTGTGTTCTCTTTGTTTGCGACAGTTTTTTTGCGGTGGTCGCGGACTACAGTGTCTGAAAATTTGCACGAGAATAAGATTAATGGGAAAAACAATCAGACTGCTGCAAATACCAATGGAGACTTGCTCCCAAGAAAATTCTAACGTTCCTACTTTAACTGCCGTATAACGACCTTTGTCAGCTTCATACCACATGGCGTTAGCCATCATGGTGCACAAAAGAAGAGAGAAACAGCAAGACACGCGCTGCACCCTGGTAAAGGGAGACTGTGGAGGCCTGCAGACCACCGAGAACCAAAGATGGGAGTCCGTTAGGTCCTTGTATGCTTTTGTCACAAACATGCGTCGAAATTCTTTCATCTCCTCGTCGCTTGCTACTGGAAATATCCTGTCTATTAAGCCATCGCCTTCGTCAACAGCAAGCCAGTGTTCGCATAAGAAGTGCCAGACTCTATCGCTAGAAATCTCACGAATAGATATCTGTTTCACGTACCAAGATGGGTCACCTCCGAAGTTATCGTGCCACACTCGGATGTACGAGAGCTCGCCGAGAGTTTCCGAAGTTTTCACAAGAAAGGAATTGACGCTGCTCCGAGCAAGAGTCATGCATTGGCTGTTTTTGAGGAGAAACGCGTGACTCTCACCGCGTTCTCCTGTCATTAGCATAGAAACATTAGCAGATGTTCCAGCATGTCTGCGCATACCAGTACTGATGATGACCTCATAAGCGTGCGTATCTTCTGGTCGGTTACTTGGACTCACGGTCGTTCCTATCTGAATAAGGAAAAAGAAAAATATATATTGCAAACTTCGCGTAGCCGCCAGTCCTTCACTGAACAAATAAGTGGTCAATTCTATGGATAATAAAATGCTAATTGAGTTATTTTTGGTGCAGGTATTGGAAAGACACTAGTGTAAACCTAAAGTTGAGCACCATTCAGTTTTCCAATTGAGATCTCGTACGGCCCATCTTTTGTGAGATCGCCTCTAATATTTAAGAAACAAGGAGGTGACTGATGGTGCCGTTTTGTCAAGAAGACTGCACGCCTTAAGCGATCCGGGAGTGTCTAACATAACGTTCTGCATTTACAGTTTGGGTTGTAATCTTTTTTTTTCAGTTGTAAATCTAAATGGTATTACTGCTGTATCTAATACAGATTCACGCATGGTGTACCTTTAGTTGTAGCTACAATTAAATTAACTATATTTATCGTTTGTACCATACGAGCAGTCCATTGTTTTCAAAGTGAACTCAAAAATGCTCAAATGGCCTCTCTTGCTGACACACTCGTTTCCACGTTTCTGGGGACAATAACAGTTTTCCCGTTCACTCCCTCAGCCAATTTTCCCTATGGGTACTAGAATGCTTTGTCTATCTATACAATTCACAGAGTCGTAAAAACAAGTACTGCACTCTATGGGTGGTGGTAGTGGTGGTCGGGGAAGGGGAAGAGCGGCATGACACACAGGAGCTGAAGGAAAAATGCTAATGGAGGTTCGGGAGGCCCTAAATTCCTGCCCAACCCCCCCTCCCCCCCCACACATCGATTGAATATCCTGATGAATTACCTTTTGCACGTCTTTTCGATCCTGACGTCGAGCCCAGACAAGGGCAATTACGTACAGGCCACATGTAGTACAGAGCACTGCCAGGACTAAGGCGTAATTTGACGGGTCTTTTATCTTGACAGCTATGATATCCAGGTGCAATTTATTCGGAGGCACAAACAAGCGACTGCCAAACCAGGTCAAGTGGTTACACTGACACTGAATGCGCTTTAATGTGGTCGATGGACCAACCTGGTCATGTAGAAATAATCATGAAACCGGTTCATTCAGGTACCTCATTACAAAATACAATATATGCGTGCTAAGATGTCATTTCTCTTGCAGCTTTTTTACATATACAGTCGCTTCTCATAGCGCTAGGGAAGAGGTTTGCTGCTCCCTGTTGATGGGAGTTGATGTTTCGCGACGGAGAGATTCGCAAAACGTGCCCCAGCATCGGGGAGCGATCAACCTCGTCCCCAGGGCGATGAGAGGCGGCTGTATTTGCAGGCTAAGCAAATTTGAGGATTAGTTTGCTTAAAGGTTTCATGTATGCATAAGTGCAAATGGATCATGCTAATCTCTCCTCAAAACAGATCAACTCTCGTTCCCGTTTATTGAGGTTCACCAAAATCTATCCAAAATCTCGAGAAACCCAGTATCCATTGTAATTAGTCGATGGTACAAAGCTAAATTCATTCAAAACTCATCATGGCAGGCTAAACAATACCAGACTTCTCAGCGCCAAAAGCTGGCACCTAATCTCACCCAACTTAGAGTCACTTGTCATGTTACTGGTATGTCTTTCTTACCTTGCAACCGTTTGTTGTCCATGCTTGGATGGATTCATTCCAGTAATAACAACCAACAGACCTCACTGATATGTTGAACTCCACTTTACTTGTCATCTCTGTCCCATTAGTTACGTTACCTGCATCCGATAATTTCACACCGAGATAAAATTCTCCTGAAGTATTCAAATAACTGCCAGATAAAAGTTTCTCTACAGTTGTGTTACATGAATGGATAGTCCACAACACATCAAAATTTTTGTTGCTTGGCGTTACGTTTTTCTTTCCCATTACTATCATCTTTTCTCCAGCATCCGTCATCCCAGAGCACCGTATTTGTAAATAGAGGAAGAACTCTTTTTCAAGTGTAATTTTGAAGAACGTCATATTGTCATTGGGACGAACAATCCCTCTTATGTTATCCGGATTCCTATTTTCTGATTCGTTCAGTGATAGAAATATTGAGACTGGTTCAGTAAGGTTCCGGATTTTTATTTCCTTCCCTGAAACGTCCAAGAGCTCGAGCGTTGAGACCGGTAATGTCACTGGTATCACGTCGTTTGCTACAAATGGAGACTGGAACATAGTTACAACCTAGGATTAAGAGACGGTTAGGTTACTTTTAAGATTCTTCAGATATTCCGAAGCTTGAGTAGCAAATAAAGAAGGGCAAGGGTGTATAATCCAAGACTTGCCTAGCCTGAGAAATGAGAAAACAGCCGACATTTCGTGACGCCTCCACTGTTTTCCCTGCGAAATGACGTCTGAGGAACAAGCGCACAAATTCCATGCTGGTGACGTATAACTGCCCAAAGCTGGCTAGTTCTTCTGATGGGTCGTGTCGCGAGGGAAATTTGCTTCAACCAATCAGAAGCACTACCCAGCTCTGGGAAGTTACACGCCATTAGCATGCAATTTCTGTGCTCATTCCTCAGACGTCATTTTGCGAAGGAAACCGTAGGTGACGTCGCGTAATGTCGGCTGTTTTCTCAGGCTAAGGCTTAGAGGTAATTTGTCCCCCTTTGGATATGACAAGTCTTTTCTCACGTTCCTAACTGTAAAGTCGAGTTATATAAAAATACTAACTAGTCAACTGGTGTTTTTCGCGTGTATGTGCAAGGCTTCTCAATACTAGTGTCTCCTGAGGTACAATGAGTAAAATTTTTCAGGTCGGTTGCCGACAACTGCATCCGTGTGTGCGTCAAAAAATAATAGCATTATCATGTTTAAAACTTACTGAATATATTCAAACCAACCTTTGTATTAACCGCGTCTAACCGATCAAGTTTATTTTTTTTCACTTCTTTTGGTAATTGAAAGGTAACCATTCCTCCATCTAAGGCCGCGGCGCTAATGTTACTGGGGGACTGGCTTGTAACCGTTAACTTCATAAGGCCTGATTTCACGTGAAGTGGAGGGTCTCCTTTTCGCTGATAATCCAAGAGTTTCTGAGCAGAGTAGTTGATGCCTTCCAGAGATTTGTTGGTTGCTCTTTCACACTAAATATTAATGAAGATCAAGACACAAAGGTTGTTTGCTATTAACAAAAGTTTCCGGAACGAAAAGTAAATGGAACACAGCTTTTCGTGTCATTCCAGTGTAAACTTTTCGGGAGCAACGGAACATCTGAAACGATATTCTTGTACTTCTGGACGGAATATTTCCAACGAAATTCGCCTTCTATTTGATGAAACTAGTAATATTAGTTTAAGGCTGAAACTAGTGATACGAGTTTCAGACTTTCGCAGCCATTTTTTTGTAAAAGGAACTGACTTGTGCAAATGGTAAAAACGATTCCGCTATGAAATTCACAAGTTTGCGCCTGTAAATGGTAAAAAACCAGAGCGTCCATTTCTCCAATCTGACTAAGGTAGGTACCATTTACATGAGAAACCTGAGATTGCGGTTGGAAAATCAACTGCGTCCGTGTTGGCAGTGGTGTGCAAACGGATGCGACAACTCCCAACAATGTTGGGACCTGCAGTGCATCGTTGGAGGATACAACCCATAATACTTTGTAGACCATGTGTAATTCGTGCGCGTGGCCCCAACAATGTTGGAAGAGCTGTGCAAACGGATCCACTGTTGTTTCGCTACGCTTTGGCGATCATGGAACAAAAGAAATGTTGGGAGTTTGACCGGTTTCACACTTTGTGCAACAACCCCCAACAACACGCAACAACATGCAACAAGGTGTGCAAACGGACGCAACATGCCACATCCAAGAATGCTGGGAGTTGTTGGCAACAATGTTGCGTTCGTTCTGCACGGGGCTTTAGTGAATTACAAGGAGAATGTCTCAAGAAATAGTTGTTGCATCAAGGTTGCCATTAAACGTGTAGTGTATTCGTGGCAACATCCAGGACTTTGTTAGCGCGCCAGCTTGTGCTTCACGTCGTCGAGAGAGCAGGATCGCTTGTGTGTACGTTAGCAGCGACTAATTAGAATTGCTAGTGTATCAGACCATAGTGGCCTCTTAGAAATGCTCCAAATGGTCACCTTTTCCTGGTGATCTTTGTTTCTCGCCTCGTTACTATCATCGATCCAGTCCCTGATTTCACTTGAACCTTGTTCGCGTTTAATGTCACTGCTTGTAGCTACTGCAGCATCCAGTACAAAGTTGAGCCCAATCAGAATGTTCTTGGTGATGTTGTCTGCCCGCACGCTTTTAAACGTTGTAGCCAGAGCTTTTGCCATATTTGTGAGAGCGTTTGCTCCATCTACCTGTGGACAAAATAAATCATATGAAGTGAATCCTCTTCGATAAGAAATGGTATCTCGTATTCGACCCTCCGCACGGCAGTTATAAAGACGGAATATGACACAACCCTTCATGATGTCTAGTTCAGTTTTTCCAGCTGGAACCTCCTTTTCTCGGTAAGTGTCTGAACAGGACCAAGGCAGGGGCAGTAATCGAAGGACAAAATTGTTCTCGCATGAACTGTGTATATGCATATCGATGTGGGGCCGACACGCATGCCTAAGGTATCATGGATACATATGTGTTATTGAACAAGCATGAGGTAAAGATGGCTAGATATTGGCCAAGTTCTTATCTGAGTTATCATTCAAAAAAGAACAAGGTCAATACCCAGCCATCTTGAACCAACAGGCTTGGTCAGTAAGGGATTGATTATATGGCCAAAAGAGAGAACTTTTTCTTGCGCGATTAACGCGAGAAATACCGAGCGCGCAAGATGGGTCCGTCTTGCCTGCTCGAGTAACCAATCACGTAGGATTCGCTTCATCTTATCCATTCCCGGATTCAGCCATATAATGAAAAAAAGGGCTTCAGTGAAGTCCTTTCTTTAAGGTGAGATTAGGTACTCCAATGCACAGAATCCAATCAAAGGTTAAATTTATATGATTGTGTTCAATGGGCTGTACATAATTTTGTTATAGGCTGCGATGCTACAGAGATATGGCCCACGAGACTCTCTCGTGCAAAATTGAGACCCATGAGCCCTCGAAGGTTGCAAGTTACTTACCATCGAGTCGGGTGAGAGTTCCTTGGATACACTGATGGCCGGTAAAAGTCCTCCTAAAGCTTGCCTAATACCGTGGGGGCTGCTAGAACTTACGCCAGATAGCCCCTGGATTACTCTACTTCGGACCTACAATGCAACGTAAGCAGTATGAGACACATGTTTAGGGAGCAGAAGGAAAGAAACAAATGAATTTTTGGAGGAAACGGAAGAGAAGGACATTGGTGAGTGAGAAATAAGAAAATTCTCTTGTGGACAGTAATAACGGAGTTAGTTTGCCTTTGTATTCTTTTATGTTTTACTACTGAGAGTCAATGAACCGCAACCATGAACAATTAACGCGACAATATAAAACTTGCATGGTAAGGTATTTTAAAATTCAGGGATATTTAGTGGCATACGTTTTATTCGGAAGCCTGTTAAGTTATTCACTTTAAATGTATTCATGCCTTCGTTCGTAAGATTCCTACCTAAAAAGGGGGCTAAAACATACACCATATACTACTAACATAACAGAATATGCAACAGACAAATGAGTTAAGAATTCATCATTCGCTCTAGGAGTGGAGGGGTAAAAGATCAAATAAAAAATGCTCATCCGAAGGTATGGGCATGGTGGAATAATTCGTTTATTCATATAGTTACGATCATGTAGAGTGAGTTCCCATTGGCTACGTGACCTTTCTAGATCAGAATGACGTCTGTATTACCTCAAGTTGCCTCGGTAGCAAAATTTTCGAAACTCAACAAACCGTGGTCCTGCAAATATGACTTTCCTCTGCATGATTGCATTCAGGAAGAAAACGGTTGCCCAAACTTTTCTTCCATCGTTCGGCAATGCAAATGACTGTCTCTGTCAAGAACGTTTGTTGAGATCCAGAAATTTTGCTACCATGGTAACGTGATGTCACACTTCTCCTCTATGTAGTACACACCTCCACACGATTTTCGGTATCCAGGGAATCAGTGGCATGAATAGACTCTCGATTCAGCATAGTTACAACTGTCGACATTAATTGGGTTGCTTGACGAAATTCTCTCGCGGCTAGAAGTTTTTCTAGCTTGGAATGAGGACCGCTGACTATTTTTCTCAAATTGGAACTAACAGACCCTGCATCAGAGTTAAAACTTCTGACCTACAACAAAGCAGTGAAAATAACAAATTACAAATATTCTGAGAGATACTACCTTTGTTCAGCTGTCGTCATTAAGGAAATTTCTTTGGAAAGGATGTACTACCAAGATTTTCCTAGAGCTTGGCACATTTGATAGCCATGTATAGGACATTGAGACACTGAATTAAAAGGAATGGGCTCACCATTATTCGCAGTGATTTTTTACTGAGTTGTGCAATAAATGTTCGAAACTTGAGCAACTGCCAGAAATTGTTACTGCGTATCAAAAACTAGGAATATTACTGAAACCTAGAGCCTATTTGTTTGTAATCGTGATTGTTCTCAGATCAGAAGGTTTCGTAATGCCGGAACCTGGCCTTCAACAGTTTTCTGATCTGACAATATGTGAATGACATAAGACACAAATTGTGAAGTCGAAATTGTGCTGTGTAGACACCTGAGACTACAGAACAAGGCGATACAATCTAATTACCTTAGCTTGAAGGGAAAATACCGTATGCGATCCTAAAACATCCGTTATTTTCACGAATAACTCCAAGGTGAAGTTGTGTTTCTCCAATCCAGGTGGAAGAAACAAGTCATTTGTGAAGGGCATCCAACCATAGAAGAGCAGCATGGATCCGTATGTGGGATGCTTAAAGAAATATTCGTACCATAGAGGGCTGTCTTCGTCTGTCCATCCTTGGCAGCTAATTCGGAACTGTGTTTTAATTGCGACGCCTTCCGAAGGTGATACGCTGCACGATCCACCGCTCGGAGGCGCGTCGGTAGTTAACGAGTACTGGGCCGAAAATGTGCTGTTCAGCATGTTGAAAAAGATCGTGTACGTTTGGTTTGGAATCAAGTCGCTTGGATCCAACTTAAACTGGTTTGAAGAAGAATTGTTGATTACTCCAGGCAGTTCCCATTTGCATGTTTTTGTGTCCTGGGTTTTGTTGTCATAACAACCTTCACTGGTAAGAACCAATTCTTCAGAAGTCCTCAACTTGTAGGCGCAATTTTCCTTGCACCTGTGTTAGAGCAAGGTTATTAAAAGAGTTTCTTTTTTCATTTGATATTCTTTTTAGTTTAACTAGTGGCCTAAATAATAGTTTTAAAACGTTTATTAATGGAGGGATGGCGGAGTCGGGGGGAGCTGGGAGCCCACTTCTACCGAAGTATTGAGACTTACTAAGAGTAGAGTCTCCTCAGCCTCCGCCCCCTCCAATTCAGGTCACTAGTCAGCCCACCAACTGGAAAAATGTTCCCCCGTCCCTGCAATGGCACTAACCTGACACAAAGAGGTGGAACGCTTCCAGCCAAAACCTTAATAGTCTGCATTGCCGTAGCTTGTCTTGATCCTTCTGTTACTGATAAAACGAAGTGATACGTTGTATTGAAATCAAGGCTCTCTGGGGGTAAAATCAACACGGGCTGCTTGTTATCAATTGGTCTTTTAAGACCAGAAATGTTTCCACTTGAATAATAAAACCATTCAAAGATCAGAGACGAGCTAGCTTTGCTGACATCGTTTTCGTTTGGATCATGTGATGCAGACCCGTTGAGAACAATCGCTTTATCCCAAGACATTACTCTCTCGCTCCCACAGTCTATACTGGCCAGCAGCTTTGCCAAACGCACCCGCAGAAATCCAGTTGCAGCTTTTGATATCCCAAGAGGCATTGCTGTGACCATGAGAGTAAATTTATACAGACCTCCTCTCAGGGATTTTGCGGGCAGAAACAGAACATCGGAGGAAAGAGGTTGGTTGTGGAATGGAACAGAATCATTAGTGGAGTCATTTAGCAGTTGCTGGACCTTCCATTCATAGTTAATTTCTTCAACACCACTACAGTTTATTTGCAGCGAGGAATAAATTGAGTACTCGTACTCTTGTGGTATTTCAGGACAATCGCTGCTATTCTCTCCAACTGCGAGCATGCGCAGCTCGTTTACGACGCAAGGAGTGTTCATGATGTTAAAGGTCCTAGAAGGCACAAAGGTATTGGGACTGACCATACTTTTGGCCGAAATGGACAAGGTATATGTACCGGGCTCGCCGTACTGATGCCTCACTCTTATTACTCTGGGTAAAGACGACAAAAATTCCTCTTGTACAGCTGAAAGAAATTGAAATGCACTTTATTTGAGTATCAATGTTTTTAGCACGAAAGTACCAATCAAGACACTATTTTTACGTGTCCTACTTGAGACCGGACCGCCATTTTACGTGGTCATCCGAGCCACGCCAAGATCTAGCCGCTTGCAAGGCAAATGAAGTGCCTTCATTTCTCAGTATTTTTAAGACCCTGAGTATTGGTCTGGCCCCGAGAATCGAACCCGTGACGTCCCTCTCTGCATTCAAGCGCTCTACCGACTGAGATAATACTGAGATGTTATTAACATCGACGACACTTCCAACACAAATGTCAGCTTTGATACGCAAAAGCTACATGGATGGCAAAAGGTCTAAATGATTGCGTAAATTATCCTTTGATTACATTTAGGAAACAAAAAAATTGAGCCCGATTCAACAGAAGTATTAGCTTGTTTTTTGGTCCACACCGTGCCACAAGAAGAGAACGCGAAACGAAACGCGCGAGAATAGAAAATGGCAAAGCGAGACTGGAAGAGCAAAAAAAGAGAGATTTATATTTTCTACCCTGGATATTACCATTGCTTGTGGTGTTTCGCGGCTTCTCCGCTCGCATCTCTCTTTGGCATGTTTTCTTACTGACTTACTGAAAAAGATGCTCAAACGGTCTGAGCCATCAAAAGGAAAAGAAATTTTAAAATTTGTCTCAAAATTAGTGAAGCGACTGCAGCTTTAAAAGGCATTTGTTTGTCATTCTTTACTTACCAGAATTGTCACCATAATCCACCGAATAAGTCACATTTGTCCCTTGTAAAATTTCGAACTCCAGGATTAATGTCTTTTCCGAGCCAACAGCTATGTTTCTGATCTGTAAGCCTTTAATAGGATGCTGAACGGTCACGTGACCGCACAGTACCACACGATCAATTCCAGAAGAGACGTTCACACAAACAAAATATTGACCCGGTGTAATAAACCTGTGCGTCATGACTGTACCTCCTTCCTCCGTCGACGATTGATCGTCCCAGTTCCATGAAAAGCGCAACAAGGGTTTCATCTCCACGTTGCTAAGAGAAAAATTGATCGCTTGTCCAACAAGTCCGCTGGAGGCATGATGAAGTTTCACATTTTGCAAGGATGGGATGGAAAGTGAAGCGCTGACTGTTGTAGCGGGGAACGGATACCTGGACAAACTTGTTTGGCTTGTAGAACTGATCTGACCGGTGAATCTGGGTGACTGGGTTGCTGTTACCACAAGTGAATTTTGAAATGCATTCGAAGGCGTAATAGAAGTGAGTGGCTGAGATGTTCCCACGGATGATGCATAAGAGGAGGGTGAATAAACGACAAATGAAATCGCTTTTGAATTTAACGATACATCATTGCGAATATTAACAGTAATGTTTGCACCACCTACGCTTCTAAACTGATGGTTTATTGTTCGACCGCTGTACTTATAGACACGAGCGTCTCCTTCAGCAACAGTCCAACCGTATTTTGGCGAGTCCCCGCGAGACATTTGAGCTTCAAAACGGCATCTGGTACCAATCTCTATGCTTGAGTTGCATGAAGAATTAACGTCGATTCCTGTAATAGAATGGATTGCCTCTATCTCGTGAAACGTGTTTAAATCCGGATGATTTTTTGCAGTACACTTTACAGTGTGCTTTTTGCTCATGCTGAAGCTTTTGTATAAAACCACATAGCCTACACTCGTGTTTTTGTCTGAAAATACTTGTAAGGTCAAATTCGGGGCCGCCACTATGTCAGTTCCCGTCTTTCCTGTCAAACCGTGCTTTGCAAAAAACGAGGCAGGCGACGATCCAGGCCAGTTTATTTGGCAAGTAATGTTAACCAGTGTGTCAGTTGCAACAATTAGGGGAGCTTTGATAGACAGTGGATTTTCGACAACCTTGACTATAACATTGACAGCCTCTACAGAGTTAAGCTGTGGAACTTTATTGTAGCAATACAGTGTAAAGCTTCTGTTTCCAACTGGAGTCAGTCCATGACCGATTCTCTTCCCAATGTCCTTGACAATAAAGTCTGTAGGATTAAAAAACCATGTGCATCCTACTTTGGTACCAGTTTCCACGCTTGCGTTGTAGCACGTGCGCGCGTTGTCAAAAGCAAACGAGCTGTAGCACATCTCAACCTTAAGTCCTCGGATAATCTCGCGCACGAATACGTCAATTTTTTTTGTTTTATTCGAGACAAGGTTATACGCTCTCAGGATAACAGGAAAGTAGCCAACATGTGAAAAATGAAACTGGAGGTGGCAAAATGCACCCTCCGTTGTGTTATCTTCCGCTAATTGACGAGATTGCTGTTCCAATAAACTTGCACTAGGAATGTTCCATTCGCAAGTAACATTTGTGCCAGACAAAACATTCGCTGTCATATTTCTAGTTGTGTTCACCACAACGTACTCTGAGTCGTTCATCGTTATCTTGGTAATTGCGTTCTGCACTGCAATGGTGGATTGAAACGCAATTGCTTTGGTGTGGTTTGCCATGGGAATAGCGCTCACAAATGTCACCAGTAGAGGATATATGCCAACCGCTGAGAAACAGGAAACAGTCAGTTTGGCGTGAACTCTGACCGAGCCACGCAACTTCATTCTAAAAGAGATGTTAAGATGGACCATACTTTCAAGATGTGCATCTACGCCAGAAGCAATGTGAACTGGTGAATAGTATGCTCCTGAAGTCTGTTCAGCGGTAGTTCTTTGAAGCGCAGCACCGGATGTGTTTCGCCTGAATCCCGCAACGTCCCCTGCTCGTGCAATAAATCTTTCTTCTTCCGGTACCACTATTAAGTTATACCCCACGGTAAGGTTGACATCTATTGAATAAACTTTGATATAGTTTCCGGTTTTGTGTGCGCATGAGCTGATAGGTACTGGCCGCTGGCAGTACTTAACATGGATGCATACCCGACCACACTGACCAGTGCATCGAGCCCAGTCTCCGCAGGGAGGTTGCGGGTGACGGGTCAATGTGCAGTTTGTTGTGTTCCAATCCGCCCGGTAAACCTACAAAACAAAGATAAAAAAGACCTTCGTTCGTTCATCGTTAACTTGTGTTACAGTGCTCCAATGATCTAAATAGGAAAAAAAGATGGCTATTGACGGATCAGTTCTTATTGTTGTAGATTGAAGATTATTTCTGTGGTAGGAATAAATTTCATCTTCCATACACTACCCTTTAATTATTCAAGTAAAATAAGGCTTTTTTCGGTGTCTGATGTTTGTCAGGATCAGCCTGGGTTTGGACAATAAGGTACAGGACCTTTTTCTTAGAATTGGGAATACGGTATCTTTTTTGAAGACAAGTGAATTCCGGCATAATAAGGTATATTACGTTTCCTTTAGGCTTGGTTACATTGAAAAAAATATAGGGGCACGTTTGGGTATATTAGCTAAATTATTTTGGGTACAATGGCATTCTCGTCCCCAGAGCAACTTGGCCTAATTTGTAATTACCGTTTGACCACGTGACCAAAAGAAACGACATGCTCTGGGGACGCGAAAGGTACAATGGTGTACTGCTACCCCTCCTGGCTGACCCTGGTTTGTAGAGCACACCAGAAGGCGCCTGAATAAACGACGAAATCAATGCCTTACCTGTAGCTCAATGGGGCCAGGATCCTGGGCGTGTAATTCCCATGCTTCGAGTGAAGTTTCTGCTGAGAACTCCAGCGACGGCAGAATAAATGTTCCAGGCAAAGTACCGTTAAAATCGGTTTTGTTCTTAACTGGACGTCCCTCCTTAGTTTCCAAAGTAATTCTTGGCACATCTATACAGATTAAGAAATTTAGGGTTATTTGTTTCCTTTATTTGTACGTTAATTTAATCTAGGGCTCACTTTTTGTCCTAATCGTAAAGTGGCTGACGTTTTGTCAGTCTTTCTATAAAAGTAGTGACGAATGGTGACGAAAATGTTCAGGATAGTCTTCCTTCTGCCATCCCACCAGACGTTTCGAATTGAGTAAGGCGCACGTCACTGCCAGCTATTTTACATGGCTGGGGCTTATATCCTCGTTTTAGCGGCTTCAAGCAACTATACTGGAGAGTATATCACTATCCCCCAGACGGCCGATCGCCAGCTACAATTAATAAATTCGATTTGGTGGTGGAAGAAACTATAACATCCTGACCGTGGTATCAAGGCCTAAGCCTCGGCCTCTGAGCTGAAGTCATACACGTTACCAAGAGAGAATGATGAGAAGGAGGGGCCACACCTAGTCTAGCTTCTGGGACATAAGAATTTCTCTCAGGTTATTTTTAGGGCAGGAGGTCTGCCTCCCGTGATTTGTTGGCTCATTTTTTATACCCCGTTCAAATGAAAACTGTCCCATTATCCTTTTTTTACTCTTCTAGGTGTTAACGCATTGAAGATGGAATAATTTCAAATGGTTGCTTACAAAACTGGAGCTTTCATGCGTTCGAAATATTATACCCCGTTCTATGGCAAAACGGATACCCCTTTCTAAATTAGGGTTGGGCGGATAGTGATATTCCTGGTCTCTTGGCGACAGGGGGCGGATAGTGATATTCCTGGTCTCTTCGTTATGCATGCAAGAACTGGTCTATGCTGACAACGTTTTAGACTCCTTTTAAGAGATAGATTAGTGTCCTTTCCAGTAACTATAGCGTTCCAATAAAAGTGAAACTAGCGTATGCGTGGAGATTCAGTTTTCAGCTTTCAGAGTAAAAAATAAATGGGAAAGCGTCAACATACCTGAAATAGTTATGTTTTGGCTTGTATTGCCTTTCAATGCTACCAGTGCTAAGACGTCACTACCACGGAAGCCATCCAGAGTACACTCGCTTCGTCTCCAAGGTGTTACAGCGTCGGGACATTCCATACCAGTTAGATGAAGACGGGATATTACTCGGATCATTCGGGTTAAATTAAAGATCGTCCAGTTATGTCGGGACGCAGTTAAAGTGAGGTTGAATACACCGGTTGTGGCATAGCGATGAGTAAACATAAAGCCACCCCGCAGGGAACTGTTAGCTGTTCCATCACCAAAATCCACTGAATATAGGATGGGATCTGGCTGTGTCACGTTCAATGGTGTAGAAGGCGTGATGGAAGATACACTGGAGAATAGTGATGGCGTCATCATTGAAGAAAACCGTGTAGATTTCTCTGAATATTGGATGGGATCTGACAAATTTAACGTCGTGACGCTTGATGGTATGGAAAGTGTGACGGAAGATATACCAGAGAATAGTGATGGCGTCATCTTTGAAGAAAACCGTGTAAATTTCTCGGAATATTGGATGGGATCTGACAAATTTAACGTCGTGACGCTTGATGGTATGGAAAGCGTGACGGAAGATATACCAGAGGATAGTGATGGCGTCATCTTTGAAGAAAACCGTGTAAATTTCTCTGAATATTGGATGGGATCTGACAAATTTAACGTCGTGACGCTTGATGGTATGGAAAGTGTGACGGAAGATACACTAGAGAATAGCGATGGCGTTATCTTTGAAGAAAACCGTGTAAATTTCTCTGAATATTGGATGGGATCTGACAAATTTAACGTCGTGGCGCTTGATGGCATGGAAAGCGTGACGGAAGATATACTAGGGAATGGTGATGGCGTTATCTTTGAAGAAAACCGTGTAAATTTCTCTGAGTCTTGGATAGAATCTGACACATTTAACGTCGTGACACTTGATGGTATGGAAAGCGTGACGGAAGATATACTAGAGAATAGTGATGGCGTTATCTTTGAAGAAAACCGTACAAATTTCTCTGAATCTTGGATAGAATCTGACACATTTAACGTCGTGACACTTGATGGTATGGAAAGCGTGACGGAAAATATACTAGAAAATAGCGATGGCGTCATCTTTGAAGAAAACCGTGTAAATGTCTCGGAATATTGGATGGGATCTGACAAATTTAACGTCGTGACGCTTGATGGTATGGTAAGTGTGGCGGAAGATATACTAGAGAATAGCGATGGCGTCATCGTTGAAGAAAACCGTGTAAATTTCTTTAACGTCGTGACCATTGATGGTATGGAAAGCGTGACGGAAGATGTACTCGAGGATAGTAATGGTGTTATCTTTGAAGGAAACTGTTCAAATATCAGTTCTTGATACAGTTCTACAAGCTCCACCATAAAACAACTGGTGTTGTACATCTGGAAAATTTTTCCTTCTTCAGATGAGTTGCAAGAATCATTTTTAATCAGGAGAGTTACGCTGTCATCTACGCAATGGCAGTTTGTGTCGTTAAACACTGCAGCCAGCGGAAACTTCTCATATCCGCAGGCTTCAATGCACCAATACAGAGACAATCCATTTTGGCTTGGCTGGTAGAAACTTGATTTGTTCTTTTGTTCTTCGTAACAACCCAAATGCAATTCATCTAAAAGGAAAAAACACATCCATCTTAATAGTGTTATTGTAACCCTGACAAGGCAGATCAAATCACAGTGATATGGCGTAAATCCCGGGCGTGAATTAATAACGAATAATGGAAACAACAAAATCAGTAGCATGATTCAAATGGATAACTAGCTGTCGTTTCAAAATCTTATGAGCTGGGGTTGATTTGCTTAATCTACGTGCCTCCAAGTGTAATTTTTTTACTTTGCCATTTCAAAACTTTGTTTCCAATCGGACAAAAACATTAACAACACCAATACACAATAAAACGGGAAGTGAGATACAAGATTTAAGCAAGTGGGCTTGCATACTCAACTACACAAGCTACACAAGTCTGATCTTCCTGACTCCTGAGGCTGGATTCAAAGCCCCCCCCCATGAATTTTCAGTTTGCATAGTTTCCTGGGGTATAAAGGTCCTTACATGTGACTTAATCTGCGAAGTTAATTGGGCAATATGCCTTCTGAATATTAATGAGTTTTTGAAATAATAATATTAGAACATTACATGGCCACTTGGGGAATGAAATTTGTCCTCGGTTGAAAAATATCATGTTCGTGCAACCATGTATCATTCTCTATTTATTTTAAGACTCTTTTTAGAAGCCATTTTTTTAGATGGGCGTTTATTTTTAGCGTTAGCATATTGTAATTTGGTTATTCGTGACAGTGTGCCAAATAAATCATAAATACTAACTCACTCAATATTTTGTTTTAAATTGAAAGAAAGAGAATTCTGATGCCAGAGAGTTCAGGAGAAATTCCGAGCTCCAGGTGAGAATCGAACTCACGACCTCGGATGCTCTAACCACACAGCCACTGGAGACTCTATGGCGAGTAGGGTCGGAATTTAATTATAATCACACCAGTCATACAAGACTGTATCGGGAACTTGCTCGAAATCGGTCGTCCACCAGCGTACAAGACCAAGACTGCACAATATAATTTGGAAGAAGAATAATTTTGATTCGAGAAAGCTCAGAAAAAATTCCGAACTTCAGGTGAGAATCAAACTCGTGACCCTCCTTATACTAGTCATATTTTACTTTTGCATTTCACAGTTCGTTTTCTATTTCTTTTAGTTAAGTTTTTAATTAATGTAAAAAACATTAGGTCATATCCACAGTATATTTTTGCGCAATATATAAAGTAAAATTATTTAAAATAATTATTAAAATTATTATTAACTGAAGTCTTTTCACAGCGTTGCCACTGCACGTCATAGGTGTTGTCTAGGACTGTTGCAAAATTCAGTTTGTATTGATCACTCGATAGTTACATACCGGCTGATTCTGGGGGTAAATAAATTGTCTTGGTTGAAGAGAATGCCAACGTCTAAAGCAAAGAAAAAGAAAAAGATCGCTATCAAAAATAAATAATGATGATAAAATAAAAATACTGAGGCAAGGTGATAATTGACGTAGACGTTTTCGCGAAGAAAGAAAACAAAACAGAAAAAAAAAACAAGAAGAAAGTGACAAAAAGAATGATCATGAAGGCGGTCTTTATAAAGATAAAAATCGGAAAATCCGGAGGCAAATCCAGTTTTTACAAACAAATAGATCTTGCTCAATGCTTTCAGAAGACCGATGGCCATCACATGCCTGTCAAAGCTTTATAAATTGCTGTACAAGCTTCTCCAATCAGTCTTTCTTTAAAGCTTACGAAATGTTAATATAACAATTATCGGGTTGGTATAATGAAATCATAAAGTGGAACAGAAAAAAAACCCTTGCAGATCACTAGAGCTTAATATAAAAAATCTATATTAGTTCGAATCTTAGCTTAATCTTCAATGTAAACAATATTACACTGTAAGAATAAAGTTCAGAAAGTTACGTGCTTGTGGAAACAATGGCTGTTTTCGTTTCCTAACCATTTATCTATCTGATTCAAAAGCCAAATTATCTGAGTAAAATTGGATAATTTTTCATCTATTCTAGCTTCCTGGACAAACAAAAAAGCAGTAAATATGATTATAACTATCCTTATTCATTAGAAATTAATTGACACTTTGCAAAAACTGAACACCTTTCTGACACAATGTTACAAAGCTGAAAATCAAAGGGAACCCTTTTGACAGACCTAAAGAAAGTTAAGGTTTTGATTAACTTGATGCAAAACTATAGTACAACATCCCCTGGACTTAACTGGCGTATTGCATTTGGAAAAGTTGGCACGATCACATATTATTGCAATCTAGAGAACTGTTTAAATTTTTCGGATACTCTATAAAGCCTTAGATCAAAAACCCTAAAAATCGTCTTTTGCCCGATTTGGCATTTTATGGCCAGATTGGTTGTTTTCTGCTCAAAAGTAGATTCTCAGAAAAATTGTTACTTTTCTTAAATTACAAGTTTTATTTGCTACAACATTGAGAATCACTCACTGATCACTAGACAAAGCTCCATGCGAAAATAATCTCGGAAAGATTTCATTTGAATGGTCGCGTCGGAGAATTTAGCCAGTTACAGACTGAACAGTTAAAGTTATGTTTCCAAAGTTTTACGACTGAAAAAAAGTATGTTTACAGGAGTAAGCAGGTTGCATCCTACGACATCTCCTCACTTGTCAGATTAAACTTGTGTGTTCACAGGATCTAGGGCTCCTTATTCGACTCTACCTTCGCCCAGTCTTCATCGTACGGCATAACTATACACACAGTAGCAAACATCTCAGTTCTACCCATTTTACGATTGTTCTTTGATGAAAGGATACCCTTAAACCTTCCCAAAATAACAAATTCCCTTTTTGCGTAAATTTAGGATCGAGACCTTAGAGACTCTTGAGCAAGGAAAGTTATAGTGAAAAGCTAATCTTTTTAAGCACCAAAATAGCCTTCAATGAACTGACTTGATGAGATTAACTTCGAAATTTGCTTTTAGTTTTTGATTCTGATTCGTTGTCAGCCAGCACAAAATCTCAGGTTGAGAAACTGAATGTGTAGTGCACGGTGTCTTATGCAAAGTGCTGATAATCGTATTTCGCAATTCTTCACCCGACAAATCATCCTTAAGTTTCTAAAATTTTCGAGTAAATACCACAAACAATTAGGCTTTATTCATAAAAAAGCCAGATTATGCAGTGGAGAACTCATACTGAAAATTTTTCTCACGTAGCAAATGACTATATGTAACCTTTTGTCATACGGACCATTTTGGACAAAGCACACAGAAATAGAGACGGGCAGTTTCTATTGAATTTGATTTACAAAGTCCAGTCACAATACATGAAAATAACGTTTGATGAACTGAACTGAAAAGACGATAGATTCAAATTTGTGATCATTTGAAATATTCCAATTAACGACTGCTGATTTAGTAAGAAATTTGCAAATATTGTGGTATAAAAAAGCAACCATATCGCATCAACATATAAAATAACAGTTTTGATATAAAATCTAAAAAAACTGAAATTTGAGACATATCTTATCATCATGAAAATAGTTTTTTGCAGTTTCCACAATAAAAACTCGAATAACTAGGTTTTGGAAAACTCGGGACTATCTATAGTAGGTACATTTCAAGAGAAATGAAAAGTCGTCGAAATGCAAAGGATAAAAAGTGTTCAATTCAAATACAGCTTACCTCAAGCAAAACTTGACACACTGTCAATAAGTGAATCAAGTAAAACTTCATGTTGTCCTCTGTTCCGTTTTCTGATGAAAACGATGTTATCTGCCAAATGCAAAGTGAAACGCTGAGTTAAGTTACCAAGCGAGAAAGATCACATAACGCGGCAATCTGCGCTAACTGAGCAAACCGCAGTTTTGTCGCCACTCAATTATCTGCAATTGTAAAAGGGAGAAACGAATTGACGACTTATTACTTGATAAATGAAATTACAAAACATCATGGACGGAAATTCATTGATCAAGACAAAATTTAATACGCGAATATGTCAAAGGGGAAATCTACTCAGTAAATCTTGTCGCCAGCGGACCAATGGAATTAAAGCGTCAATGGGATTGAAATGTGGCTTTAATTAGCAATTTATGACTTAGAAATATTAAACGAAGGGGGTGAAATTGGTTTATCGGAATAATAGGGTTCTTTTTGTAACCAAGGTTGTTTTTACTTTTTAACTTGTTTATTTTCCCCACCGGTTGTATTTTGTAACTTAATTGGCTGAGAAAAAAGTAATTGTGTCATATTATTTTGCTTGATAGAGGAAATCAAACAAAATCACGTTCACATGAAATATTTAAATCTGCTTTGAACTCGATTCCGTAAAGTCCTTTGTTTTAGTTTTTTTGATTTAAACAGTTCATGAAAAGCTTACAATTTAGTGGGATAAAAATGTTCATACTTGACGATATCTTACGACCGGAAAAAGACTTTTCTTTAAGCAAAGCTTTCGTGTGTGTCTCTCTTTTTTTTGCTAGGGAGAAGGAAGAAGGGGAGAAGGGGAAGGAAGACATGCCACGAAATTGGCATGCCCAACATTTTTCCAGGGCGTCGTTTCAGTAAACCTTATGTCGTTTTCTTTTATCGTCGAATTTAACTCTATATTATGTTGAAAAACTTGTTTTAGGTTTCGCATGTCACTGCTTTATACGGCAACATCAACCCCAAACTAATTAATCCTTTGGAGCCGACAGTCTCGCTCTAATTGAAATTCTCTTAACCTATTGTATAAAGCTAGGAAACTGCGCAAACAACTTTATTTTGGGATATAAACAAACTGACACTTCTGTCTTGAGGGGATGTAAGTATAGGTGTTTATCGGTAAGCAACACTTTCTAAGATAGCAATCGAAAACAGCCGACATTTCGTGATGCCACCACTGGTTTTCCCGCGAAATGACGTCTGAGAAACGAGCGCAGAAATTTTATGATGACGTGTCACTACCCAGATATGGGTAATGCTTTTGATTGGTCCTGCTGTGAGGGAAATTTGCTTCAACCACTCAGAATTGAAGCACCACCGAGTTCTGGGTTATGGGCTCCTGGTTGTTGGTAGACACTTCATCAGTATGGAATCTCTACACTCGAGTTCCTCACTAAAGGCGTCATTTCACAGGGAACCAGTAGTGGCGATGTAAAATGTCAGCTGTTTTCTAGGGTTATTTCTTAGAACGTATTACAAAGGAGGTCTAGGTACCACCAGCTACGCAAATAAAACAGGCTAACCACCACTCCTATAAGACTTGTCCGAAAGGAGTTTAGCCGAATGTTTTGCTGGTCAGGATCTCACGAGTGCAAAGTTCTCTGAGTTCTTTGGAAGTTGTTTACAATTTGCTACGAGATCGAAATGTAATGACCGATAAGTTAAACTTCGTTCAATTTTCCCTAAGTATAGTGCTCTCCAGTAGAGCTACTATGTTTTTATATATACAAGAAGCCGCTTACAGCGGCATTCAGTCTCGCTTGCTTGAAGATTAGATCGAGAAATGAGGAGGCGAGTAATTCTGCACGAAACGAAACAGATTTACTCGCTAAAAGTTTTTTACTTCCTACTTTATCGACGTCGATACTTTTTACTTGTTTCTGAATTGATTTAGTACGCGTGTTAGCGACGACCGGAAATACGTCTGCGGTCGCAGGCTATACGCGTGTATAAAGACACGAAAATTCAAAGGCCTCGATTCCAGAGAAATAACATCATTGCCAGATATCGAAAAAGTGATTTACATGGCACGCCTTTTCAACCATCACCAATAATAAATCGCATGCCCAGCCCTGGACTCATTTGCATACAGTGAAAGTTTACAACACCCAACCATCGCAATTTGGCTAATTCAGATTCTTATTTATTTTCGACTACTCAGTAGTGTTCACTTGCTCCAAAGTAATCAACGCTTTCAAGCGATGGAATTCGTGGACCGACACGTTTCCGAAAAGCTCTAAATTTAATCTTCCTAAGTTTTCTTCGGAAAACATGCGTGGCTTCCATCACGCAACGATTCTTAGTTCCAGTTTCCACGGTGTCCGCAAGGAACACCTGGCACAATGACCCCCCATTTCTGATCCAAAAACGACAAAAATGCCCCTGGGGGGTACTTCCAGAAAAATTGGGTGGGGATGTGCGACACGCTTCCTGAAACCCTTACCCTATTTCAGACCAAAATCTGTGATTTTTCTTACACTATTTCAGACCTGATCAAAAATTTGATACCCTATTTCAGAACTGAAGCCCTGGAGCCCGGCGCGTGACAAGCTGTTGCGGCACGTACACGGTACTTGGCGTAAACATTGAAAGGGAAATGGTCTTATCGCCAAATGATGAAGAAGTAGCCAATTCTTCTAAAAAACGTACCCAATTCAAGACTAGAGTGCACAAACCATACCCTATTACGGACCAAAACGGCTGAAAAAAACATACCCTTTGGTGCCGCACTTACTCATATAGCCTATATAAGGGACTCCCCCCCGGGGCGAAAAACGCTTTGCAGATTATTAGTCTAATATCTTAAATGAACCCCGAGTAGCGCCGCAAATGATCCCCGACTGTAAATGATCCTTAAATTCGACCGCAAATGATCCGGACCTCAAATGATCCTTCTTAAAAATGAAATATCGCGGACTACAAGATAAGGAGGATGTTATAATGGCGAGGACTTGACAGATACGTAGAAAACAGATCTAAAACCATAATACAGTGACCAGATAAATCATAATTTGTTTTACGACAGGTGCAATTTTTCATGTTTTATATTTTTGACAATTATTTTAAGATCAAATTTGTTTCTTATTAATAAGAAACTACTTATTTATTTTGAAATTAAAAAGTAAATTTACTGACCTTTTCAGAGAATTCATAGGATCACGAACGTGTTTTGAAGACATGCTATAAATAAAACCCGATTTGTCTTATTACGTCTTGATCATTTTAATAATCATAGAAATCAACTCAGTTTTTTGTCAGGTTTGTTGAAACACTTTGGCCACTTTGATTGTGTAATCAGCAGAAATATTTACAATCACGTAGGACGTACCAGATCCATCGCCTGCATACGAAACAGAAATTTTCTGTGCCTATATTCGTTCCTGTAAAATGTAGACCTTTTATCCAGATCGTGGATTATATTAAGCGGGAATGGAACAAACAGAATATGCCTTGGATACCTCCTCACCAATGGTCTTGTTGTATGTTAAAATACAGACTGTCAAAGTCAGGTTTACCGCGAAAGTTAATTTGTACCAGGTGACTGGAAGTTTTCTTTTTACTTGTCGTTTACAATTCATTACATTCTGCACAAAAATAAGTAGCTTCATGTCAAGTTCATCTATATGAATTATTTTGAACACTTTACGTCAGCTCATTTCCTAATTTGAGAAATTGTCAGCTGTATATTCACGTACATGTACCCCCGTTTGCTGTAAACATTATTCTAAATCTCTGTTGATTCTAAATGTTAGCGTCCATATAGTGCTTTTAACTTTGTGATATATTTTTACCTGATCTTTCTCTGTAAATATTATAATCTGATTTAAAATATCAATAATTCTTAGAGCTTAGGTTTCAGATTACTTATTACTAATTGATCAGCTTAAATTCGTAGATTACTTTATTAATATACACGTACACCGCGTTTTTAAGGGAACTTACGTGTTCCTGGGTGCTATGTTTTTTACTTTTAAAATTTTATTGACTTGCTTGATTAACAAACGGGAAGATTTAAACCTAGCTAAATCTTCTTACTACTTTCTCTTTCCGGGACTTTTTTTCATCCGCTTGCATTTACGATAACAGAATTGTAAAAATTTCCTAGAATGAAGACCAATAGCCCACATTCGATATATCAAAATTCAAACATGACTCCGAGGCTTTACGGACAAAATTGTCCTCAATTTTCGGCCCTGCTTCAGATAAGAAGGATTAATATATTCTCGCCAGTATAACTCTTCGATCATATTCAGCATCATGTTTGTTTGCCTCGCAACATTCGTTACATTTTCCACACAACAAATAGCAACAACCAAGTTTGCGAAGGCTGAGCAAATCAGCTGACGTCATCAGCCTTTCTTTGATTCTTTAGTCGTTTTCAGTTTCAGGGACATTTAAGGTGGCTCGACTGGATTTTTGGGGGTTGATACCTCCGAGCTTTAAGCATTAACTACGTCGGCATGAGTAAAAATATGGAAAAAAGGTTACCACAACTGTATTATATAAAGTTGAAAATTTCTTATGATCTGGGTTTTATTGCAATCGGAGTCACCATGGCAACGTAATGACGCCATTACGTTTTTCATTTATCTTTGTGTTTCTCTGTTCCAGGCGTTTTTTGAAGAAATCGCTTAAGGGAGTATGTACCTGCTATAATTGCCTCCATTATGGCATAGTTTGAACAAATTCTATGAGAGCGTTTTCGAAATATTTTGAAATGTAGTTTTAAGAATAATAAAAACAGTGAAATAGCATGCTAGCCACACAATTCGCTAATATTTTAAGAAAATGATAAGCTTTGGGAACGAGGCTTCATCTCATAGTGGTTTGATTCCATTGAAAACTGCATACAAAAAAACAGGGGAATTGCTCTGGGCGATCGCGAGTAAGAAGAATTTTATTAACTTGCATTCAGCTGCTATTGATACAGTTTTTGGACGTAATTTGGCCCATGCCTAAAAATTTCGCATTTTTCCAAAAACCGCTCGATACATTTTTTTATAAATTCGACAATCCCGAGATCAATTGTCAAGAAATATTCCCTGCAAGTTTCAAGAACATTGAAAATAGGGAAGGCTTTTAAATAGGGCCTCAAATATAACCAATTTTCCCCCCAGATTTTGCGTTTACAAGTCAGCGTCCTCATTATTCACTGGCATTGTTTTCAAGTTTCATATGCACGTGCACAACAAGCAAAAGATATAAATTTGCATAAAAAAGAACTCTCGATTACTTTCCGAGGAAATATCCGGAATATGCTAATAATTGGCTTGTCGTCACAGATAGCAGTGAGAGCCGAAACGGTGAACGTCACGGCTCATCGTGGTTTCGCATGTCACTGCTTTATACGGCGTCGTTTCAGTAAACCTTATGTCGTTTCCTTTTATCGTCGAATTTAACTCTATATTATGTTGAAAAACTTGTTTTAGGTTTCGCATGTCACTGCTTTATACGGCAACATCAACCCCAAACTAATTGGAGCCGACAGTCTCGCTCTAATTGAAATTCTCTTAACCTATTGTATAAAGCTAGGAAACTGCGCAAACAACTTTATTTTGGGATATAAACAAACTGACACTTTTGTCTTGAGGGGATGTAAGTATAGGTGTTTATCGGTAAGCAACACTTTCTAAGATAGCCATCGAAAACAGCCGACATTTCGTGATGCCACCACTGGTTTCCCCGCGAAATGACATCTGAGAAACGAGCGCAGAAATTCCATGATGACGTGTCACTACCCAGATATGGAAATGCTTTTGATTGGTCCTGCTGTGAGGGGAATTTGCTTCAAACACTCAGAATTGAAGCACCACCGAGTTCTGGGTTATGGGCTTCTGGTTATTGATGGACACTTCATCAGTTTGGAATCTCTAAACTCGAGTTCCTCACTAAAGGGGTCATTTTACAGGGAAACCAGTAGTGGCAATGCGCTAAATGTCAGCTGTTTTCTTGGGTTATTTCTTAGAATTTATTACAAAGGAGGTCTAGGTACCACCAGCTACGCAAATAAAACAGGCTAACCACCACTCCTATAAGACTTGTCCGAAAGGAGTTTAGCCAAATGTTTTGCTGGTCAGGATCTCACGAGTGCAAAGTTCTCTGAGTTCTTTGGAAGTTGTTTACAATTTGCTACGAGATCGAAATGTAATGACCGATAAGTTAAACTTCGTTCAATTTTCCCTAAGTATAGTGCTCTCCAGTAGAGCTACTATGTTTTTATATATACAAGAAGCCGCTTACAGCGGCATTCAGTCTCGCTTGCTTGAAGATTAGATCGAGAAATTAGGAGGCGATTAATTCTGCACGAAACGAAACAGATTTACTCGCTAAAAGTTTTTTACTTCCTACTTTATCGACGTCGATACTTTTTACTTGTTTCTGAATTGATTTAGTACGCGTGTTGGCGACGACCGGAAATACGTCTGCGGTCGCAAGCTATACGCGTGTATAAAGACACGAAAATTCAAAGGCCTCGATTCCAGAGAAATAACATCATTGCCAGATATCGAAAAAGTGATTTACATGGCACGTCTTTTCAATCATCACCAAAAATAAATCGCATGACTCATTTGCATACAGTGAAAGTTTACAACACCCAACCATCGCAATTTTGCTAATTCAGATTCTTATTTGTTTTCGACTACTCAGTAGTGTTCACTTGCTCCAAAGTAATCAACGCTTTCAAGAGATAGAATTCGTGGACCGACACGTTTCCGAAAAGCTCTAAATTTAATATTCCTAAGTTTTCTTCGGAAAACATGCGTGGCTTCCATCACGCAACGATTCTTAGTTCCAGTTTCCACGGTGTCCGCAAGGAACACCTGGCATAATGACCCCCCATTTCTGATCCAAAAACGACAAAAATGCCCCTGGGGGGGTACTTCCAGAAAAATTGGGTGGGGATGTGCGACACGCTTCCTGAAACCCTTACCCCATTTCAGACCAAAATCTGTGATTTTTCTTACAGTATTTCAGACCTGATCAAAAATTTGATACCCTATTTCAGAACTGAAGCCCTGGAGCCCGGCGCGTGACAAGCTGTTGCGGCACGTACACGGTACTTGGCGTAAGCATTGAAAGGGAAATGGTCTTATCGCCAAATGATGAAGAAGTAGCTAATTCTTCTAAAAAACATACCCAATTCAAGACTAGAGTGCACAAACCATACCCTATTACGGACCAAAACGGATGAAAAAAACATACCCTTTGGTGCCGCACTTACCCATATAGCCTATATAAGGGACTCCCACCCGGGGCGAAAAACGCTTTGCAGATTATTAGTCTAATATCTTAAATGAACCCCGAGTAGCGCCGCAAATGATCCCCGACTGTAAATGATCCTTAAATTCGACCGCAAATGATCCGGACCTCAAATGATCCTTCTTAAAAATGAAATATCGCGGACTACAAGATAAGGAGGATGTTATAATGGCGAGGACTTGACAGATACGTAGAAAACAGATCTAAAACCATAATACAGTGACCAGATAAATCATAATTTGTTTTATGACAGGTGCAATTTTTCATGTTTTATATTTTTGACAATTATTTTAAGTTCAAATTTGTTTCTTATCAATAAGAAACTACTTATTTATTTTGAAATTAAAAAGTAAATTTACTGACCTTTTAAGAGAATTCATAGGATCACGAACGTGTTTTGAAGACATGCTATAAATAAAACCCGATTTGTCTTATTACGTCTTGATCATTTTAATAATCATAGAAATCAATTCAGTTTTTTGTCAGTTTTGTTGAAACACCTTGGCCACTTTGATTATGTAATCAGCAGAAATATTTACCATCACGTAGGACGTACCAGATCCATCGCCTGCATACGAAACAGAAATTTTCTGTGCCTATATTCGTTCCTGTAAAATGTAGACCTTTTATCCAGATCGTGGATTATATTAAGCGGGAATGGAACAAACAGAACATGCCTTGAATACCTCCTCACCAATGGTCTTGTTGTATGTTGAAATAGAGACTGTCAAAGTCAGGTTTACCGCGAAAGTTAATTTGTACCAGGTGACTGGATGTTTTCCTTTTACTTGTCGTTTACAATTCATTACATTCTGCACAAAAATAAGTAGCTTCATGTCAAGTTCATCTATATGAATTATTTTGGACACTTTACGTCAGCTCATTTCCTAATTTGAGAAATTGTCAGCTGTATATTCACGTACATGTACCCCCGTTTGCTGTAAACATTATTCTAAATTTCTATTGATTCTAAATCTTAGTGTCCATATAGTGCTTTTAACTTTGTGATATATTTTTACCTGATCTTTCTCTGTAAATATTATAATCTGATTTAAAATATCAATAATTCTTAGAGCTTAGGTTTCAGATTACTTATTACTAATTGATCAGCTTAAATTCGTAGATTACTTTATTAATATACACGTACACCGCGTTTTTAAGGGAACTTACGTGTTCCTGGGTGCTATGTGTTTAACTTTTAAAATTTTATTGACTTGTTTTATTAACAAACGGGAAGATTTAAACCTAGCTAAATCTTCTTACTACTTCCTCTTTCGGGGACTTTTTTTCATCCGCTTGCATTTACGACAACAGAATTGTAAAAATTTCCTAGAATGAAAACCAATAGCCCACGTTCGATATATCAAAATTCAAACATGACTCCGAGGCTTTAGGGACAAAATTGCAAAATTTTCACGAATTGACCACTACAGAAAATACCATAACATACAATAATACTCTTTGCTGCACTTTCTACCTTGATATCAATTTACTCCGTGGTGGAAAGTTTTTTAATTGATTTCAATCTAGGCTATCTGCAAGACTTTTTCCGCACTTGAAATCGATTTACTAATACGATTAACATTTTCCCCTTTGAATCCGACTTTGCAAAGAAATTTTATGACCCTTTATTATCTTGAACTTCGATTTCTAAACAGAATTCTCCTCACTTTTCGGCTTTGCTCCAAAGCAAGAAGATTAAGTTTAGAGAATAGACTACTTGAACAATACCTGATAAAGTGTGAGTTTGACTAATAGTCGCGGGTCGCGGGTCGCGGGTCCACAGTCGCGGTCGCGGGTCCAAAGTCGCGGTCGCGGGTCCAATGTCGCGGTCGCGGGTCCAATGTCGCGGCAGGGGAAAATGATTTGGGGTTCGAGGTAACTGAGTGAAAACGAGTGATATGAAAAAAATATAAAGGGAAAAAAATCGTTTTTATGCATGATACTCTACGGTAGCCAATTTACAGGTTACGGATGTTAGAGTCAACAAAATAATGTCTCAAGAAAAGACGTAAAAGAAAAAGCTGGCCGACTTTTGTGTTCACCGCAAGTTCATTTTGTTTTCTTTCTATCGGGCCCAGTTATGTATAAATACCATGAGTTACCATTGTTTTCTTCTTGTCTATGAATTGCTCACAAATTCTTAGGGGTGCATTCACTGAAAAATGTGCGATACACTTCATAGACTATAAATTATAAACGTTAGAACAACTTAAAACCTTTTTTAAAAAAGGCTAACTCGGGCTCGAAAAGCTACGAGTCTGTCGGTAGAAGAAACGAGAACTGTTTCAATTTTAACAAATGTTTTCGGCAAAAATAAAGAAAACGCTTGTTGAAAAACTTCCTAACCGCAAACTCCCAAAATAAACTCTTTGCACAAGTAACTGGAAAGAGGAGGAGAGACGTTGGGCTTAAACTGCCAGTAAAGTACATTCAAGTGGGTATTCAAGGCATGAATTTAATATAGAAACAAGTAATAATCCACAGCAAGAGGGGATAAAGCTCGAGCTTTATCCTCTCTTGTCCACAGAAGGAGTCTGTTTCCACTAACGATTGAAATCCGGAATCCAAGTTCTACCAAGACAGAATAGATCATAGTCTCTTGGTTCTACTGACAAAGACTTGAATCCAGTACCTGGAATCTGGAATTACTTACCTAATTTATTGTCTTTTCTTAGCTCTGGTGGAGTTGATAACTTACCGTTTTCAGTGTCTGGTTTACTTTCTTTTTCAGCTTCATGATATCGGGCGTTGTTATTTCCTTACCTACTTACTCACTTGGTTATTTACGATGCACGTTTTCAAGATTTGACTGAGACGCACATTGAATGGTTTCCTATTGTCAGGTTGTCATTTAGGTGAAGAGAACAAGAAGTTATATTGAACACTCTGGGTTGCCGTCTCAGTTGTAAAAAGAAAAGCATTAAGCGAAAATCTTGCTTCGAGGAACAGACTCCTTTCTGTGGATTATTACTTGTTTCCATATTAAATTCATGCCTTGAATACCCCTTGAATGAAGTTTCATGCGCCTATTTACATTTTCTTTCAGTTTTGTTTTCGAAAACATTTGTTAAATATAAGAGTTCTCGTTTCTTCTACCGACAAACTCGTAGCTTTTTGAGCCCGAGTTCACTTTTTTTAAAAAAAGGCTTTAAGTTGTTGTAACGTTTATAATCTGTAGTCTATGAAGTGTATCGCATATTTTTCAGTAAATGAACCCCTAAGCATTTGTGAGCAATTCATCGACAACAAAAAAGCAATGGTAACTTATAGTAACTTTTTTATCAGATACTGTTTTGCATAAGTATAACTGGGCCCGATAGAAAGAAAACAAAATAAACTTGCGGTGAACACAGAAGTCGGCCAGCTTTTTCTTTTAGGTCTTTTCTTGAGACATTATTTTGTTGACTCTAACATCCGTAACCTGTAAATTGGCTACCGTGGTGTATCGTGCATAAAAAAGAGTTTTTCCCTTTATATTGTGTTCATATCAGCCGTTTTCACTCAGCTGTTACCTCGAACCCCAAATCATTTTCCCCTGCCGCGACATTGGACCCGCGACCGCGACTTTGGACCCGCGACCCGCGACCCGCGACTATTAGTCAAACTAAAGTGTATATAATTCGACAAGCAGAAGAATATAGAAAAATCTGTGTCGCAATCATTGAAGTGTACGTGATATGAACCTTTTTTCTGTTGTTCTTTATTCTTCAGTATCTGTAAAATATGTATCCGAAACTGAAACTCGTAAAAAATCTTGCGAAACCTATTTTTCCGCCAAAATACGGGAATTTGCATTGCTGTCAAAAATGTCCGCCTTATCGCGCGGCAAATTTGATACGCATGCATGACGTAGAATGATTGCTTCAAGGGAAGCTTCACAACACAAGATGGCGGTAGATAAGAAGGATTAATATATTCTCGCCAGGAGAACTCTCCGATCATATTCAGAATTTTTGTTTGCTTTGCAACATTCGTTACATTTTCCACACAACAAATAGCAAAAACCAAGTTTGCGAAGGCTGCGTAAATCAGCTGACGTCATCAGCCTTTCTTTGATCCTTTAGTCGTTTTCAGTTTCAGGGACATTTAAGGTCATGTTACACGAGACGATTCGGAACGACGATTTTTAGCGCAACACAGCGTTGCAACATTGTTGCGACATTGTTGCGAATAGGTACAACATTGTTCCAACATAACAGAGCTGTGTTGCGCTTAAAATCGTCGTTGCGAATCGTCTCGTGCAACATCACCTTTATGAAGGAGAAAAAGCAGTTTTTGAACGGCCAAACCTCAAGCAATTTTTTTTGGAAACACATTTCTAAAGATCAAAAAAGGTTTCGTGTCATACACACTTTAAGACAATAATGCATTAATACGACGTCATTGTGTGTATTTTTTTTTTCAGTTTCTTACAGAGGAGGTGTATGTAGAATGCCACTTTTGGCCCTACAGTCTGATAATACATTTGCCGTCTTCGAAGTACGCTGTTTTAAACTAATCTGTCTATCACTCTACCACCATGGCTTCTCTTTTTCTTAATAGACTCCTGACAGGAATTTTTCTGTGAGTTTTTCCAGCGATGCACAATTTTCAGACTCAGCTTCAAAGAAGATTCAAAAATGTGTTTCTTCCGCGCTTGGTCGGTATGATTTAACTTCACATTAAATAAAGGGTAGGATATGTCTCATATAATGTGAGTAACAGAAGTGGCGAATGTGAATCTTGAAACTTACTTTGCGCTTGCAATTGTAGCGTCCATTCCTCGTATAATTTCCTTTAACCTTGGAAGGTAATTTTGGCCTACAAAATCTAGCGGATACGCAAGACAAGTGAATTGTTACCTTTTCTTATCTCAGTTCACTTTTCTGTTTCGCCGTCTTCGCGTTATTAAACGTTCCAACTTAAACCAACTGCTCTTGGCCGCTAAAGCGTAAAGTTGTCTGTAGCTTTTGGCTAGGTCCGGATATGTTCCGAGGCGTTGATGAAGTAAACAGACGATTTGGAGCCTTATGATCGTGTGTCGCGCTTGTACGTTTCCATGGAATTAAAAAGGAAATGACAGGAACTAAAAGTTGCATTAAACTTTGTCAAATTGTAAAGGGAAGTTGATCATTTATTTTCATGGCAATTGACAACATTAGCATCACTGAAACCATTTATTCTTACCGGTAATGGTCAACAAGCTTTTGCTTTCAATTTACTTAATCCATTTACGAAAACATACTGGGTTTGCTCAATAAGTTTCAAATAGCATTTCCCCATATTTTCAATAATTTATGAGTATTAATGTGAAATTTGTCATGTTAGTGTTATTTGATGCTAATGAAAATTGAATGTCTGTCGAGATATATAATGAATATTGTCCATTTGTTTTGTACAAATACACTCACTTCTCCTTCACGCCGGAGAGATCTTTTTTGTTGTTTTTTTGTGTTAATTCCTTGTTTTACAGCATTGTCTGCGTAAAAAGGCAATCAAATAAATTTTCAATTTCACTGTTTTAAAAAGCAATTAATGTCCACAGGGCTTAATGACTTACATTTAAACTCAGTAAATGGTTTCGTGTTACTTCTGTTAACAAGCCCTCTGTTTTTGCCATATTTAAAGAGTTGATAAGTCACTCGCACCTTTCCTCCCTCCCTTTGCCTCCCGACAATTTCAAATCAAAAGAGACTGCATCCGTATGGACGATACGGATTGTAGCTGAAACGGATAGAAACGAAAGTTTTTGGCAACTGAAATAAAAAGTTTCAATTTTGTACTTAAAAAATCAGTTGGTGTCTCGCTGAATGCTGGCGAAACATCTACTTTTCAGATTTAATGATATATTTCCACTTTTTCCTATGTCGTTTTTTAACTTAAATCACTATTTACTACACCCTAAAAGAGTTTCCCAAGCTCTATTTATCTTGTACTATCCATTATTGAATGGAACAAATAAAATGGAAATGAAAATGAAATGAAAAAAAAAATTGTGCACTTAGCCTCGTTTTTAAAGTGAGACTTTTTGGGACTCGGACGATGGACGGTTTCCAGAGAGAGAGAGAGAGCTGGGACGGAATGTATTGACGGCCAGGCACCTCGGCACTTCATTCATTCACTGTTTAGCATGGCGGAAGGTGGCATTTTCGCGGAGGACATTGTTAAGAATGCGCAGGGAAATGTAGGGGTTGTTTTAGAAGATGCTGAAGAAACTACTGACGAATCAGACAGTGACGAAGAAGCTCTAAAAAAGGGACAAATAGTGGTTTGTTGGTATCCTTCTGGCAACGAGGAGACCATCTCGATCTCGAAGGTAGTAGTGCTTTATTTGCATTTGCGCAATGTTTACCGGCATTTTGATTTTGATCCACGCAATCTTAACTGCTTAATTTTTTTTTTCATTTTAACTTCAGTTTCTTTTCTCTTAAGACTGAAATTTATCTCATTTACTCTATTGTATCAATTAAACGTGTCAATTTTTCCATCGCCCGATTGAAAAAAAAAACAACATTAATATTGTACATGTACAAGCATGTTTTTAAACGTGGGAGATCAACTATATCTGCAAACCTTTTTCAAAATTTCCTTTTGTGATTTCCATTTGCATTTCCTGTAGGTTATTTTCGGTCTCATGCTTGATATTTTATGGAATGTGCAATACTAGCTACTGCCTAAGTTCTTTAGGTCGACTGAAAGATGTGTATTTGATGCCTATGCAAGTACCTCAAGAGGCACTTCGATTTTGATATTGTCTCCATGAAAGGGGGAAAAGGGGAGATAAAAATGAAATGGCTTTAGAACCATGGTAAAGAAAGTCTTAACACTATTATGTATTTTTTTAAAAACAAGTTTACTCAGCAACTTTTTTCATGAGCTAGGGAGTACTAGGGAGTCAGCCTACATATGTACAAGGTTTGGAATTAATTTGTCGGTCATGGAAAGTCATGGAAAATTGATATTACTTGAATAGCACAAATGGTGCACGTTTTGATGCAAACGCTTACTGACTGGCCAAACCATTCCTGTCGCATTGAGAATTTCACTTTTAATCAAAACTATCCAGAGAGATCAGTCAAATCCTCAATAGTATGCACAAAGGAGATGGTTTTTCAGCAAAAACCCTATGGAAAAACCCAATTTCATTTGCTAACTGATTGGTCCGGCCTGCCAGTTTTGACATATGGAAAGCACCCTAAGTTAGCACTGGTGAGGTAAAAAAATGACCAAGCAATGAATGAATAGTTTTCAAAATTTGGGGAAACAATGGCTATACTGGCTAGTTAAGGTCATGGAAAACTGGAAAAGTTATGGAACGTCATATGAGCATGAAACCTGATGTATTACTTTTGTACCTGACAGTTAAGTTTCACAGTTGATGAACTGAGGCTAATTACAAAAATAAAGTGGTCCTTTATTGAAAGGACTATTATATAGTACTATTTATAGTACAAGTACACATGAGAGCACTTCTAGAAGTGGAAGGGGAAATAATCCAACATTTGATGTTAAAGATCTTTTGGTGCTATATTTGTAGCAGCAAGTCTACCACTGTTTAGAACTGGTTGACCAAGAAAAGATTTTTTAGGCCAAGTGAAAAAAATAAATGTTTTTCATCCAGATTTCTATAAAAAAGAGAGTGGGCAACTATAATATATATTTGTAATACATGATATTTTCAACTTTTCTATAATTGCCTTTCAGTTAAATACTTTCTTTGCAAATTATTACCCTCCCACAGTGATAAATTGGAGTTCTTTGGTCAAAACAAATATTAATAAATAAAATGTCCGATATTGATTAAACACAAATTTGGTTTATTCTAATGCATGTTCTTAACAACATGATGCATCATATTATGCATCTCAATAGTTAGGGTGCATTAAAAACCACAATTTATGACTCAGTATTTACAGAAGTTTAGTGAAAAATAGTTTTTAATGAAAAGTAATGCCTGTTACTGGGAAGTAAAATAAGTTTATTGAAAGTAACACCGGTTTGTGTTCGTTTGTTCCAACTGCTCTTAAGGACAGGCTGCCCCAAAAACTGAAGTGGGTAGGGAAGAGAAACATTTTTTTCTTGGTCTTACCTTCTACTTTCAAGATGGATGAAAAAGAGTTACTGCTTTAACTAAGTGTCAGGTGCTTGCAATATTACAGTGTAGGTAAAATTTCAGCCAAAGTGTGAGCTGTGATTGAGTACTGTGAGGACAACTGTTTTGCTCTTAATGTGTACCTTGATGATGGTGCAAGTTAAGATAGCTTAGCGAATAACCCTTTTCAATATGGCAGATTAAACTGTGATAAAACTATCAACAAAACCTTTATAACTTCCAAGACATCATTTTCAACATCATTACAAACAAATTTTTTGTGGTTCGCATGTTTTACTCATGTTACTCAAGATTGGGAAGATTTTTTTAGATGGTGAGCAATCGCATGTGCAATTTTTTTCTTTCACTTGTCAGCTACACAGTTTTGTGCATCCGCAGTGTACTGCTGTGCTTAAAGAATGCAGTGTCCGCCGGATAGCCCAAGGCTAATGGATTTTGCTATTGGGCTTGGGAATTATGTTGTTAACTTGCCCGATGGGCAAGTGCCATTTTTTTTAGAGCAATTCAAATTATTGAAAAATTGTAATCAATTCTGCTCATCAACATTCTAGGTGAAATGATTTTTGGGCTAATACATATCAGCAACAGCTTGCCCAAATGGCAAGTTATAAAACTGACGTTTTTTGCACCGTGACAGTACATCATTTTGCATATTGTCTCATGACCCTTGTGTCTCCATTTGTACCTAACCACTTGGGCTAGCCAAATGGCAAAGGTTTTAAGCAAAATGTGTATTTTTTTATTCTTGCGGAAACTTTGCACTACAGTAAACACCCGCATATAAGAACACACAATTTCGGAGGTCAGGCTGATTGAGTTATTATTTATCGGGTGCTTAATGACAAATTAGCCTCAAAATGTTCTTAAAATGTTCTTAAATTTTTATTTAGTAATACTATCCAAGGCATGTTGCGAGAGGTTTATTTAGCATATTTTAGGAAAATAAAATAAATAATTATTCTGTAAATATTTGATTATATTAACAAATGAAGTTATCTGACAGCAAACATAAACTTACATGTTTTAATTTTATGACTCTTTTTCCATTTTATAAGAACATGTTACAATTTTCAGGCTGATCTTGTTCTTATAAAAATGGGGCTTTCTTGGCCAAATTTCAGCCTGGTGTTCTTCATCCATTTGTTCTTATATGCGGGTGTTTACTGTATCTTGATGTCATGTGTTTTATAGAAAAACATGTCTGCCAAACAACTTTTTGTTCTCCCATGAAGTTTTATGGCACATTTGTGGTTCTTTGTGCAGTACAGAACATTATTTTCAGTGGTTAAATTGGCATGCTCACAGCTGCAAACACAGTGTACTTTAACTGTTGGAAAGTGTGAATGTTTCTTACCCTGATCGGTTGGTTTGTTTTGCTCTACAGGTAAAGTTGGCTGATAGAGCGCTTCTTCCTGGTGATGTTGTCAAGTTTTCTGATGTCAACCGAGGCACACAGAAAGGATTTGTGAGTAATGTTGAAGTTGCTGCTAGTGTCAAAGTCCTAGTGGCAAACCAGATATTTCACAATTTGGATTGCAAAGAACTCTCCCCTTTACAGGTAACAAAACTTGAAAACAGTAATGACATTCTTGTCTATATAACAATAAGATAAACCCAGGATTAACCATTCTACACTTAAACTTGTGATAAAAATTTCCATTAGCATATAGCAGTTTTGAAGCTTTGTCTAAAATATTTTCTGGTGGGAATTTGTTTAATTGTTTTACACCGTAGAGAGGCATCTTTAAAATGATTTTATTTTCAAGTGCTAACTTTTAAAAGGTTTAGGCAAATTTCTGGAAGGCATGAATGACAAGTTTTGAATTTTTCCCATGGTTTGTAAATTTTATTAGAGTCTGGAACTGTCATGTTGGCATTGACACAAAAAATGTTTGGTATTCCAGGTTCCATGCTTGTCTTAGAGGTGTCAATTTGTTACAACAGAGTTTTAAAGGAACTACTGCTCAGAAAAAAATAATTCTTCCCTAAACTCATCTCATAAAACTACTGATGAGACTGTGACTGGTCACCATTGGAACCAAAGATTGAGTGCTGGCTGCCAGATTTTCAGAGTCCTTTACTCCTTGTGGCTTTTTAATTTATATAAAAAATTGTCTCAAGTGACCTTTAAAGTGCCATGGTTACAGGCACCTTATTGTTTTATATGCCCCCGCATTTGCATAATAGAGGTACTGTGTATGTACCCTGGCTCCAAAGGTCTTTTCTTGAAATGTGTGGGATAACATAAACCCTGCTCACAGTTTGATAAAGCTCCCAAGACAGAATAAGGTAATAAGGTAAGGAAAAAGCCCTCTGGCACCCACATGGCCATGGTACTTGATTGACCTGCATGCATCCAAACCTCTTATTCCATTGGTCCCTACAACCTGCACTACCTATTGTTTTAGATAAGGACATTGTTATGTTACCATCCCTATTGTTGTCCAAGCTTAGCACAAACCTTGTTTGGAATAGATGCTGGTCAGCCCATAGTACTATGTGTGTAAATAATAACAGAAAAATATGGAGATTTTTACAGAAAAGAAACAACCCAAATTATGACCTGGCAAGCAAAAAGTTTGCTTTAAAAAGTTTATGTGAATTTCAAACCCTGCCTTTGGGTATTTTTATGCCACTCTCTATGTGTTTTGCAGCATTTTATAATTGGAGCTCATGTTAGCTTGGGTCCATGGCTTGGAACAGTCACTGAGGTGTACAGACGAGTTGTAATTATGCTAAAGAATGGCTCAAGGTATAGTAATTTGATCACGCAGACATGGGTTTTAAACCAATGATAATATTGAACCACAACATACAGTGTATACACTCATGTATCTTATTTTTTTTAAAAAAAGTTGGTGTGACATATCTTTATATATTTACAGTGCAACAGGGAAAACCGTGAACACTTGAAATAAAATTATCTCAGGAATGTTTATTGCGTTATGCCCAGTCACAGCAAAGATCAGGACATGCAAACAAGCTACAAAACCACAAACTAATTAGCATTCTTGCTTGGGGTTCAGTTTTCTCACTCCTGGTTTGCTTTTTTTTTTTGCAAAACAATAACATTCCAGAAATATTTCTGGAGTTTACGGTTTTCTTGGTTTGCTGTCACTATGTTGTTTGTACTCTATAACCATTAATTAGTGTAGATGTAAATATTAAGTGATTCATTTATTTCTGTTTAATTTTAATAATATTTTCACAAATTACTTTTCAGGTGTGCTATAGAAGGGCCTGCAGGAGAACAGTCGTCAATGCTGTTTGATATGAGTGATCAGCGAGATGAGGTAATCTACTTCCTGAAAAGAAAAGCTACCGTATAGACTTGCTCTGAGCAGCTGTTTTGAGGAAAGTTCAGGCTAACTAAAAAAGTTTAACTGTCATCTCTTGCTCTGTTTTGTTGCAGAGCAAACGTTTTGTCATGTGCCTGTTTCTTGTTGACTTGATTTTGTCTTCTAGTTGGGTTTACTATTTGGGGGGAACAAGGGTGGTGAGAGCTCTCGCCTCTCACTAATTTGGGCCAGGTACACATACCAGCATTGATGCCATATGTGAGCCGAGTTTGTTGATTCTCTACCTTGCTCCAAGAGGGTTTTCTCCGGATACTCCGGATGCTTCAGTTTTTCCCTCTCCTCAAAAACCAACACTTCTAAATTCCAATTTGATCATCAACACATGGACATGTTTAAAACGAGTTCTTAAGAGCTCCTAAGTGCTTCTTGGTTAAACAAATTACAATTTATTGGTTTTGTTTTATAATGATATTCCAACCAAAATTCAACATCTCCTCTCTGAATGTTTTGTTTTAATTTTGTATCGTAGGATTGTCCTTTCTATTCTCCACTGTTTTACCCTGGCCAGAGATTAACAGGTTCTGCCAGAGCATTCAAAGAAGCCAAATGGTTATCAGGTGTAAAACCCATCTTAAACAACCAGTCACACATTAAAGGAACTGTAGAGGAGGTAAGTACCTACCGTGTTGCATGAAAGTTTTGCGGGTTCTAATTTTTGCGATTTTTCCAGCGATCCGCAAAAATAAGTTCCCGCAAACAAAATTTACTGCAAACATTTTTCCCACAAAAATTTGCTCCAGGGGAAATATTCTCTAACTTAAATTCACTACACAACAATACAGAAGTAAAAAATCATGTCTGTCCAATTACAACTTGCCTCAAAACAGTGTACATGAATTACTGGTTTTACATAGGGTACGCGTACTGTGGTACTGTTTGAAAATATGTATTTCTATTGCACGTACTTAACAAAAACTAAAATATTATCAATGCTGGGTACTGGGTGCCTCCTGAAAATTGCAAGAATCAGTTCCCAGCAAGAAAAACCAATCTGTCCTAATCGCAAAAATCACTTCCCGCAAAACACAAAAAATGGCCAATTCGCAATAATAAACTCCCGCAAAATTTTGTGCCACATGGTAGTACAAAAGTAAAATCCGTCATGTAATACTGCAGCTTGAATAAATGTTCCCTTCAAAACCACTATTCAATTGCATCCAAAATTCTTGTCCAGTACACCCATCATTGTCCCACATTCGTCTCTTTTTTCCATTTTTTCTTTCTTTCTCTCAGTGGCTTGTCATATTTAAAGTGTTTGATTATTTTATCAGGTCAGTGTAATAGCATGTGAAGTAGATTGGCAAGTCTGTGGTGCTTGGCAACAAGGTTGCAATGGAGATGAATGTCTCAAACCACCAGATCTCACTGTGACTCAGGAACAGCTTCCTAGGTAAATTGGCTTGTTTACTACATGTATACTCCTTTAGTTTATCGGTTACAGTGAGTTTGTCAGCTAATCAGAATGTGGGAAGAGACCAATTTTGATACATTTAAATTCATACTTAACTTGGTTCTGAGGCTTGGGGGAATAAAACAGAAGAAATGTATTATTCATTGCTGAGCCTCAAGATGATTTCTTTTGTTTTATTCCCCTTAAGCCTCAGAGCCAAGTATGAATAACTGGTCTGTTGTAGAATTTTACTGAGCCATGAGTTATCTTGATTTAGCAGTGTAATTTACAAGGGCTTGGAAAGAAGACTTTTTAAATTGAATTTGGCACAAAATATCCTACTTTACTCATATGTAATAAAGACAATGTGTTCCTTTGTCTACTAACAGATTGTTAGTTGTGAACCATTTCCGACATGCAAACCTTCAAGTTGGAGACAAAGCATTCTATACAGTGAAGGCACTTGATCTCAGATATATTTCTAATGGTGAGAGCTTATTAAAGGAACAGACTGATGATAATGATAATCCTGAACATGCCTACACCAGCCCAACATCTGACAGTCAGGTAGAAGGGTGTGGCATACATGAAGTACAGCCTGTGAAAACTTGTCAAGGAAAAACGCTGACTGATAGAGGAGATTTTGAAGGCAGCTGTTTAAGATCTGAAGAAAGTGCAGACAGCCTTGTGCCTGAAAGTGATTCAAAAACCAGTAGTGGGTCGACATCAACAAGCTCTCTCTGTGAGGCAAATCCAACGGTAAATACGACCTCTGAACTGGCACCTACAGACAAAAGACAATCAATGGCAAATGTGACTGAAACCGGTGATGGGATAAATCAGATTGACATAAATGATGGCCATCATACTCCTGGCTCAGATTCTGCTGATGCAGACGAAGATTCAGATGGAGGCGAAACTGTAACGCCAAAGGCAAAGGCCTCTGGATCATTTAAACATGAATCTGGTTCATCTCATGTTGTGCGTTACCCCACTAAACGAAGGAAGAAACGATTAAGAAGGAAGCGAAAAGCGGCGCCTCCCCTGAAGGTCAATATTGGGGACAGGGTGTGCGTAGAGGTGACAAATACTTGTACCACAGTTGATGTTATATGGCAAGATGGTTCTAAACAGGATAAGATCTTATCCACGGATGTGACTCCAGTGTTTCACTTGGATGAGCTGGAGTTTTTTCCGGGGGATTTTATTTCTGATAAAAGAGGTGAGTTATACGCTTATACAGTTACAGTGCTTCAATAGACTAAGGACTTCAATGTCTCTTCCACGAATCTAACCAGGCTTAGTTTGTACTTCGAAAATCCCTCTTATTTCAAAAAATTGCTGTTGTCGTAATTAGTGAAAAACTCCTAGACATGAATACAGAAATAGCATCAAACCAAAGTACCATACATAGATTGTAGCAGCCGTTATTTTACCTCTTACAATTTGAATTTCATCCGTACACTTGAAGGTTAAGGAAAACTATTTGAACAGTAGTATGAGGTTAGATTCTTAAACTCATCAAAAATTCAAAGCCAAAGAAAATCATGTACCGTGACGTGCTTGGATATCTGATGAAAAACTCCTTGCTTTGTCGTCACCATTTACTTCAGTTTTTTTATCAAGGTATCGAACACCTCGAAGTTCGTCAAAAAATTAATATTTTCAGCCTTTTTTCCGTGTTTGAATTGTGAGGAATTACCGTTTCTTTTGTGTAAAATGCTTTAGTACATGGTGTTTTACTCCGGTTTATCTGAGCAAAATATTTCAGTGTCCCTTCAAATTAGGTGTACAGGACAACTTACTTGCTGTAAAAATGTACTCCAAACAGAAAATGCCGACCCATCTATCTATGGGGTGGTTCTTACCGCTGATCACAAGTCGCGCATGTGTCATGTCAAGTGGTTTTCGCGAGAAGGCCAGGAGCTGCGTGATGAACGTGACGTGAGCGTGTATGACATAACGGAACACACGGACTTTGTGTTTAGTGCTGGTGATGTAGTGGTTCGTGTAGCAAAAGGTGACAGTGACGGTACAGCTGCTGAAGGCGGAGATAAGCCTATTCCCTGTGTAGGGCAGGTTGGTTGTGCTTTTGAACTAAATCGACTTATTTTCCTTAGGCAAATGACTGTACCTTACTATTTTGGGTAGAGGCAGGAGCGGTTATGGGCTCCTGGTAGTGGTTAGTTTACTTGGGTAAAAATTGTAGCAATTAGGGGCAACATATAAACAAAGGTGATGGATCTTGGTTGATTTAATCAAGAGGCCATTTGCATGATGGCGTCATTTTACTACTACGACCAGAATCCTCTTCTGTTTTCCTTTCATATTCTAATTTGGTATTCCCAGTGAGGTTTCGAAAGCAAAAACCCTAATTTGCACAAGAAAGCAAAATCCTAAAAGATTCTGGTCGTGGTAGTAAAATGACGTCATCGTGCAAATGGTCTATTGATTAATTTTAGTTTGTTTGGGAGGGGAGATTAACCTAGGCTCGATTACCAGCCGCTGTTCGGGAAAATGAGCCCGCACTCATCCCCCGATCAAAGACCGGACCCGGGAGACGGCGGAAATCGAGCCTAAGATTAACCTTCAACCACAACATTATGGAGCTCGAGCAAAGGAGGGTTTGAGCGGAGTACGTCAACTAGTAGTGAGGCGCCTCCCACACTATAGGTTTTGTATGTATGCCTTTACTTTCACAGCAACGATTTGCCTTCTCAAAAAGGGGCAAAAACACTGCCCATGAATGCAAAAAGTCCCCTTTTGGTTGACGTGAGTTGATCAAAAATGTCCTTTCTCAAGCTCCCTATTTACTCACGTTTAATACCCACGGCTCGCGACATAATGCCATACTCTTGGAATTTTTTTAAGTGTGAAAGAGATATAACCTTACCGCCGCAGTCATGCGCGCTAAGGCAAAGCATCAATGCGTATGCTTGTTGTTCTTGGCATTTCCTCGTCATTTAAGATTAAGTCACTGTAGTGCTGTATAGAATGCATGTGATCAAATAGACAGAAAGGATACAGTGCGTATGAGAGTTTATAGTGGTCCTTTCTGTCTTTTACACTAGTTTTTTGTTATTTCAGGTTACCCTTGTAGATGAAGAAGGCTCTGTCTTCATAAAATGGGTGGACAAGACTCTTTCCAAAGTTAAACCTCAAGAACTGTATAAAATTGATGCGGAGGTGAGGCGTCGGTTAACTGTTGATTTTTCAAATTAGACTGTTGAGTTATGTCACTGACTGCCGAAACGTCACCTTTCTCAGACATTCTCCAGGCTTGAAAATTCACCATCGTATTTTACATAACTGATCGCGTAATATTTTCGACTCTTTATTCAAAACCGTTCTATTGCCGGCAGGATGATGGTCATCTATCAACGGACGGTTCCACAGTTGAATCAGAAGATGAATGGGAGACAGCCAGTGGAGAAAGTGAGGATGATGAAGATCTAGCAGTTGATATTATGGATCTTGCTGCTGCGGCAGCAGGAGAGGGTGGCGACATTACAGCTGATCAGGCAGGGCACACCACTGATGAAGGAGCAGAGAATGTTGATAGAGAAGCTCTACATGAGGCCAGAAACAGGATGAATGAAATTCTATCCAATTCTAATCCACGTAAGCTGTTTAAATGTGATTACTACACAGTAACCTTGTTTTATCTCTCAGGTGTCTAGCCTGAGAAAACAGCAGACATGTCGCGTCTCCACCAATCTCGAGGACAGGCTTCCCTGCGTCTGAGGAATTACTGCAGAAATTTTATACCGATGACGTGTCACTGCCCAGATCCGAGTGGTGCTTCTGAGTGGTCGTGCCGTGTGGGAAATTTCGTTCAGCCAATCAGGAGCACTACCCAGGTCTTAGTAGTGATGCGTCATCAGCGTGGAATTTCTGCATTTGTTCCTGACACGTCCTTTTCGCGGGGAAACCCTGGCAGTGGTGGCGTCTCGAAAGGCTGGCTGTTTTCATAGGGTATCAGGGGTCAGTTTAATAATACTTTTACAAGTATAATTTAAAAGTGTAGTTTTTGTTTTTTGACTCTAAAACAGTTGCTACATTTGTAAACGTTTCAATTAATTGTCCCCAGGTGACCAGTGCAGCCAACTGTGTGTGTTTTAGATGTTTAAAAACCACCCACACACATGCTTATTTTACCCTTTAATTTTACAATCATCAGATTTGCTCAAGTTTTCATTGTTGTTCTTTTAAACATCTTAATTGTTTTTGGCATTGTTGTTCTTTTTGAAACATCTTAATTGTTTTTGAAGCATATCTCCCGCCTGTAAACATTTTTGGTATGAACCTCTTTTAGGTTCTTTCAATGATATCAGAATTATCGATGAAATTTATTTATTTTTCTTTATTTATTTTATTTATTTTCAGCTTTTATTTATTTTTCAGCTTTCATGACGTTTGACTCCGTTCCGGAAAGTCACACTTACAAGTATTCCACGTTCCAGGCTCAGAACCCAGGCCGCTTTCTGTCTTGTATGAGAAAAGAAATGGCACTCTTGACTTTCTCACTGCCAGCGGGAATAATTGTCAGGGGATATGAAGATCGAGTGGTAATTCTTTGCTTGTTTTCCAATTTTTTTTTCTTTATCTCAGTCAGAACAGCGCCATATTTTTCGCACTTGGAGCTGCAGAGATGGAGACCAAGGTTGTGTGAAACGCGAGAGCGGTTTTCAATCATTGAAATCCCGAAACACAAATGTCGATTTGTTTGGTTCAACACATGCAAAGCCACTGATTGGCCAAAAAGTATCGTGTCACTTTCTCAGCCAATCAGAACACCAACCCAAAATCAATACATGTTAGGTTGTTGCGCGCGTTTCACGCGCTTGGCTCTGTATTCTGTACTTTAGATAATACCATAATAATCTTTTTGGGGGGTGGAGGGGGACAAAAAGATAATTATGGTATTTTCTAAAGTGGCGAATCCAAGATGTAGCCTCGAGATTCGACTGGTTCATTCGCTTGTCTGCGTGAGTTGAACTTACTTTCTGCTCTGTTCTCTTGAGGTTAATTAAAATCAAGTTAAAATCAAGATCAACGTTCATAGCAGGCGTTATTTTGCCGAGCGCGAAAGGAAAACACGGTCAACTAAACAACGCCTGTTTGCAGGCCAAGTTGATATTTTCGTTTCAACTCTATCAAATCTGACCACTTCAGAACAATGCGTTCTTGTAAGCTTCCCTGTTTATTTGAGAGTCAGAGTTCAATCTTAACTTTTCTTAGCCATCAGATTATGTGATGTTTAGACCAGATCATAGGGCGCGAAAATACGGAAATCAGCGCACCCTCGTCAAATATTGATTTTTTTGTTTATTTTGTTAGGACATATTACGAGTGATGATCACAGGGCCTGTGGATACTCCGTACGAACATGGGCTGTTTGTATTTGACGTTAGACTGCCGTCAGATTATCCAGCCTCCCCTCCCTTGTTCCATTATTTGTCCCAATGTTCGGGTCGTTTGAACCCAAACCTTTACGAGGACGGCAAGGTCTGCGTCAGCCTCTTGGGGACCTGGGCCGGGCGCGGAAGCGAGGTGTGGACATCAAAGTCGAACGTACTGCAAGTTTTGGTTTCAATACAGGGTAATTTTTGTAGTTAACAAATACACAGAATTTTTACTGTAGCGCTTTTCATGGACAAAATATTTTTCCGTGTGACCTTTGCTTTATACTAGTAAAAAAGTACTCCTTAAAAAGCGCTGGCAACAGTTCCGCCCAGTGAACAACACTAGCTTCCGTCTGCCCTTCATTTTTAGGTGTGATCCTCAACACCATCTTGGTCAGCATTAGATTGCATCGGCCTAAACCCCTTAGTTCCCTTATGAAGTTTACACAACGTAGTATTCTTTACTGCTTCCACACTACTTAGATGAAATTTGTAGATCAGCCTTAGATCCCATTGGCCTATCATCTTGAGTATGAGGGGTGAAGGGAGAGCTACTCCCGGAATTTTCGCCACTTTGCCCTGGAACACTTGGCCGGCCTATACAACTGTTATTTTGCTCGTACCAAATTCTAGACTAGACACCAAACACCCCTTCCCTTTCAAAGGACTAGTTGTGATGGATAAACTCCAATTCTACGTTCGCTAATTAAATTTATCCTTTAAAAACGATAAACTTGTCTAAGGTCCTGAAATTGCATATATTTGTACCCTGAAAACCTCCTGGAATTTCATTTTTCATTTGGACGACTTCTTTTTAAAACAGTCATCATTTTGAACTCTATTTTTCGGAATTTATCGCAAGGTTCGAATTCCTGGACGTGTTTGACAAAACCTTCAATGTTGTTGTCAGCGTAGGTCTGGTTCGTTCCTACCTTTACTGTTTATCAAAGTAGGATAATAAGCGCACAAATTTCGAAGAATTATCGTACGTTAAGTTTTACTCATTGCTCCTGTTTAAGTTTGGTAAGCAGAGGAAATTGTCAATTGCTTTGTAGGGTCTTAAGAGTTAATATTTCATTTATTTAGGATTAATACTGTGTAGCGAGCCTTATTACAACGAGGCTGGCTATGAAAAGCAAAGAGGCACGGTGGAGGGACGAGAAAACAGCCGCCTGTACAATGAAATGGTTTTACTAAAACTGGTTCAATCCATGGAAAGACTCGTAAGAAATCCTCCTGCTGGTCTGGAGAACGAAATACTAAAACATTTTGCACATCACGGGGCCAGGTAAGACTTGATGAAACTTTTTTGAAGTGTCAGATTAAAAGGCATCTCAATCTTACTTCCTCATTAACAATTAAGCTGAAAATCAAATTTTCAAAAATAGCTATTGTTAAACAGGTTAACTTGATGTAGGTACGTGGACCAGAGTAGTGGCCCTAAATATCATAGAGAGTGGCTTCCATAACTTATAAAGTAGATTTATGAACTATCAGCTCATTTACCTCTCAGTTATAATTTACCTTACTGAGCAAAAAAAGGCCTCGAACATATTCCATACAAAGATGGTTCTTGAAGTTTTCGTAAGGTAAATGTCGTGTCCTTCTATCTTCAGATTTGTTGTTTAGGTAAGCTAAATCGTCGTTGTTTGTTGTTAACTTGGCAGAATGATACGAAAATTCAAGCGTTGGATTGCTTTGTTCCACGAACAAGCAACAGCTGTGCCAGGCTGTGATGGCGAAAAAGCCACTAACGATGAGATGAAGGTTAATGAGCTGGAGGAAAAAGGACCGAGAAGTGAGAATGAAAACGCTTACATGAATGACACTAGTAATGTTGATACGATACAAGCTAAAGTTGCATCAGGCTGCATCAGGGAAGAGCGTATTCAAGCACATGCGATGTCTGGGGAACTGTTAACGAACGACAAAGTACATCACACTGAACCTTGCAGCAATGGTGTCAGCAAAGATAATTACGACCAATCAGCTGTCTTGCCTGAAGGAAAACCTTCAAATGTCAAACCGCAAGGCGAATGTCAAGGAGCCGTGACATCAGAGAAGAATGTTCCAGATTATCCCTTGTTCCCACTCTCCCGGGGTTTTTGCTTGAGTCTCGTGAGAGCGTTGGACAGTTTTGAAGCCGCCTTGGAAAAGGCTCAACTACCAGACTGCTCTGAGTAGATTTCAACGTCGTACGATTGGGTCTTGTGTCGCTTTATACGTCATAAAATCTATTACACGAGTAAGGTGGAAATATTTTATATGTATTTATTTATTTTTCAGGTTATCTGAATATAAAGAGATTGAATTCATTGTAAAATGCTGTTATCCGCCTAGTTTGGTCTTTTTTTTTGTTTTTTCCTGGAATGTATATTGAAAGGGTACAGTTTGCTTTTGTTGCATGGCGCTGCAAGTAGCGTAGTAAGTGTCTGTGAATATGAATACTTCACCTTGCTTTCCTTACTCCTTCGCATGAGCCTCTTCCTGTTTACACCTGCAAGGCTTTACTTGTTTACTTTTTTCCTTTAGGTTAATTTTGCATCGAGATCTTTCCTTGAATCAGTCGTAGACGTTGTCGTCCCTAGGCCTTATTATCCTGCCCGGCTTATATTTGATTTCAGATCACGTGGTCCGAGTGAATTCTCTAATGCGTCACCGAAAATCCATTAACCTTACAGTAAACATAAACGCTCTTAGTAGCGTTGAGTCTCGCTTGCTTGGAGATAAGTTTTGTTGTCAAAGGCGCCGGCGCTGTTATACTACTTTTTCGTTTGGAATACAAATCGAGTGTTATATGTCATAATGTAAATACTCAAAACACAAAAATTGCAAGGAGAGACAGGTCGCACATCTTAGCTTCACACCGGTGTGAAACCTTTGAAAACCTTTACATACTGATATTGCTCCAATGAGGAGAACTCTTCAGTTCAGGGATTTTACACTCCAAAAATTGAACGATGATTTTTATCAGTATTAGGAGATCATGACTCCGTGTCAGTATAAATAAATAAAGCTTCTTTGTATGTGTTCAGCACAGGAAAAATGTGTAAGTTTAGCTGAACCTTATACAGTCCGTTTTATAAGATATCACAGTCACGCGAAAGTGATTACATTCTCCATAGCTGCTTAGTATCTCTACAGTCTCCGAGTACGATGTTTAGAGCTGTGCACAGCATGCATTTTATCCCAGTATCACTGGGAGAAAGCGTTTCATTTTCCATGAAAATTTCACCTTCTCATCAAAACAATCACTGACTGAGTCAGACTGGGAGTAGTTTACTTAAATTTACTGTTCAGTACAGCGAACGGGGTTATGTTCTGTGAAATTTATGTACCATCTGCGGCCCACATCACCACGATCCACGATTTATTTATTTATTTTATTTTCAAGTTTTTTTTTTTTTTAACCGATCCTCAATCCCCGATTCTCCATCACCAATCCTCGATCCTCGATCCTCGATCCTGATTTTCCAGTAAACCGAGAACTTTTGCTCATGAAGACTATTGTTTTTTTCGACCCCTGAAGTAATTACTTGTTCCAAAGCAGGGGGGCCCCCCCCCCCCCCGCTGTTCCAAAGTAATCAACGCTTTCAAGCGATAGGATTTGTAGACCGACCCGTTCCGGAAAGGGTCGATATGGGATTTCTACTCTATGGACATGACGAGCTGCAGGTAGAGTGCGTGAAAGTCAAGTACAAGGCTACCCGTATGAACACATCCGTGATACATACGTATTTAACGCACTTAAATTTTAATCCCGTAAATAAATAAAAGTAGACCCGGAGGCAAGATATTAAGTGTTGAGATTAAACATGAAGTTGAGCGAGTTTCTACTTTTACGCTTACGTGCGACCTTTCATACATTGCCTCAAATTTATTTGCAAACGTAAATTTTAAAGTGCAACACGACTTCACATCTTAACAACTGCAAAAATCTATCAGTTAAATACGTACAACAAAGTGAATCTATTTCACCGTAGAGTTCCAGTCTTTGCGACACTATCCTGAGAAACGTAACGCCTTAACACACCACAAAACAGGATTTCCCCACTATACTATTTTCTCATCCTACTTGGGGATATTTACCTTTTAATACGCGTGCATGTCGTGCATAATTACACGATAATCAAAGGCCTCGATTCGGGGAAAATTACATCATTGCCAAACTTACATGCTTCATTTCAGTCATCGCCGAAAATATACCGCATGCTCATCACGAGGACTGAAATGAAAGTCGTCACGATTCTTATCCCCAGTTTCCACGGTCTCCGCTAGGAACGAGTGGCCTACAAACTAGGTCCCACTGACAAAAAAAAAAAAAAAGAAATGCCTGCAGTTTTAGAGTCTCGCTCTGCTAAAGCAAGCTCGACTAAAAATAACTGAAACAAGTCCACAGGAGACTCAATAGAGATGCTATGTTCCACCACTCAAGTTGATAAGTTGATCACTGCCAACCTTTGCCCATGTTGATGATATATTCAGTATAGAAGGCAGAAACTTGTTTCCGTGTACTTTATTCGATATGGCAGTTGTTGCATAAACAGCTTTAAACGATTTTCTTGGAATGAGTTGCTTTCACCGATTTACTTCTCGGAAATTCTCCGCGGAAAATTCATGTACAAAAAAACAAGGACGGAAAAACGTTTCCGAGAAACTTGCTTTGAGTTTCCTGGAACTTGCAATCCACGGGATGCAGTTTTAATATTAATATGTCTCAGATGTAAATAAAATGTAAATTTCATTTACAAAGATCTCTGCTTGATTACAGTTTAGTGTTGTTCTCTATCGTCACATTGATAAAATGCATTTCCACAAATGATATGGAAATGAAATAAACAGAACAACGGCATGACTAAACATTTTTTATTAGCTTTGAGATTAGGCATTATTGGCTACCTGCGGTTATCAAACAAAAATAGAGGACAGATAATGCATAATATTAAACACGGTCGTCAATATACATCATTGTTTTAAATAGCACCTGTCCAACAAGTCCATTCACGTGACGTGAAGATTAGAAAAGTTCCGATCGTGATTGGCTGGCCACTGAGCGTTTTCCTAGAAAACGATAACTTGTTCTGGCCTAGAAAGTGTCAAGGCTGAAGAGCGTACACCACAGCAGCACTGACGACTTATCAGTACGAGGAAAATATTTTTTTGTCACGATTTTATCCTGGTAGTCAATTTACCGTTACAAGAGTTAAAACGAATATTTCGCCGACCCGAAATTTGTGGGAATTGACGGTAGCTATGGCAAGTTCATCTTCATTTTCATTGTCGTCGTGCGACTCTGGCTCGGGATCTGTATACGACACCTCGGAAGGAAAGACGGACGGCACTAGATTGGTACGATTACAGGATCGCAAATCTGAGGAGTCTATTGACCATGAAACCGGCAAAAAGGTGGAGGACGACGACCAGCAGTGGCGAAAATCCCAAGAGCTGGAGGAACTTAAGCCAATTTCTCAACTTGACTGCAATTTTCCGGATATTCCACCACAAGAGCCCATATTTGGTCGTTCAAAAGAGGTGCAGAAGGTGGTAGATTACATCGAACGCGGAACAATTTCTGTAGTGCTGATAACCGGGGGTCCAGGATTTGGTAAAACCACTTTGGCCATAGCAGTTGCTCATGAGCTTGCAAAATCCGAGAATGTGAGGAAAGTATTGTTCTGCCGTTTACTTTCAAAGAAAACTTCCAACGAAGCTGCCATTGAGATGATTCATGTATGTGGAAAGAGCTATGCGCAGCCTCCCGAATATCCAGACCAGTGGCTTACGGACTGGAGCAGACAGATCCAAATGCAAGTCACTTTTGTTCTTGATAATGCAGATGATATCCTGGAATCAGAACAAAGATCTCCCTTCTTAGCCATCTTGAGGAAGATGACACAATTATCGGAGAAAAAGTTAACTTTTGTTATCACTTCTAGAAGACTATTCAAACTTCGAGATCTTCCGTCGGAGGTCGTCGTGTTATCCTCGTTACCACCCGAACAGGCGAAGAAAGTCCTAATTTCTCGCGTGAGGGATGAAGAAATTGGCAAAAATCTTTCCAGAACAGAGGAAATAGTAAAGCTGTGTGGCTATGTTCCTTTGGCTCTTTGTATTGTCGGTTCACTTCTTTCAGACTACCCCGAGGAGATGCTTGTTAATGACCTTGAGACGGAACCTATGAAGCTGCTGGATGATGGAAATGAGTCAGTTGAAAGTGTCATCAAAACGTCTTTTGATCTTTTATCTAAAGATAAACAAGATGCCTTGGTTCTGATGTCAATCTTCCCGGGATCATTTGATAGCGATGCTGCTGTGGCTGTGATACCAAAAGCTTGCTCAGAATTTGAGAACCCGCCAGTGTCCGTCCTGCTTTCCTTAAAGAGACGCTCTCTTGTTGAACAACCAAGTCCCCGAAGATATCAGCTGCATCCTCTAATTCGCGCCTTTGGAAAGAAGATTGGCGAAGCCAATGATCCACAGGTTTTGGTCGGGGCAGAGAAACGGGCCTGTGCTCACTTCTTTTGTCTCCTTGCTCAGAACGCAAAGATATTCTGGAGCAAGGACCAATGCAAAAAAGCTATCGACTTGTTCAGTGAGGACAGACACAACTTTGAGCACTTCCTCCAAGTGTACGCCAAAGCAGCGGAAATCCGCGATGAAGAGACCCTTGACAACTGCAAAGAGTTCCAACACAATTTTCTCCAGAATTGCATGTATTTGGAGAAGTGTGTTTCACCGTCATTCTATACTGACTTTTTGGAAGCGTTATTGTCGTATACTGAGCCAAAAAATCAACCAGTGCGTGCTGCAGAACTCTTATGTCTTCGAGGACATGAGAAAAGAAAAGTTGGAGACAAGGAAAATGACTACCAGGTGGACATGCAAGACGCATATAATCTGTACTCTGAGAACAGTGGTAAATTCGAGACAAACACAATGTCGGCAGTCTTCTTGCTTAATAGTTATGTAGACTCTATTTCCAAAAGAGGAGACCCTGCTAACAATACAAGAGTGGAAGAGATCAATGGAAATGCTCTGGAGCTCAGCGAATCTGTGGACAAGGGTCACCCAGAAAGGGCAGAAGCTCTTTTACTTGCTGGTCGATTTGCAAAGCGAAGACGTGAGTGGCCTGAGGCAGAAAATAAGTTACAAGAGGCACTAGAGCTATTTCAGGAGTTCCTCGGTACGCATTTGAGTACAGTTCACGCCTTGAAGGAAATGGCGGACTTTTATTTCTCTGGTCTGACTGACGCCGACTTCGAAAAAGCTCTCACTCATTACGAAAAGGCGCTGGACATGATGAAACAGCTAGGAATGGAGAACAACAAAGCAAGCATCATGATAATGAAGAACTATGGAACTTGTTCTAAACAGAATGGAAACTTTCAGGAAGGAACGAAATACCTCGAACGAGCGTATTTAGTCGCCGACAGAGAGTTGCTACCTGATCACATGTGGAAAGTAATGATCAAGACTAACCTGGCCTTACTGCATGAGCAGAACGGAAAGGAAGAAGATGCCATAGCATCAATGCAAGAAGCGCTTGAGATGTGTTACAGACTTAAAAAGCCGATTAAGCACCTGGGAATTAAGCATAGCAATGACGTCATTTCCTTTGTAAAACGTCATAAAAAACATTTTCCTAAAAGCAAATTCCCGTTCTAAAGTTTACCTTGGTTATATTTACTGTCAACTCTCTGTAAAACGGACATAGCCAAAAAACGCAGCGCAATAGATTGGCAAGAACAGTATTTCCCTGGCGTAACTTAAATCATCAGGACATGACTCTTCTGGTGAAGAAAAGCTAATTTACTTAACTGACGTAGACCAAAATTTAAGGTTTCCTTTTTTTTGGACAATGAAATCAACTGGGTAAATAATTCACATAGTTTAAAATTAAATTTACCAAATCACCTTACGGCAAGTGCGTGTTCGAAAACTGCACATCCAAAAAGAGTTTCTTGACCAGACTAGGTGAAGGACTATTTATAAACCTTATACATTGGTGTCATACTAGCCTCCCACGCAGACGTTCTTAGGGGTTCGTCACGCGTTCCTGCCCCACTAACCTCTGCGCGGGAGGCTAGTGTCATACTTATCTACCAAACATTTGTTGAAATATTATAAATGAAGACGATAACTGTTAAATATCACGAGTCACAATGTTCGGTGTTTATCGTGCATTTGATCATATACACATGCGAATTTGCGCGTTATAAGTAATAACATTATTATTATTATTATTATTATTGTTATTATTATTATCTAAATAAAAACACGTTTTTTAAAAATGACAACGGTTAATGAACTTTGCAAAATTCATAAAAATCGGGTCGCAATTCACTTTTTATATTAGGCAAAAATTTATCGTTTTAAACCTACCGCTGTGATCGTCTCACTGGTTTAGCTGGACTTTGTTACTTTTTGTTAATCCCACAGAAACAAACCATTATTACGGATTAATTTTTGCATGCTTAATTGCTTACAGTACTGTATTACAGTTCGTTTTGCAGTTAAACGTTTTAGTTCAAGAAGACTACTGTATTTTTATTATTCTGTAGCCTTGTTCCAGTTCGTAGCGTGTATACTGTTACGCTCTTAGCTCACTAAGCCGTGAGGGAACGTTTGCTTGTAATAAACGTTTGATTGATCACGAGAATATGATTCCACTTTTTTTATGTTTTTCCGGTTTTAACTCTTTAGCACAAGTAACACAGATGTGTATTCATTGTGAATAGTTTTAGCTTTATTTTCTTATAATCTCTGGTGTCACGTTACCACCACTCTCTATATTAAAGCCGGGCGAACACCTCTCTAAGACGAACAGTCGGGGCCGGTCCAGGAGGTGTCCTTCTTGGAGAAAGTTGAGTGTATTTTGTTTTTTGTTGTTGTTGTTGTAAAAGAAGCTCCCGTTTTGGGGCGTCGATAAAATCCGGAACATGGAACATCTCGGAACATCCCGGAATAATAGATAATAATAAAAAGAACAATAGATAGAAAACAATTTTTGCAAAAATTTATAATAACAAAATAAAAAACATAACATAAAATCGAAAAATAAAGAAACAAAGAAAGAAAGAAAGAAAAAGAAACTGGTATCATCTCCGAGTATGAGAAAACAATATTTTGTCGCAATGAATTTTTTGGGCGAGTGAGGGTCCATTCAAATGACAGTAATGAGTGAAGGCTTGCTTCTAAATTCAAACTCATATTAAAATGGGTCGCGAGGAGGGGGGTTTCAGGCTTTCCTCACACAGCCACCTCTTGTAAATGTTTGCCATGCAGTTTAACAGTTATCAATTTACGGCTTTGCGACCGTAAGAAGAGCTTAGGGGCTCGTCGCTTTGGACTTGGATAATTAAATTAAACATTCACATTCGCCGCAGAATAGCTGCAGTGGCAGTGGTAGCGCAGCGGTAGTTTCTAACTGTTTTCAGTTAGCCTGAATTTTAGTCGTCTCCCCGCAAACTCCTCTTGCGACTCGAGGAGACGTCTGAAATATCATGCTGACTGTAAACAGTATAGAAAGTACTACGAATGTGAGTATTGTCCACTAAAATCCAAAGACGGGAGCCCCTATACTCTTCTTAAGTTTACAGAGCCGCCTAGACTGTAAGTAATTCATGTCAACCTCAAGTGAAGCAAAGCACCTTAAGTAAGCAAATGTCGGTTATATATAAGGAGACTATATGTTGGCTTGACATGAGTTACTTACCGACTTGGCTTGACATGAAATACTGCACCGACATCTCAGACCATCCCAGAACCGTAAATGGATAACCGCCAAATGATTAACTCATGGCAAACAATTACAAGAGGTGGCTGTGTGAGGAAAGCTTAAAAACCCCCTCCTCGCGACCCATTTTAATATATTTTGAATTTAGCAGCAAGCCTTTACTCATTACTGTTATTTGCATGAACCCTCACTCGCCCAACAAATTTTAATTTGTTGCGACAAAATATTGTTTTCTCATTCTCAGAGAGGATACCAGTTTCTTTTTCTTGATTATTTCATTATTTTTCGTTTATTTTATTTTACGTTCTTATTAATTTTTACAAAAATTATTTTATTATTATTTTATTATTTTTTTTACTCATGAAAATTATTTTTATGTTTTCATGTTCCGGGATGTTCCATGTTCCTGGTTTTATTGACGCCCCCGTTTTGTGTGGTTTATTCCACACGAAGCTATTTTCTGTTGCGGGATACAGCGGGCGGAGATAAGTGTTTGTCCTCTTTATTCCGTGGGATGCCTGTGGCACTCCCACGGTAAAAATCCGGTTCGGTTGTACCCAAAATTGCAAAGCCAGCCAATAGGATTGCGTAAAATCTTTATCGATTATCTCTTCTTCCAAGCCGACCAATCAGATTGTACAAAATCTGTATCGATTTCTAATCGATTTGCTTCCTCTGAACAACGTTGAAATAAGAACGTTCCTTGCCAAATTTGTCGCGCTAGAGTTTTCCCACTCGTGGTTTAGGATGGCGGCTTGTTAACCAGCGAAATCCTTCGGGATACTGGCAAGTCACGAAAGGCGACCTAAGCCAAATTATTTCTTTCCTTCATGATTCTTTTTTGTTTAGGTCTAGCTTTTTCATAAGGTTTTAGTAGCGACTGGTTGCGGGCCATCATTTCCGATAGATTTTTCTATTCGGAGTTCGCCAGTTTTTGCCGAGCACAGCTAGAGTTCAGCGTTTTTCTTTTCTTATCGAAAAGACCTTGACGATGGGAGGTTAAATCGCGTAAATTTCAACTCGCACCCTTGACGACTGGCGAAAATATTGTCCTCGTCGATCGACGACTCGCTTTCGGCATGGATTGGACTTCTGGATGGGACACGGATCACGACCTTAGCAAACTTATTATACCTTGGAATCAGGGATAATCATTGGAACTATGTTAACTTTGAGACCTTGGAAACACATTGCAATTAATTTTTAACCGTGTCAAGAGCATCTTGGAATATTAAACTTTCATCTTGGACTAAAACATTGGAACTTTATTGAACTTTGTAACCCTGGGTTCGACCCTGGATAAAGCAAGCAGATGTTTTGTTTTGTTTTGTTCCATTAACCTAAAACTACAATGTTTATTTATCTTTGAAAAAGTTACCTGTGGCAACTTACTACCAAGATATCACGTATCTTTACACATATAGTTCCTGTTCAGGTTAATCAGAGAGCATTATGCGCATGTTCTCCTTTAGTAGTTTCCGTTAACATTCCAATTTAAGTTACACGGGTAAACCCTGTTTTGATGCAAAATGACTTCTTTTTCTTATCCAAATCGTGCTATGAAAATATAACTACATAGCGATAGATCAAAACAAGATCAACTCCATCCTTGCGACCACTGACAACTATGATTTAGCTTGCGTAGCAGGTGTCGAAAGGGGTAGGGGATAGGCAGGAAGCAAAAAGGGGATGTGGATTGGGGAGAAATAGTAGCTTGCCACGCAGGCAACCATAAATTCAGTCATAAGCACATTAAACCAACCCATACAGGCAACCTACTCATCGATGCTCATAACATGAAAACACATCTTTCCGGTTTCCCTAATTTTTCCAAATTCAGATAGAACGCCATTATGCTTCCATAGACCAACGCATCCCACGGAAACGACTTTAGGCGTCTTGTTGATAGATAGATACGGTGTCTATCAACATGGAACAATAAGAGCGAAAATTCTAAGAAATTTTACTCGTTGCGCCTAATTAAGTTTGGTAAGCAGAGGAAATCGTCAACTGCTTTGTAGGGTCTTAAGAGTTAATATTTCATTTATTTAGGATTAATACCGTGTAGTGAACCTTATAACAACGAGGCTAGCTATGAAAAGCAAAGAGGCACGGTGGAGGGACGAGAAAATAGCCGCCTGTACAATGAAATTGTTTTATTAAGGGCCTGTATACGTGGAGGTGGGGGACCCTACTAATGTTGACGCGATGCGAGCTAAAGTTGCATCAAGCTGCATCAGGGAAGGGTGTGTTCAAGCACATGCGATGTCTGGGAAACTGTTAACGAACGACGAAGTACATCACACTGAATCTTGTAGCAATGGTGTCAGTAAAGATGATTCCGACCAATCAGCTGTTTCGCCTGAAGGAAAACCTTCAAATGTCGAACCCCAAGGAGCATGTCAAGGACTGGCCACAACGTCAGAGAAGAATGTTCCAGATTATCCCCTGTTCCCACTCTCCCGCGGTTTTTGCTTGAGTCTCGTGAGAGCTTTGGACAGTTTTGAAGCCGCCTTAGAAAAGGCTCAACTACCAGACTGCTCTGAGTAGATTTCAACGTTCTGCGATTGGGTCTTGTATCGCTTTATACGTCATAAAATCTATTACACAAATAAGGTGGAAATATTTTATATGTATTTATTTATTTTTCAGGTTATCTGAATATAAAGAGATTGAATTCATTGTAAAGTGCTGTTATCCGCCTAGTTTGATCTGTTTTGTTATTTACTCAACTTCGTATAGAAAAGGTCAAGTTTGTTTCCGTTGCATGGCATGCGAATACTTCACCCTACTTTTACTTCCTCGCTTTCCGGCTTACTTCTTGTCAGCCCCTCCCTATTTACACCTTCACGGCTTTACTTTTTTACTTTAGGTTAATTTTTGCCCTTAGATCTTTTGTCGTCCCCAGGCCTTATTATCCTGGACGGCTTATATTCGCTTCCGGGTTACGTGGCCCGAGCAAATTCCCTGATACGTCACCGAAAATCCGGTTATAACTGAACTAAATCTCAAGGAACCTTAATCGAGGAAATGTGGTTTACATGGGGATGCCATGTTCCACCACGTAATGTATCGGTCAAATCGAAGCTTCGACATGCCCTCCCCCCCCCCGGGCAACCCCCCGGGCATTTGACTTTTTTGAAAATTATTGTTTTAATTCCCCCTTACTCGGGCCAAAATGCCGTTCAAATGCCCCACACTAGGGTCCATTCAGGTGATCAAATGCCCCCACCCTGGGGACATTTCACAGGCACAAAAATGACAGAAGAACGGCGGAAACACCTTCAGTTGTCGAACAAAATCTTTATAAACATAACAAAAACTGAGAAACACTGTTAGCGTATTTACTACGAACAAAAGTCTCCTGCAAAGCGGCGGAGATCGCCGCTACAAGGTCATTGAATGCTCAGCTTTTCTTCGTCATGCAACATACAAAGCGTTAGAACGATCTATAAAAAAAGATTCCACCTATTGAGATTACGACATCATGACCATTTCACTGACATGCACCATCGCTCACCTTATTAATTAACATACTTGCAGAAGGTCAAAGTAGTTGACCTGAGCTTTTTATTTTATTTTATTTTATTTTATTTTGTTGTATTGAATCGCCGGTATAGGTATTGTATTTCAATGTAAACACAACAATAAAATACATTCATACATTCAAAGCCTGAATCCAATGAAAAATTTTAAAATTTAAATACTTCAAATACAGCACAACGCTTGCTTAAGCCCTTTCCTCGTAACCAATTGGCCACAAAGGCACAATCTTTTCCACGAAAATCCTCTAACACCGGGTCCCCCATGATAGCTAACCACGTCAAAGATTTTACATGAAATCGAAGGTGCAGTTCAAATTCCCCACCCCTAAAGCATAGGGATCAAATTCCCCACCCCCTGGAAGACTCTGATCATCAAATTCCCTCCTCCCCGGGACGACAAAGATGTCAAATGCCCGGGGTATGCCCGGGGGGGCATGTTGAAGCTTCGATTTGATCGATACATAAGTCAGTGATACGTGGATCACCACTTACCGTGACAAACTTGGATGATATATTTTTAGAATACAGTAATCCATTACGGGGTGCGTTATTCGATATGAAAGTTCTTTCGTAAACAGCTTTTAATGATTTTCTTGGAATGAGTTGTTTCCGGTGATTTAATTCTCGGAAATCGTCCCTTGAAAATCATGCACAAAAATAATAACAGATAGATGGTTTTCACTGTAACATCATCAAATTGTAAAGTCATAGCGAGGTTTTACGAATTCTTATTTACACTAGGTTGAAGATAAACAAAAAGTAAATCTTTGTACAAGTTTCCATTTCCGTAGCTTGTTTCGTTTCGAAAATACAGCAATTTGAACTTCCGAGTTTTCAGAGTGCGTGACACCAAAATAGGAATGCTGTCTCGTTGAAAAAAAGTCTCTCCTCTTGATTTTCAGCAGTATAACCACTTCAGGTATTAGAAAATATGTTTATGCGTACGTATGCTAGTTCTCGAGTGAAAAGAAAGAGCTTTTATAGAAAAAGTGAACTCCAGATGTTTTTGTTGATTTTCGGCGGCCATATTGGTGCACCAAAACGGTGCCCCAATATGGCGTCTCCATACAAAGCTCTACAAAGGTGCGTGAAACGTTTCGGCAAATAATTCAGAAACTATGGGCCACAAAGACCTGAGACTTTGATAAATTGTTTTTACATTAGTCCTTTACAACATGTTTATTTTCTTGGCTTCTTCCACTGGACGCTTTCCAATTTGATTTTTTGTTGCGTGACAGTGAAAACGATCTATAGCCGAGAAAAAATGTTTCTAAGAAACATGCTTCCAGTTTCCTGGAACTGGCGATCCAGGCCAGGGGGTGTAATTTTCACTGTAACATGCCTCAGGGCTAAATAAAACATAAATTAGATTTATAAAAATCTCTGTTTGATGACGTTTTAGAATAATAATTTCATCCAGAGACCGTTGTTCTCTATCGGTATATGGTTAAAAGGCATCTACATAAATATTTTGAAATGAAATAGACTGAACAGCCCGACTAAACACCCTTTATTAGCTTTGAGACTAAACATTGGCTACCTGTGGTTATCAAACAAAAACAGAAAACAGGTAATGCATAAAAACAAACACACACGGTCAACAATTCATCATTATTTTAAAGGGACAGTTCACGGTTCAGCTTATGCGCATTAATTAAATTACTTTTTTCCAATTTATTATTAATTCTATCGGTTAATAATCCCACTCACATGTATCTCGGCGATCTCAGAGTGTATTTCAGAGTAGAAGTGTATTTCCAGAGTAACCTGAAGTGGGATGGAGGAGTACTGAAATCGCAGAAAAATTAGTGGATTTTGCCAACACTAGCAACGTTGAATTTATTGTTGACCCGAAGGTTTTATTCCATGGTTGATTAATTTTCAGCTAGTTGCACCTAAGTTGATCAAGTGACTGCCAGAGGAGTGTGCAGATTCGTTTTTTGACAACATTATGACATGATCATATTGCTTTCATAGACGATACAGCATGTCCCTGCAGAAAAACAGCATTTTGATTAACAAGCATGCGCTGAACCGTGAACCTGTTCCTTTTAAATAGCAACTGTCCATTCACGTGACATGAAGATAGGAAAAGTCGCGATCGTGATTGGCTGGCCACTAAGCTTCTAGAAAAACGATAATTATAACTTGTTCTGGCCTATTCGAGGCTGACTAGCCTTCTGGCGGATTGATAAGGCGTCAGTGCTGCTTTAGTAGTAGTCAATTGGCAGTTTATAAGCGAGTGATTTGAAACGAATTTTGCGCCGACCCAAAACTTGTAACTCGACTCCAACGATGGCAACTTCATCTTCGATTTCATTGCCGTCGAGCGACTCTGGCTTAGGATCTGTATTCGACACCTCGGAAGAAAAGACAAACGGAACTAGATTGGCAAGATTACTCATCGATGGAGGAACTTACGTTTTAAGAAAGCTTTTACATTCTGTTTATCCTGAGCGGAACTTACTTGCTAAAGAGTTGAAGAAGAACTTTGTTAAGTTTCAAAATCTCAAGTCAAAACGCGTGATATTTGACCATCAGTGGGAAAAGTTATTTCCCCCTTCAGGTCTACCGGACTCAAAGGAGTTTGATATAACACTTTTGCATTTGTTGATTAGAGAAGTCTGTTATCTACCTGCGCCACTGACAGGCTGGCATAAAATGCCTGCTGATGATGACCAAAGCTTGGGGGCAAACATTGCCAGAATCAAATGCTTTCGAAATGAGCTATGTCATAGTGTTTCAACCAGCATCCCTAGTGAGGAGTTCGAACAAATGGAATACAATAGCGTCGTCTTTAGAGGCAATTAAAATTGGCGTCTACCGAAAGAAAATCCAGGCTCTCAAGAATGATTCGATTGACCATAAAACCCACAAAAGGGTGGAGGAAGAAGTCGAGAAGTGGCAACAATTTCAAGAGCTAGAAGATATTAAGGCAATTTCTCAACTTGAGAGCTATTTTCCGGATATTCAAGAGCCTATGTTTGGTCGTTCACAACAATTACAGGAGGTCGTAGAAATCATTGAAGACGGAACATTTTCTGTAGTGCTGATAACCGGGGGGTCCAGGATTTGGTAAAACTACTTTGGCCAAAGCAGTTGCTCATGAACTTGCAAAATCCGATGACATGAGAAAAGTATTGTTTTGCCGTTTACTTTCAAAGAAAACGTTCAATGAAGTGGCCATTGAGATGATTCACTCATGTGGAAAGAGCTATGCACAGCCCCCCGAATATCCGGACCAATGGCTTAAGGACTGGAGCAGACAGATCCAAATGCAAGTCACTTTTGTTCTCGATAATGCAGATGATATCCTGGAATCAGAACAAAGATCTTCCTTCTTAGACATCTTGCCAGAGATGACGCAATTATCGAAGAAAAAGCTGACATTTGTGATCACTTCTAGAGAACAGTTCAAAGCACGAGATCTGCTGTTGAAGGAGGTCGTGTTATCCTCGTTATCGACGGATCAGGCGAAGGAAGTCCTAATCTCTCGCGTGAGCGATGAAGAAATTGGCAAAAATCTTTCCAGAACAGAGGAAATAGTAAAGCTGTGTGGCCGTGTTCCTTTGGCTCTTTGTATCGTCGGGTCACTTCTTTCAGACTACACTGAGGAGAGGCTTGTTAAAGACCTTGAGAAGGAACCTATGAAGCTGCTGGATGATGGAAATGAGTCAATTGAAAGTGTCATCAAAACGTCTTTCGATCTTTTGTCTCAAGATAAGCAGGATTCCTTGGTCCTAATGTCAATCTTCCCGGGATCATTTGATAGCGATGCTGCCGTGGCTGTGATATCACGGGCTTGCTTAGAATCTGGGACCCTGCCAGTTTACGTTCTGCGCTGCTTAAAGAACAGCTCTCTTGTTGAACAACCAAGTCCCCGAAGATATCAGCTGCATCCTCTAATTCGCGCCTTTGGGAAGAAGATTGGCCAAAGCAATGATCCACAGATCTTTGCTGGGGTAGAGAAACTGGCCTGTGCTCACTTCATTTCTCTCCTTGCTCAGAACGCAAAGATATTCTGGAGAAAGGACCAATGCAAAAAAGCTATTGACTTCTTCGGAAAGGACAGACATAATTTTGAGCCCTTCCTCCAAGTGTACGCCAAAGTAGCGGAAAGCTGCAATGAAGAGACCCTTGACAACTGCAAAGAGTTCTTGCAACAAGATTTTCTCCAGAATTGCATGTATTTGGAGAAGTGTCTTTCACCGTCATCTTATACTGACTTTTTGGAAGTGTTATTGTCCTACACTGAGCCAAAAATTGAACCAGTGCGTGCTGCAGAACTCTTATGTCTTCGAGGACAAGAGAAAAGAAAAGTAGGAGACAAGGAAAATGACTACCAGGTGGACATGGAAGATGCATATAACCTATACTCTGAGAACAGTGGTAAATTCGAGACAAACCCAGTGTCGACAGTCTTCTTACTCAATAGTTATGCAGACTCTATTTCCAAAAGAGGAGACCCTGCTAACAATCCAAAAGTGAGAGAGATCAATGGAAATGCTCTGGAGCTCAGCAAATCTCTGGAGAAGGGTCACCCAGAAAGGGCAGAAGCTCTTAAACTTGCTGGTCGATTTGCAAAGCGAGCAGGTAAGCGGTCTGAAGCAGAAACGAGGTTGCAAGAGGCATTAAAGCTATTTCAGAATATCCTCGGGGCACATTTGAGTACAGTTTACGCCTTGAAGGAAATGGCGGACTTTCATTTCTCTGAACCGACTGAGAACGAGAATGATTTGGAAAAAGCTCTCTCGTATTACAAAAGGGCGATGGAAATGATGAAACAGCTAGGAATGGAGAACAACAAAGAGAACATCGGGATTTTGAAGAACTATGGAATTTGTTTTGAAGAAAGAAAGGAAACTTTCAGGAAGGAAGGAAGGAACAAAATACCTCGGACAGGCGTATTTTGTAGCTGACAGAGAGTTGCTACCTGATCACATGTGGAAAGTAATGATCAAGACTCACCTAGCCTTACTGCATGAGCAGAACGGAAAGAAAGAAGATGCCATAGTATTAATGCAAGAAGCCCTTAAGATGTGTAACAGACTTAAAAAGCCAGTTAACAAACTGGGAATTAAGCATAGCAATGACGTAAAGTCGTTTTTGAAACGTCATAAAAAATATTTTCCCCAAAGCAAATTCCCACGCTAAAGTTTGCCGCGGTTATATTTAAACTTTTTCAAACTGTCCCTGATTTACCTGAAAAAATCGTTGAGATGGAGAGCTTATTAAGCTAAACTATTCAGTGTTGTAACTATATTGCTGTGAGCCCCCAAACGAGCGCCACAATAATCCGTGGGTTAACTGTGGTTCCTTGGGACCTCTGCGTAACATAACGCTGGATCAATCTTTATTTCAGACGGTTAAACTGTCTCAGGGGAGAAACTAAAGAATCGGAAATTGGTTACCTTTTCTTAAGCGTCTTTGCCGCCCAGGGCATGTAATCGCGACGTATCTTCGACTTCAAGATGAGTAATGTGTGTTTCTTTTTTCAAGTTCATCTTGCCAAATTCTAACTTAATTGTTGTTAGAAGCGTTCATAGAGGTCAGGAACGATTTAATAACAATTTACGGGAAAGACAATGTTCTTTTATGAACTTTTTATTGGGCTGCCCGTGAGAGAAACGTTCAAACAAGATTTACTTTCCATCTATGTCGAAAAAGAGACAATGGCGGACGGAACTTTCAGTTCGTCTAGCGAACAGACTTGGTGGTCGACTTGAAACGAACACCAAATCCCCTACTGCGTAGAGTTATTGGCGCTATATCCACGCCGAATGATTTTCTGAATACAGTATTCGGATGAGGTAGTTAGCAGAAACAATGCCCTCTCACGGTTCCGACGTCGTTTGCAATTCTCGCCCTGTGTGTGAAAAGCCCACAAGAAAGGAATATGCTATCCGTAGATCTCCCTGTCAAGTAGAAACTTATTCACTTGGATAGTTAGAAGGGCTTTAAATGCAATATCCAACAGAAATGAAACTGAAACGTAATTTGCTCTGTGAGTTTTAAGAAACAAAAAATTACTGCCATTTTAGGAATATCCAAAACCTAAAAAGTAGGCTCGATTTCCGCCGGTCCCTCAGTCCTCCCCAAGAAGAGACCAAGAAGTCTGTTTGGGGAAGCAGCACTGAAACAGGGGCTGGTTTTCGAACAGCGGTCCTGATAAAAACGTTGATCCCACACGTTTTATATGCGTAGAAGAATAATTTTGGAACTTATGGTTAGATCAAATTAGTCACGTTATAACTGTCGTGCTATATTTTTGGGGGTAGAGCTGGATTGAAGGCGGGAACGGGGTGCTTTGTGTAAAGTCCCAGTTAAAAAAATTGCCGATCATTTCTTGTTTGAAAAGGCTATTTTTTAAGGGGTGATAACGGTAAAAGTTACTTTTCAGCCCCGGTTTAAATACGCGCAGTAGGCAGACCGTAGCCAAGGAATCTAATCCGAACGTTGAACGTTTCATGAGATGGTCCAAAGTTCATGAAAATTCCGCATCTGGCTCAGTTAAGTCGGTCTGAATGATCGCTGTCCAACACGGTCTTATCCGCCTACTTCAGACGAATAGAACGTCTGAAGATCGTCTCCGGTCTTCACATTCAACCAATTTGTAGGATGATCTATATGTAACCTAGTTCGACAGAAAATTTATTACTGATCTGATTCAGCTGATTGGTTCGACGCGTCCTAAGTTCGGTGTCTGACCCAAGAGAGGATGTTAACCTAATTTAGGTCGACCAAAATAAGAGTTTGGTTCGTCTCATAAAAAGTTCGACGTTTGGCCTAGGCCTGATGATGTGCCTTCATAGGGTGGCCAACATTTTAAAACCCCACATTGGGTTTCTTTAGTTACGGGTTCCTGGTATCAATTTGCTGACGCACCCAAAAGTGGGACTTTGCAGGTTTCACTGAAAAAAAATGGAAAATAGACATGGCCGACAAATGCCCCATGGGGGTGGTCAGGTTTAGTATTGAGTGAGCTACATATAATTTGCTCTTGTTAATTTAACATTCAGCCATTGTTGAAAAGTCGATATAGGTATAAACAGGAGCCAATGATAATGACAATATAATACTAATAACTATTATTATTATTATTATTATTATTATATTAAATTTCGATAGAGCACACATTCACTAGTTGTTCGTGGCTCTTTACAACAATATTTTAAAAATAATCATAATAACTAATACTTAATTAGACGTCTCGCCCTTTGCTTGTAACCTTCTTTAGAGAAGGTTACAAGCAAAGGTTGAGAGCGTCACGGTTTTACCCTTTGTTTTTCCGTTGACACTGTTCCTTACCGGTAACACTAGAGATGTAAAATAAATAACTAAATATTGCCTTTTTCTTCGTATTTATTTACTGAAAATATCCTGCGGAAAACGTAGGGAAATGACTGATCAATTCCCCAGGGAAACTCCTCCTGAAAATCTCCTTGGGCCAAATATTTAAACAAAGTCTTAAGCCGCGGTTTAACGAATAACATGGAATAAGCCTCCAGGTCTCTTCTTTGGTGGGTTGTTTTAAGAAGATAAATGCGTTTCTAATCTTCTCTATATAATTTCATAAAATTGTTCACAATAAATGGGTTCCTTGTGGCTAATGTTTTAAAAGCCTTTTGTACGGGAAAATGTGAAGCAAAAAAAGTTAAGGCAACAATTTAGCCGAATGTTCTATTCACGTCAATTGAACCGAAATCCAGAATTGTCACCTATGTTCTTACAAAAATCGTAAAACCTTTTGGGATGTGCGAATGTTCGCCTTTATCGGCTCAGTCTGTGTTTGAGGAAGGGAGATGGTATATCTCGAGGTGGAGAGACGTATAGAGAAGACCATAGCCGAAGAAATGTAGCGACCTGTGGGGAATACATTTTATGCACGTTTTGAAAATTTACATATGAACATTAAAATCTTCGGAAGACAGCCTTTAATAGAACCTGCAGTTTTAGCGCTGCGGTTCACATTTTTATGCTCTCTTTCAGTATCAAGAACCCAATCTTTGAAAAGAAAAGGTTTAAACCTTTTTTACTAACTTTAAATATGTGACTTTATTCATCTGAATATTTTTAATAACGTATTAGCAGCACGAGCATTTCTGATAAGCTTCCTATTCGTTACTATTAAAAGTACGTATAATGCAACCTTTTTGTACAAAATTGCACAATAGCCAATTTTTAGTTATTTATTTCTTTAAAAAGACAGTTTTTAAGAATAAAAATGTTTGAAACTTAAGAAAAATTGAGACAAGAGTGTTTTAGTTTTTAATTAACAACGCAACAATGCAACTGGTCGACGCGACGCCATCAAAAGACGCTTTTGCTTCCAAAAAAATCTGCATGAGATGTTCAATCACGCAATGCGATTTTCAAAAGTTTTAAGATACCGCTTTAATTCAGGATTTAGTTTCAGTACAAGAATTAGTTGTTTTATGATATTTATGTCAAAATTAACTTGATAAAGCCATGTACCTCATTCGAAGGTGGTCCCAACCGCACATCCATAATTTGAATATGTAAAATTTAAGCCATTTCGGGTAAACAAATTGGCTCTTGTGTTTCTACCCCTGTCTAAAATTTGAAATTTCTCGTTTCCTTTACAAAGATGATTAATAAACTTATATCATATTTTTTCACGAAATAACAAACTATCGTCGAGAAGAAAATCGGAGGCATACGTTTTTTGTTGAACATGGAAAAATCCTTATTTTTGATAGATGCGGGTAAAGTTTCAGTAAGGTAGTGATAGATTTTGTCTCAATATTTTCTTTGCGTGGGTTAATAAGCGAGCCTTATTTCACTGGATTGTTCTTTTTAAACTTTCATTTTGATACACGGACAAATTGAGGGATATCTAGTGGTAAAGAGT